CCCCCCCCCCCCCCCCCCCCCGGGCGGACAGGCCACTTTGTTCAGCTGCGCGCGAGAGGGAGAACAGAAACCACGGCTGTTGCGTGCGCAAGCTGCGCGCCCCCTTGGCAGACATGGCCCCAAGTTTTTTGTGCAGCAAAACTGCCACGGATATCGCCGTGTCCGGGGAACTGTGCCCAGCCGGGGCGCGCCAAAGTAATCCTTGTGGCCCTCGAACCATCCGAACTCGCGTGTAGTACCTAGCCTCGCCGAGAAAGCGAGGAAAGCATGTGCCCGCTTCCGGCTGATGAGGGAACACCCATGTGTCGTAAGATGGGCCCGTCGCCTGATGGAGTAGCGGCCCACTCTAAAACGAGAGGTAGCTTCGGGTTGATGAGCGGTGAGGTGACAGGGGTGGGTTAGGGCTAGAGGTTGGTGGTGATACCTTTTCTTTCCAGAAGAAACCCCGCCAACCCTGCCGTCGCACCGTGATAACTAATCCAAACCCCTGCGGATGCCCTCTCTCTCTCTCTCTCTCTCTCGCTTCTGCGCGGCACATGGAAGGGAAGAAGGGCCAAACAACAACACCAACAACACCAAGGGTTTGCCGGACACGCGCGCGACCAAAGGCCTTTCGGCATGGCGTTCGAGATGCCGTGCGCCTTGTTCGGTTTCGCGCCAAGGATGGGAAGGAGGAGGGATGGGGGCCGGCGGATGCAAGGGTGCAAAGGGGGGGAGGATCCGCCAAGGGCGCCGCTCTTGGCGAAAGTGGTAGGGGGAGGGGATCAGGCATTGGCGCCGCCGAGGGAGGGACGAGACACCGCCACTCTTGTGCCGTCCACCATTTTCTCTTGGCTTGGGCAACCAAAGTCGAGTCCGAAAATAATATTGGAAAATATTGGAAGTTTTGGAAACATGTGACGCGATGGTAAAACGTAAGGGTTATTAGGGGGAAGGGCATGGAAATAAAGACCCTTGTCCCTCTTGGGTTGAGAAAGGCCGGCTCTTGGGGAAAGAGCCGTGGCGAAACTCTGTGGCTTCTCTTGGGAAAAGCCAATGACGGCTATGACGGGCGACCTCGGTCTCTCTCCCCCTCCCCATGTGGCTCGATGACTCTGGTTCCGCCGTATCTGCCCAGCTCTTGGTTCGCGCTCCGCCGGACACCGCCCAGGCTCTTGGGATGAGCGGGTGAGTTGTCCGGCCCCGACGGAAGCGTCATCCTTGGGCTGCCAACCATTCTTCCCAATCGTCCTATCTACGACATCCGCTCCACCGAAGGCTGGGCGCGCGGTCTTGGGACCTTCCGCGGGTGAGTGGGGGAGCGCGAATGAAAAGGGTAGGATGACTAGACCATGCCGTGTCCACGCGGGCCGCGTGGCTCAGCATCCTTTTCGGAAGGCGGAAGGCGGAACTCGGCCGTCGGCCGTCTGGGCAGTGGCTAGTCACTCTAGCCTTAAGCATGGACTGAGAGAAACGATCGAGCCGATTGTTGCGTGGCTTGGACTGTTACTGGGATATCCACCGTGCGTGGTCTTGTCGTTGTCATGCATTGTTAGTGTTTGGCCACCACCCAAGGAAATGCGAATTTGGCTGCCGCGGTCGTGGGGAGAGTGGAGATGGAAGGATCACTGCCATGGACTGGCGTGTGCGAAGGGAGGTGTGGCATGATGCTGGCTCGAATTTAGGCCTTGCCAAGGAGTTTGAAAATTGGATGAGACGTAGCGTTTAGGGTCAGTGTCATCTCTAGGATCAAATATACCATGCTTTTATTTGTCTCAAAGACTACAGCATATGGCGGCCGTGAATGCGGCGTAAAGATGATAGTAGACCGTATTACTCTGCGGCTTCCTCGCATCTCTCATACTCAGCGATAGGTGACTTTCGTGGCTAGACCGGAGACGTACTTGTTGAATCTTAACCCCGCCCTGTTGCTTGGGTTGCGGTGCCAATTCGAAGACTTGAGATGGATGAAGCAGGTACGCGGCTGTGAGGCTTTCAAGGATGGGGGAAAGCATTGAATCTAGGTCATGGGGTATCTAGGGCGTATTGATGCCCCCAGACCTAGAAGTATTTCTTAGTTCCGCGTTGAATATCAACATAGTTGAGTCCAACAGCTCCAGCCAATTTGCAGCCGTGCTCAGCACACTTCGCCACTAGGCTCAAAACTACCAAACCCCCACATCAAGGCCGATGATCATTCAAAGTCGTGGAAAAGAGCGTCAATTAGCGTCTAATGTCGTCTAGTGTTCATGCCCTCCCACGAGGACGCCAGCAAAGCCTTGGAAATCCCACGCTCCCCATAGCGGATGCAAGGCGGAGCGCAGCTGAACTTGAAATCTTGCCTGCCATATCTTCCTGATCTCGAAAACGCCTTCGGGCTCTCGAGCGAGGCAAGAACGGGCAGATTGAAGAGCCTCCAGGCGGCGAGCACAGACTGCAGTAGTGTAGTGCGCCCAGCGTCGAGTGATGCCATATAGAGGCATACAACAAGTAACGGTCGGTCACCAGTCTTGAGGGGTTTGATGTCTCTAAGCATGCGAAAGGATGTGAGCCAAAGCGTTTTGGCAGCGCTCGTGTTGCGCATCAAATTTAGTTCGTCCTTGTGCGGTCGTGATCGGAGAGCTAAGAAACCATGTCGTAAATAATGGGAAGCACACTACATAGATTCATTCCCTTTCAGAGACAAACAGCTTTCGTTGCTATACCTTCACGATGGGCCGCGCTATGGCTTGGAAGGAGGCATGAAACTGGTGGCGCGCGACAGCACCAGAGTTGTTTCGCTCACGTCTGAGTAAAGTATCACCGGAAACGGATGATTAGTCCATTACTACTCAAGCTGCAAGGACAAGATATACCATTCTTGGTATTAGCATTAAGATGAAATGAGTTTATCGCCATTAGAAAACCTGTCCCTTGACTGAATTGAGTCCGAGTAGCGATGCGATATCGTGAGGAAATGGCGAAAGGCGATGGGGTACATCAGCTTAAAGCACTAGCCCGGGCGAGGAGGAAGCGACTTCTTGCAAGGAAAATCACTGGACGCTCGTGCTTGCAAACCTCAACAGCCACTCGAGTGGACAGGAGAGCGAATAGATGTTCTGCGAGCCAATTGACGAAGTGACTGTATCCAGGACAACTGCAGCAGTGCCAGGAATGACGTAGAGGACCGTGCGGGAATGTAGCATAGGGTGGACTGATATGGACGTAACCGGACCAGAATCGTGCAACAAACACCCAGCCAGCATGACGCACGCTGACTCGGGGATGCTTGCTGAGCACGAGGGTTAGTGATGCATAATGTGGGGACTGGAGCGGGTTCGTATGCTCGTCCCAAAATAGGAGAAACAAGCCGACCCATACGATAGACTGCGGACGGACGAACGGGGTCTGGAGGCGGGCAGAAGGAGCAGAGCTGTCAGAGAGTCGAGGTGAGAACAAGGTTGCGAAGCGTATATGTGGAGTTGGAGGCGGGCGGTGAAGCTCGGGACCCTTGGGCCTCGCACACAGTTGCAGCGAGCCGAACGGACGCGAGACGCGGCTCTCAGGGCGGGTCGCACACAGCAACACGGTGCGGCTGCAGAGAGCGGAACGCCTTTGTTTGACGTGGCCTCCAGACTGCGGTTGCGATCGAGGATCGCAGGTGCGCGGCTCCTATTTTCGCGCGTGCGGCCGGCGTCGGGCGGATTAACTGGTTGATCCGAGCCGCACTCGCTTGCACGGCCGATTGTGAACACCACTCGAAAATCCGACCTGCGCACCGAGACGACCAACGACAGCGACATCCCACTAACACCCACCAACCCGACAGCAAATCGAGCAGGATGTCGACCTTCGAGCCCGTGATTGTCATCGACGGCAAGGGTCACCTGCTTGGCCGCCTGGCCAGCACCGTGGCCAAGCAGCTGCTCACCGGCCAGAAGATCGTGGTCGTCCGCTGCGAGGCCCTCAACATCTCCGGAGAGTTCTTCCGCGCGAAGTGTACGTCCACCATTGGCGACCGTCCGGACCCGCGACCGAGCGCCTGATTCTGCGTGGTCCGGCAGCAATCCGGCTTCCGAGCACCGCTGACGGAGACAACAGTGAAGTACCAGGCCTTCTTGCGCAAGCAGACCCGTTACAACCCCACCCGTGGTGGTTAGTAGCCCATTTCCACGCGCGCTCCCCCCCGCCCGCCGTACTGATGCCGTCACCCAGGTCCCTTCCACTTCCGCGCTCCCTCCAAGATGTTCTGGCGCACCGTCCGCGGCATGATTCCCCACAAGACCGCCCGCGGTGCCGCTGCCTTGGAGCGTCTCAAGACCTTCGAGGGCGTTCCCCAGCCCTACGACCACATGAAGCGCGTCGTCGTTCCCCAGGCTCTCCGCATCCTCAGGTTGAAGCCCGGCCGCAAGTACTGCACCGTCGGTCGTCTGGGTCACGAGTTCGGCTGGAAGTACCAGGATGTCGTCTCCAGGTACGTATACTTGCGGGGTCTGGGTTGTTGTGGCGGCCAGGAGCTGACTGAGGTGATGCAGGCTCGAGGAGAGGAGGAAGGTCAAGAGCGCTGCCTACTACGAGCGCAAGAAGGCTCTCAGGAGACAGCTCTCGGACGCCCAGAAGTCCGCGAAGGTCGACGAGAAGGTCAAGACTCAGCTTGCCGAGTACGGTTACTAGATTCGGGTTATGGTCACCGGTGGCATTGCTTGTTCAAATGCAAGGGTAGTGGGCACGGTTCGGCGCGTATGCATGGGAATGAGGAGACGGTCGTGAATCTCCTCCGTTCTCGGATTCGACTTGCCGGCACACGAAAAATTCAACGACCGAGATTGGGAGGCATGGGATGGATATGCTCGAACAATCCAAAAAGGCTTCTCAAAAATACCTATTTTGCTGCTTCCCCGCTTATGGCTTGTAGTAATTTCAAGAAATGGAAAACTGCAAAAGCCCTGTCTGCGACCTGTCCAGCAAACGCCGGCAAGACGAGCTGCGCAATTTCAGGGCCCCTACACCCACTGACGTCTCCTTTAGGCTCAGAATCCGTGCAACCTTGTGGCTTTCGCATCTAGGCAGCCGGCCAGTAGTTTCGCGCATGACGCGAGAAGCTTCGGGTGTGCGGAGCTAACTCGCCGAGTGTGATCGGCGGCCTCTGTTCGCTTCCCCACATTCCTCCACATGTGTCGTCGTTGGACCCATTCGCGCGCTTGTGCGGCTACGTCGAGCCATACGTAGCTCCTAGAATCCCGCGCCGGCCGGCTGTCGGGATCCCCGCAGCGGGAGCACCGTCCCTGGCTTCCTGCTTCCTGCTTCCTGCTTCCTGCTTCCTGCTTCCTGCTTCCGTAACCACAACTCTCTACCGTCTTTCGTGCCGCTCCTCTTCCCTCTCGTGCCTTTCTCCTGCGATTGATTCTCCCTCTCCGCTCCGACCATGTCCGGCGCGCTGCTACGGCTGCAGAACCTCGCTGCGCAGCTGTTCCCCTCACCTGCCACTGCCTCGGCTAAGGGCGGCAGCAGCTCCCACCAAGCTACCAACAACGCACTGGAATACAATCACCGCTACAATTTCCACACACTTTCGCCCACCAGCTTCTTGCCGCGTGCGGCAGCTATAGAGCCAAATGTAATGCTAGATACCCCCATCTCCCCCCGATTTCATTACGATGGACGGTTCTCCGGGTCTTGGTAGCTGCACTTGCAAGGGGGGTCAGCTTACATCTTGTGCACACTCTCCCATACAGGAAGAGGGTTCAGTTCTGCCATTTGAGACCCCAGCGACTAACACAAAGCCTTGGAAAATGTAGGCAGAGGCAATTCATCACGTCACAGCCAACGGCCGCACCTTGCGCCGTACGTACGAAGAGGCGGCAGATCGTGCCCGCGGACTAGCGTATTTCCTAAAGAAGCACGCCTACAAGCGTGTCGGTATTCTCGCGCCCAACACCCCGGCTTTTCTGGAGAGTTTGTTTGGCATCGCCGCGGCGGGTGCAGTCAATATCGGTACGTCGAACCTGAGATTGATGGGGGTGCCGTGTTCAAAGAGCGGCGTAGGAGAGGGAGCGTCTGTGGAGCGCAAGGGGTAGCTGGGCTTCCGCTGTGCGTCAGCGACAGAGCCGATTTTCCAACTGCTGCCTCAGTGCCCCCATTGCCCCATTACGAGTCCGTTGCAGCGGCACTTGGCGTCTGTCAGATGTATCTCGGGAGAGAAGGGGAGAGAGAAGGAGCAAAGGTTGGCTGACTTTGAACCGGCCGAGTGATAGCTGTCAACTACCGTCTCAAATCCGAGGACATATCCTATATCTTCCAGCACTCGGGTGCAGATATAATCATTGTCGATGCCGAATTCACGTCGTTGCTCGACAGCTACCGCGCCACCAGCCCCTCGATTCCCATTCTCGTGGACACGGATACGGATGCTACCGAGGGCGAGCTGAGTGGTCCGTTTGACGAAGCCGTACTTGAGGGTTTGCACTACGATAAGCAGCAGGGTAGCAAGGGCTGGTCGGGATTGGAGGCGCAGGCGGCCCACGAGGACGATGTCATTGCTTTGGCATATACAAGCGGGACGACGGCCCGACCCAAAGGAGTCGAGTACACGCACCGAGGCGCGTATTTGGCTGCGATGGGTAACGTGGTGGAGAGCGGATTGAACTTCCATAACGGCAGATGTGGCTACCTGTGGACGCTGCCTTTGTTTCATGCCTGTGGTAGGTTGAAGAGCCTGAACTCGATTTCCCTCCGACTGCAGCAAAATCGCTCGAGCACTGGCTGTGGAGAAGCACTCGCGATCAACGTGGAGGATGCTTGGCTAACATGCGACAGGCTGGACCTTTCCCTGGGCAGTTACGGCTGTGCGCGGAACCCATTATTGTCTCCGAAAGATTGACTATCCCCGGATTTGGGAGTTACTTAAACAAGGAAAGATCACTCACTTTAATGCCGCACCCACGGTCAACACGCTGTTGTGTGCCGCGGACGAGGCAGAACGTCTTCCCCAGCCGGTCCGGGTGACCGTGGCCGCTAGTCCACCAACCGCGCATCTTTTCGAGACCATGACGGATCTGAACCTCCATCCTGTGCACGTCTATGGATTGACTGAGACGTACGGGCCTATTACGAAGGGCTACCATATGCCTGAATGGGAGGAGCTGCCCTTGAAGGAAAAGTACGCAAGGATGGCGCGGCAGGGGCATGCCTTCGTGACGAGCCTTCCTATCCGCGTGGTCAAGACGGAGCTTCCGGAGGGGGAGATCGTCGACGTAGAGAAGAATGGAACGGAGATCGGAGAAATCGTCTTCACCGGAAATATCTGCTCCAAGGGTTACTACAACGACCCGGAAGCCACCAGGAAGCTGTTCGCTGGTGGTGTGCTGCACTCGGGAGACCTGGCGGTATGGCATCCTGACGGCGCGCTCCAGATCCTGGACAGGGCAAAGGACATCATCATCAGCGGTAAGTTTTCAGGGTCGGTTGAGATGCTTGGCGTTGGGGTCGAATTTTGCTGACGGCGGCGCGGCCAGGTGGCGAAAACATTTCCTCTGTAGCCTTGGAGGGTATGCTCGTGACTCATCCGGATGTGTTGGAGGCAGGCGTCGTGGCGGTCCCCGACTCGCACTGGGGCGAGAGGCCAAAGGCGTTCATAACGGTCAAGCAGGGCAAGGCGTTGGAGGGCGACGAGCTCATCGCGTGGGCGAAGAAGCACAGCGCAATCAGCAAGTTCATGGTGCCGCGCGAGGTGGAGGTGGTGGAGGAGCTGCCGAAGACGTCGACGGGGAAGGTGAAGAAGAACGTGTTGCGGGAGTGGGCGAAAGGAGCGGATAGATGGCCGGCGAGGTAACAAGAGGCTGGCGAAGCTTTGACGCGACGTGGCTGAGTGGGTGCAGGGCGTTCCCGGGGTAGACGCTAGAAGATAGGCTCCCGGCCAGACTAGACAAGGCTGAGGCTGATGACAGCTGTCCTTTCCATCCGGCGAGCGCGGGTGGCTGCGCACCGAGTGCACAGTGGAAACCGTCGGGCGTGGGCGGCGGCGTGGGGCAGAGTGAGAGGAAGCAGTGCGCGGCGATGCGGCGATGCAGCGATCTCCTGCGCATCCGCAAATTGAGCGTGCACCCCGGCACGGCCTCAGTCCGGGCGCCCATGGTCGCGGCCAGGGTCGCGCCTGCCGCCAGACGGGCCCCAGGCGCGGCGTGGCAGCGTCAGCGCGCGTGGCCGCGTCTCCGGCCCGCGCAGAGCAGCGGCGCTGGCGGCCAGGCGGCCAGGCGGCAGACGGCGCCCCGGAGGCAGCATTCTTCAGCCAGAAGGCGGGTGCAGCGCAACGAGACGCGTGCAGCAGCGGCCACTCACATGGAGTCGTTGGAGTCAAAGCCGATGGCAGAGTGCTGATCTTGGGCACGTCCTGGGCTTAGCGGCGGGAGCGAGCACCGCTAGTCCCGCTCCGGCAAGGCGCGACCTACGCGACAAGGGCCGTTTCTCACGAGCGCGCAAATACTTAATTACGACCGCGCGCCCGCCAGAGCGAATGTCACCACCGCACCAACATCAAGCGCCGCCCGGTTTTTCCGCCGCAGCACACCACCCAGCCCCGAGCCCGGCCCCCGCCCCCGACCCGCCCCCCGCCGATGCGCGAGATGCATGGGTAATGGTCTTGCACCAGCCACCGAACTGCGCAGCGCACCACCACACCTTTTCCATCGCCATCTTGCTGCTGCCGCGGTGGACACGACTTCGCGCTCTTAGCTAATCAGTTCGAGTGTGTCGGACCTGCCAGGAGGCGTAAACTATGGCGTCCCGGTGAGTGCCCTGCAGCCAATCACATGACGATCGTCATTTCCGGCCCCCCACGGATCGCTGGACGGGCCTCTTGGCGCCCCGCCACCCCTGACAGAACTGTTGTGCTGACTGGTAATGGTACAGGCTGGATCGCTTAGTCACGTACGTGCTCCCTCGCCTTCTGCGCCCTGGCGCCCTGATGCGCGGGATCGCCCTTTTCGAGACCACCTGCTGACCCTATGACACGACAGCCTTCTGGAAACCGGGAGCACGCAGCTCATCCGGAACACTGCTGCCCAGCAGCTTGCCGACATCCAGAAGCAGCACCCCGAGGAGCTCTTCAACCTCCTCACCCGAGTCATCCCGTACTTGCGTTCCAAGTCATGGGACACGCGCACCGCTGCTGCGAAGGCCATGGGCGGCATCGTCGAGAATGCCGAAAAATTCGATCCTAATGAGGAAGACGAGCCCATCACGTCCGAGACCAATGGCCACTCGAATGGCTCCGTCAAGAAAGAGGACGAGGTTGAGCTTCCTCCGCTCTCCGATGACCAGCTGCAGCTCGAGACTCTGGACATTCCGATGATCCTCAGGAACGGAAAGCACCTCCTCGGCAGCGCCGGCCGTGAGTATGACTTCAAACTGGCTGCTATGGATCCCGCAGAGCGTCTCGCCTACCAAAAGAAAAGCCTGAAAGCCCGTCTCGGTATCGGTGGCGACTACATGGACGAGGACATTGTCACCCACGACGACATCGCCGCGCCCGCAAACTCACGAGCGAGCATGCCGCCGCCCACACCTGGCCTGCACAAAATCGACACGACGGTATCACGCCAGAACAGCATATCCTCACCTAGTCAGAACACCGCCGTGTCCCCGAACGGCGACCACTCAGCCCAGACCCCAGTCGACGAGAACGGACACGCACTCAGCAAGAGGCAGCTCAATGCATTGAAGCGCAAGAACAAAATGCACCTCAAGGGTCAAGCTAACAAAGTCCGCGTCATTGATCTTGCGACACGTAGGCCAAGCCAAAGCCAAGACTATCCGCAAACGCCCGCAGAGCCTCACCCGGTCAAGACAGAGGTCAAACCCGAAGAAGAGACGGGTGAGAACAAGGTCAACGACTACTTCTCGCTAGAACGCCATGGCGACGATGACGACTCCAAGGTTGTATCCGAATTCAAGGGCACAGCCGCACCCGAGAAGCCAACGATTCAGACCGAAGAAGAACAGCAAGGTTTGGAGTGGCCCTACGATAGGCTGTGTGAGGTCCTGACCGTGGACCTCTTCGACCCCAACTGGGAGATCAGGCATGGTGCAGCAATGGGTCTTCGAGAAGTTGTCCGAGTGCATGGAGCAGGCGCTGGAAGGCAGCATGGAAAGACCCGGAGGCAAAACGACCTTCAGAACCAGAGGTGGCTGGATGACATGTCATGTCGGATCTGCTGTGTCTTCATGCTGGACCGATTCGGCGACTATGTGTCAGATAATGTCGTTGCACCCATCCGAGAGACTGCAGGCCAGACGCTCGGTGCGGTACTACAATACCTTTCTTCCGACCTTGTCCGGGCCGTGTACACGGTCCTCTACCGCTTGGTGATGCAAGACGAATTCAATGAGAAGCGCGTCTGGCAAGCTTGCCACGGTGGCATGATCGGCATGAGGTATTTGGTCGCCGTACGGAATGATCTCCTCCTGACGGACCCCTCTCTCATGGACGGTGTGCTCAGCGCGGTCATGCGGGGCCTCGGCGATTTCGACGACGACGTCCGTGCCGTCAGTGCGGCAACGCTGATACCAGTCGCCAAGGAATTCGTCAACCTCAGGCCCGCTGCTCTAAACCAACTCATTGGCATCGTCTGGGATTGCCTGTCGAATCTCAGCGATGACCTTAGCGCCAGCACAGGTTCAGTCATGGACCTCCTTGCGAAGCTCTGTAGCTTTACCGAAGTCCTAGACGCGATGAAACTTAACGCGGCCAAGGATCCCGAACAGTCATTCACCCATCTAGTCCCTCGCCTCTTCCCCTTCCTCCGCCACACCATCACCAGTGTGCGCTCCGCTGTACTGAGAGCTCTTCTCACTTTCCTTGACATCGAGGGAGAGGGTACTAAAGGCTGGATCAACGGCAAAGCCCTTCGACTAATCTACCAGAACTTACTCGTCGAGCGCAATGAACAGGTCCTGAAGCTTTCCCTTCAGGTTTGGAACAAGCATCTCGAGGTTCTTTCCACAGCTGGCCCAGATGCATTTGCAAACGAGTTTCAGCCGCACATTGACCCTCTGGTCACTCTGACCGTCCATCCCATCGGCGTTTCTCGCCACCCTATTCCCATGGACCCCACTCTCTTCATCAGACCCTCTGGCCAGTCCTACGCACCCATCGGCCATGCAACAAGGAGAGCCTCCCCGGTGTCAGCGCCCGCTGCTGATGGTCAGCCAAAGAAACGCCGCAGAGTGGAAAAGCACAAAGAGAAAGACACACCCCCGCCCTCGGCACACAACATTGACTCGCCCATGATGGAGGGCGACGTGGATCTCGTCGGCGCCGACACTTTGGTCCGGTCTAAGATCTTCGCAGCTCAAGCACTAGGTAAAGCTATGGCGTTGTGGCCCGAATCATCTCGACAAGGCGTCTTTGGTCCTCGGCTGCTGCCCCACTTGCGCTCCGCCTTCTCTACGTCTCAGCTCACTACATGCATGATCAGCGAGGAGTTTGCGAAGGCTTCCGGAGCTGAGAAGGACGAACTTTCTCGAGATCTTGTTAAGGCTCTCCGCCCGATGGTCGAAGATGAGAGGCCCGTCTGTTACGGGGACCTCACGAGTTATCTGACAATAGTACGAGCGCAGTGTCAATCTCTCCTCAACACTTTCCGCGATCTCGGCCACGTTGCTCCTGCAAAGCTGCCTCAACTGGCTGTAATCGTGCAGGGCGAGCCAGACGCTAGCCAATATGCCTTCTCCATCACGGATGGCGAGAAGATTGTCGGACCCGACTTCGACAGGCTCAAGAAGTCTTTGACACCAGCAAGTCGCGTCGCCGCGACCCAGCCATTGGTTGCTGCTCAGCAAGATGTCCAATACGCTATCGATGAGGCCAAGGCCGTGAAGCAAGAAAGAGATATCCGCATCAAAGCTGCCTCGGCTGCGGCAGTCGTGGCATTCCGGGACATTCCGAAGAAGCCTGCGCTGACCATCAAGGGTATGATGGACAGCGTCAAGAACGAAGAAAACCAAGAACTCCAGAAGCGCTCCGCAGCCGCCGTTGCAGTCCTCGTCGATCATGTCGCTGCCAGCGGCAAGCGCGTTGTTGTCGAGAAGGTTGTCGGAAACCTCGTCAAGTTTTGCTGCATGGAGACTGCCGAGACCCCCGAGTTCCACGTCAATGCCGATGTGGAAGTGGGCATTCTCTCGCTCAAGAAGGAGGAGGACATCAGAGACCATCCCGATGCGGCAAAGTTTGAAAGAGAGGCCAAGGCAGCTCGCATCACCAGGCGCGGTGCAAAGGAAGCCTTGGAGCAAATGGTCATCAACTTTGGCAGCCAGTTGTTCGAGAGGATCCCGATCCTTCGTACCCTCATCGAAGAACCCATCAAGCAGGCATTCGCAGATGATGAGCTACCGAGTGACATCAGAGATCCGGACAATGTTCTGGGTCAAGAAGTCGTCGACGGTCTTTCCACATTACGCGCGCTGGTCGGCAGGTTCCACACGGATTTGCACGCCTTTGTTCTCGATCTGCTTCCACTCGTCGCAAGGGCATTGCAATCGAAGCTTTCGGTCCTTCGATACGCTGCTGCAAAATGTTTCGCAACAATTTGCAGTATCATGACGGTTCAAGGCATCACCATGCTGGTCGAGAAGGTTATGCCATCCATCAGCAACCCGGTCGACGTTCATTGCCGGCAGGGAGTCATCGAATGCATCTATCATCTCATTCATGTCATGGAAGATGGAATCCTGCCGTACGTCATCTTCCTCATCGTCCCTGTCCTGGGCCGTATGAGCGATTCTGACAACGACGTCCGTCTGATCGCAACCACGACATTCGCCACTCTTGTCAAGCTTGTACCTCTTGAAGCCGGCATTCCCGACCCGCCAGGCCTTTCGGAAGAGCTTTTGAAGGGCAGAGATCGTGAGCGCAAGTTCATCGCTCAAATGCTTGATGCGAAGAAGGTCGAGCCATTCGAGATCCCAGTCGCGATCAAGGCAGAGCTTCGCTCCTATCAACAAGAGGGCATCAACTGGCTTGCTTTCCTCAATCGCTACCACCTGCACGGCATTCTGTGTGACGACATGGGTCTTGGAAAGACCTTGCAGACCATTTGCATCGTCGCAAGCGACCACCACAACCGTGAAGAGGAGTACAAGAACACAGCATCGCCTGATGCCCGTCGCCTACCGTCGTTGATCGTCTGCCCGCCCACTCTTTCTGGTCATTGGCAGCAGGAAATCCGCACCTACGCCCCGTTCTTGAACCCTGTCGCCTACGTTGGCCCGCCTGCAGAGCGTGCCAAGGTCCGCAGTGAGCTTGCCGAGGCGGACATCGTCATCACTTCCTACGATATCTGCCGTAATGATATCGAAGTGTTGGCGCCTCTGAACTGGAACTACTGCGTCCTTGACGAAGGCCACCTGATCAAGAACAGCAAGACGAAAACCACCTATGCCGTCAAGCGCCTCATCTCCAACCACCGTCTAATCCTTACGGGCACGCCTATTCAGAACAACGTCCTGGAACTCTGGTCTTTGTTTGACTTCCTCATGCCTGGCTTCCTGGGTACAGAGAAGGTCTTCCAAGATCGGTTTGCCAAGCCCATCGCGGCTTCACGCTTTTCCAAGTCGTCGTCTAAGGAGCAAGAAGCCGGTGCTCTGGCGATTGAGGCTCTGCACAAGCAAGTTCTGCCATTCCTGCTACGTCGTCTGAAGGAGGAGGTTCTGGATGACCTTCCGCCCAAGATTCTGCAGAACTATTACTGCGACTTGTCTGACTTGCAACGGAGGCTTTTCGAAGACTTCTCCAAGAAAGAAGGGAAGACCATCGCCGAGAAGGCCACGAGCAGTGACAAGGAAAGCAAGCAGCACATCTTCCAAGCCCTGCAGTACATGCGCAAGCTATGCAACTCTCCGGCACTTGTCATGAAACCGGAGCACAAGCAGTACCAGGATGTCCAAGGCTACCTTTCCAAGAGCGGCAGCAGCCTTGCCGACCCTGCCCATGCACCCAAGCTCAACGCCCTCCGTGATCTTCTCCTAGACTGTGGTATCGGAACCACGCCGTCGGAAGGCGCAGGCCATGGCGACATTCCCAACGCTGCCGAGGCCGTTTCCCCTCACCGCGCCCTCATCTTCTGTCAAATGAAGGAGATGCTGGACATGGTTCAGGACACTGTGCTCAAGAAGATGTTGCCCTCGGTACAGTTCATGCGTCTCGACGGTGGTGTCGAAGCGAGCCGTCGCCAGGAGATCGTCAACAAATTCAACTCGGATCCCAGTTACGACGTTTTGTTGCTGACCACCAGCGTTGGTGGTCTGGGGCTCAACCTTACTGGTGCTGACACGGTCATCTTTGTCGAACACGACTGGAACCCGCAGAAGGATATGCAGGCCATGGATCGCGCCCATCGCATCGGTCAGAAGAAGGTTGTCAACGTCTACCGCATCGTCACTCGCGGTACTCTTGAGGAGAAGATCCTTAGCCTCCAGCGCTTCAAGATCGATGTTGCCAGCACAGTCGTCAATCAACAGAACGCTGGATTAGGCACCATGGAAACAGATCAGATTCTTGATCTCTTCAACTTGTCGACGGACGGCGCGGACATGGCCAATCCAGGTGGCGCAAATAACGATACCATTCACGAAGACGATGCCGTTGACGCAACTGGCGAAGTCAGAGAGAAGGGCAAGAAGGGCTTCTTGGATGAACTGGGCGAGCTTTGGGACGAACGACAGTACCAGGAGGAATTCGATTTGGACAACTTCCTTGCGACGATGAAGGGTTGATGTATTCACTTGGCTTCAGACAAAGCTATTTCGGACGCTGTATGAGTAGTTGGTGGTTTACTAGCGCTTCCTTCTTGTTATGATAGGGCTTCTATTTCTCTTCTTTCCCAACATTTAGACTTTTTGGGCATTCTTCCTCTTTTATGTTAAACCCCTTTCGCTTCTCCCCTTCCAGTGATTTGGGAAACTCGGGCGCGAAAACGGGAAGGACCATAATGATGGCTGTAATCGGGAAAGAAGATGGCTTCTTATCCCTCTTCTCTCGAGTTCCTTCACTCGAGTAGGGAGGGCGTGTGTCTAACGGGGAAGGAACTGTGACGGATTCTTTTTCTTTCTGGTGTGGTATTGATGGAACTATCGGAACTCGGAAGGCTGGGTGGGGTGTCCGGAGTAAGGGCAAGGGATCGCCAAACAAAAGGATGAAAAGCGAGCATCAGTCAGTCATGCATGAGGGTACAGGATGAAAACAGGAAATGGCCAGTATAGCGCGTGTTGGCTTGTTTCGCGGCAGTTCGAGCAAGCAGGCATGGGTTTCAGAAGGCACGTAGAGTTGCGACGGAATTCCCGTGCCTTGACTCACACCATGGCCCATGGAGTTTGGCGATTTTGTACAAGAACGAAATTTAAAGCTTTTCTTTCGAACACTCTTTGAACGCCTCTGCTATGTGAAAGGATCCGTAGCTTTGCCCAGAAATTAGTTTGCCGTGGATCATGTATTGTTTACTAGTGGTGGACGTGGAAGTACTTCAGAGATAGCCTAACTAAATCGTGGTCCTTATGAGAAGCTACTAAACGCATTTCAAACTTGTGTTGATCCTACCTCTCTTACGCGTGTAGGTCGTGGTGTCGACTTCTATGCTTTCGTTCTTTCGCAAAAATGGTTGGCCATCGCAACCAATCATACTCTCTCTCTCTCGACAACGACTACACCCTACAGGGAGACTATTTTCTCTCACTCTCTCTCTCTCTCTCAAACACACACAATGAGACAGGAGTACCGCAAGCGCCACGCCAGGGAAAATGTATGAAAAAAAAAACGTTGGGAAAACTTCGCACCAGAGCCTACCGGCCCAGACCCAGACCCCCCTCCCCCCTCGCACGCATCATCATCCCTTGTGACTGACCCCTTTGCACGTGGGGTTGCGACATTTAGATAGGTTCTTGCAGGTCTTCCCCATGCCCACCCAACTGCTGTGGTTTTTTTTTTGGCACACGTCTCACATGGACGTTAGTTAGTCACAACATGCGCCGGGACGCCGGGACGCTGGGACGGGGAAGAAGGGTAGGAAATAAACAGCGCTTTTTCGTTGGCGGGGAAGCGGGTAGGTGGGTGGGTGGGTGGCCTGTGTGTCCTGTCATACGATTTGTGGTTGGTACGTTGGCGTCATTGCAAATGATGAACCTGGAAAGGGAAAAACCAAGGAACGGCACCGCGAACCAGGCATGCGTGCAGCAGCAGTAGTGACGGAGAAACGAAAGGAACATGTCACTACTACTACTACTGCGATTCCTTCACGTCGTCCATTTCACAGGTCACCCGGTGGGAAAGGCTTCCGTCACTGGAAATGAGGGGCGGAGTACGTTCCGTTGAATGACCATCTCATGTTCCTTGAAACGCTCGAGACTCAAGGTTGCTGGGTTACTAGAGACATGGAAGTTTTCCCTTAAGCGCTGGCCATCGCTCCCTCTCGGCATAGGGGGAATAGAACAAGAAAGTCAATGAGCAAGTCGAAGTTTACCGTAGGGAAAATCACATGAAAAACCAGAAACGGATGACACACACTTTGCAAAAGGTCTCGTACATTGCCTGTCTGTTCATTTTTTGATTGAATACACCTTGTAGCCCCTCCCAACATGAGAAGACGAGCCCTCGATGTCCATCATAGTCGCAATATTGGGAAAAAGCTTGATATGATGCTAGCAGCCCGAAGATAGCCTAGCATAGAGTAGTGAATCCGGTTTCAGTCCGATCCGATCGTCTTGGAATCAGGACGCGCCGAGTCTTCGATGGTCGGCTCGTTTATGCGCCCAAGCTGGGGAAAGCGCTGGTGTCCTGGAGGTTGACGCGAGTACCGCCACGGGCGGCACCACCACGCTCACCACCGCGGCCACCGCGGCCACCACGGCCACGGCCCTCACCACGGAAGCCACCCTCACGGGGACCGCCACGGCCACCGCCACGGGGGCCGCCACGGCCGCCACGGAAACCGCCGCGCTCCTCACCACGGCCGTAGATGTCGCCGAGGTCGAGCTGGTTCTTCTCCTTCTTGCTCCTTTCGCGGCCCTTCTTGCCACCATCACCGACGAAGAAGACCTCCTCCTCGACGTGCTCGATGGGCTTGCCCTCGGGGAACTTCTTGGCCGCACCCTCGTTGGGCTTGCGGACGTCGACGTTGCCGCCAAGAGCAGCCTTCTTCTCCATAATCTCAGCGAGGTAGTCGTCATAGCTCTTGACCTTCTCCTCCTCGGCAGCGGCGTCGGCGGCGTCACCTTCGGCAGCATCGCCGACGGCGGCATCCTCCTCCTGCTTGGCAATGGCCTCGCCGGCCTGCTCGTCGGCAAGCTCCTTGTTGCCATCCTCGCCGCCCCAGCCCTGCTGGACCTGCTTGGGGTGATCGCTGCAATTGGGTCAGAGCTCATGTCATCGGAATGCAGTTGGATGTTTGGCTTTCTTACGAGACACCAGAGCGGCTGTGGCGGTCATCACGGCGGGGACCGCCGCGGCCACCGCGGCCACCACGCTGCTCGCCTAAGTTCAGTTAGTCCTGAGACAACTTGTGTCAAATGCGCGACTCACCTCTCGGGCGGTTGGAGGTGCGGTCCTGGCGGAGGCCGTCCTCGGTCGGCTTGCCACGGTTGTTGGCGCTGCCAGCGTTGCGGTCGCGGAAAGCTGCGGGGTATTGCATCAGCCGCGGTTAACGTCAATTGCGAAGGCTGCATCCGTCTGCACTCGATGCACGCTGCAATCGGGACGAGAGCTTCGCTGCTTCATCTTCTGCGTTCTTACCTCCTTCACTGCCGCCGAACTGCTGGCGGCCACCGCGGGGAGCGGGGGCGGCGCGAGCGTCCTTCAGCGGGGCCTCAGCGCCAGCATTGCGCTTGCCGGAGCGGGCAGCTGGCTTGTCAATGGCCTTGGTAGGCGGCTCAGGCTGTTTCCTCTCGGGATCGAGCTCCGGGTCGTTGCCTAGTGAAAACTGTGAGATGGAAGTTGCGGACGCGTTTGCGGGGTCGCAGAGGAGTTACCCAGGAGCTCGTAGAGGTTCTGCGGGAAGCGCGATTAGCAGAATTCAGGCATTGGCAGGCGCAGAAGCTGCGGGATTCAAGCTGCAGGCTTCGGGCGGACGCAGCGATGGCAGGACTGACCTTGGATGCGATGCTGCCAGACATGGCGATGGAGAAAGCGCCTTTCGCGCTTGTCCTTCTAGGAACGCACTCTGGTCGGGATCTGGAGAAAAGTGCGAGAGTCGGACCCCGGGAACAAAGGATCTGGACTCTCCGTCTGATGTCGCGGGTGCGAGGACGTGTGTGGGCGGTCGAGGACGATGGGTGGTGTCGTCGAGCCGGGACGTGGTTGGACGTTGACGAAATTATCTCATTGTGGTCGGGCCAAGCCTAAGCGAGCGGAACAAGACGCCAGGCCTGGCTGCAGACGGCCTTCGAACCAACACCGAACCCCCCATTCTCGCCCGAACACGCACTTTTCACGGCTTGCACAGCACGAGTTGGGACAGCAATGGATTCCTCGCTCCGCCGCCAGCCGCATGACGCAGCGCGCCGGCGGCCTGTCTTTGGAATAGCTACGTATGTACATCGGGGCGAGCCGGCGCATCAGGACGATCGCAGGTGATGGTTCCTGCACCTCCTGCGCGCTTGCGCCGTGTACAACTGCTCGTCTGACTGTCCCCGATCGACTGACTGTACATTCGCCCCGGAGCCCGTCTCACGACGCCTCCGAGTGCCCAATTTTCCCTTTTCCCTGGCCCCGACCCTGACCCCGGCCCCGCAAAAAACGCCCGCTACATTACAAGTGATACTTTTGGTCCCAAATATCTCTCGTCAACTCGTGCATCCGAAGTGAAGAACGCCATTGCCTCTGTACCTTCATCCTGTCTGGTACGAGAACTGCGTCGGGAAGTGCATGCTAGCCGAGAGTCCGAATGGGTCGGCGTCGAGAATTGGATCGTAAGGGTCGAAGCCGTGATTTATGTTCCCCGACACCGCATAGCCACTGTGCTGGCCATCTGCCGGCTGCAGCGCTTGTGGCGACGTGTAGTGATCCTGGCCCTGGAACGGCTGTGGCGCCATCTGCCCGGCTCCTTGGGCCTGGAGCTGCGGTGTGCCTTGCGGCTGCATGTTGGGCGGGAACTGCGGCGGGTATGGTGCGGTGGAGGCCGAGTGTTCGCTGGCGTCTCGGTCGTCGATCATGTCGGCTTGCGCATCGTATTCCTGTTCTGTATGCACGGAGGTCAATCTAGGACGAACAGAGCTCTATGCCTAAGGGCATGTATCAGAGACCGGGACAACTTGCCGAGCTGGTCCATGTGGCTTTGGAACGGTGAAGGGTAAAAGGCGGACGGCCCGTTGGCGTTCCCCGAAATACCGTTCCCCGCAGCGCTATTGACCGACGACGCGCTTGGCAGGCCGCTGCCGACCGAGAATTGCGTGTTCAGAGACGAGGGGCGTTGGGGCGGAAGCGGGTTGTACTGTGACCTAGCGGGCTGTGGGCGTAGTTGCTGTTGCTGCTGCTGCTGTTGTGGTTGTTGGGGCGGTGGTTGCTGCTGCTGCTGCTGCTGCTGCGATTGAGACACTGGCCCGATATTGGGCGAAATGGTAGGAATGAAATTGGGCGACTTCGTGGCAGAAGTGGACGGAGAAGACAAGTGAGAAGCAGGAGTAGGCTGTGAATGTGGTGAATGGTTTGGCACTGAACCGTCGGGTTGGGCGAGCGGCGAGCCCTGCACGCCTTCAACCTTCTGGGGGAAACCTGCAAACGAGCGGCGCGCCTGCTGGTGCCGATTCATAATGGCCCTTTGCATTGGCGGCTGCACGGCGGATCCTGGGGGCGGCACGCGGGTAGGACCCAAGTGCGGGCTGCCCGTCTTTGCACGGAGCTCGGCCTGGACATCAATGCCTGCGGGGTATCAGGTATCAGACTCGGTGTAGCTACAGACGCACCCAGGTGGGCGTACCTTTCTCCAGCAGGATCCGCTCCAGCAGGGAGTTCTTATACCTAAGCATCAGGCATTCATCTGCAGCACTGCGATGGTTCTGCTGCAGGGTCTGCAGCGTCTCCTCATGATGCTTGATGGTGCTCTCCAATTGCTTGATATACTCGGTGCGGCGCTCGCGGAAGGCAGCCTGGGCCTGGCGATTGCGCTGCTTGCGTTCCTCAGACGTGGCATAGATCTTGCGACGCTTAGTTAGCACCGGAGGGCGAGACATTGCGCGGGGTGCGAAGTATGTGCAGCGCGTGGGTGAGAGCTCACAGGTTTACGACCACCCTTGCGCTTCTGCTGCTGCTGGGGCTGCTCCTGGGCGCTATATGACTCCGCCTCGGGCTCGGGAGTGGTCGCGATAGAGCTGGCCGAGCCATCCCTCGACGGCTCCTCCGACTTGCCTACTGCGGCAGGCGTATCTTTGGCGGTGTTGTTATCGCCCATCTGCGCCCTGGGCCAGTCAGGCGGCGGGACGGACGCGACAGTCGGGGGGGGCACGCGCGCTTCTGCGCCGATTCGGGCGATCCGGGGCGCTTGACGTGAGTCTGTTTGTCGGGGCGTTTGATAATGTTGATAATAGAAAGATAACCTCGCGGTGACGGTCGATGGGCGGGCAAAGTTGGCGTGAGGTAAGACGTTGGGTAATGGAAACAGAGCGGACCAGAGGGAGCAGGCCCGGGGGATTTCAAAGTCTTTGGAAGCCAAGATGCGACGTCGGAGCCCGCCCGCAGACTTTTTCACCAGAGCGCCGCCGCCCGCCCTCTTGCGTCGGGCCGCGTGCTGCCTCCCCGAGCGCGCCGCCGACCTCAAAGTCCGCCCGCCGCCGCTGCGAGGCCTGGAGAGCGCGCCCGTCGCTGTGGCCTGCCGCTCGCCTGCCAGGCCTCCCGCGCCGCCCAATCAGCGCCGCCCACCCGCTCCCGCACCGCCCCGCGGCCCCTGCCCGCACACGCTGCCACGCACCGCGCCCGCTGCCTCAGCCTCCAGCCAGCCAGCCGGCCAGCCTGCCAGCCTGCCCTCCGCGCTGCCTGACGACGGCGATCGAGCGAACTGCTGCAGCTGCAACACGCCTGCCCACGACCCGAGCCCGCGTGCACGAGGCCTGCTCACCACTCAGCGCCCGTGGCGTCTGCGCCCGCCGGGACTCCTTTGCTGAGACCGGCCAAGCGCCCACGTGCACGTCCGCTTTCTCCTCGGAGGTGCCAGCACTGCGCGGTGAGGTGGAGCAGCAGTCGATGATGCCGCGGGCCCCTCGCTCAAGAAGAGCGTTGCCCGCCCGCCCGCCCGCCCGTCGCGCTGCTCTGCTCTGCCCTCTGCCCTGCTCTGCTCCCAGCGAACACCCGGCCGCTGACGTCTTCCGTCCCGCCTGCTGCGAACGCGCGTTGCGGCGCGAGTCGGCTGCACCCCACACTCTCGGCGGCGGGTGACCTCTGGCGATGGCTCGGGCGAGGCAGGCGGGTCTGTGTTGGCCGCCCGTGACGCCAGCGAACGCCTGCTGCCCATCCCTGACCTCTGGCCCGTCTCTCTGCGCACGTTTTGCATCAGCCTGCTGGTGGCTCGAGTTCGTGTGTTGGGTCACCTGCTCTCGGCTGCACCCCGCCCAGCCCGAGAGTCTTCAGCATCGTCCGCTGGTGGTGATGGAGCGGGCATAGCCTGGCGTGATGTACCTGGGCGCCATGCCAATTCCAGCCCGCCTGCTCTCCATCCTTCCGCTTCATCGCCAGCGTTGCCGCACCACTGCTCCCCCTAATGTCTGGGACGCAGAGCCGGTCGGTCTGGAGGACGTGGCGGCCGGTATTGGCCCTATTGGGTGCGCGTGATGGGAGGGAATGATGCTCTCATGCTGCTCGCAATTCCACAAGTCTGCGGGATTCGGTCTCCGACACCACTGGACGTCTGACTGTGCCGCCTTCGTTTCTTGGGGACGGAGGGCCTGAACCGCATTCTGCAGCTCTACTTGCATCTCCGCGGTTCTTGTTCTTGCCCACCACTCACGCCAAGGCGAGCATCAACAGCACGCATTGTGCACATCAATGACAGCATATCGCCGTTCCGCAGATCTACTGATACCGTCACAGACGTCCGATCATCATAGCATTGCGTACACTGCCATCCCCTGCATAGCGCGTCGTTTCGAGACGTCGAATGCTCCTGCTGTTTGATGTATGCGTGGCACTCATTGGACCGGAAGCCATGACCTTATCCACCAATCACCGTAGATTGAAGTAGAGGCGCGCACGCACCCACCTATCAAGAGGCAGTTGATTCACTTGTCTGGACCAAGACAGCGTCCTGGATACGCCGACAATAAGCGTGAGTTGAAGGTAAACTGCAAGCTATCTTGTGGTCTGGCTAGACTGTCCACTCAAGCCCAGGAGCAGAGGGCCAATTGTGTTGAGAGACTCAGCCATGGAATATGCCATAATTCGGGAAGCGAGCAGGATCCGCGGCACGTGAAAATCCAGGGACCTGGAAAGCGTTTGGGTACCATTCAGGACGCCAATTTGCAGACTGAGTAACATGGGGGTGTACCGTACCGGCATTGGTTTCTGAAACTACCGTTACGTGCTTTGACATAGATTCTGGAGCGATTGCGGTGGCTCGATGGTAGCCGGCACCACGATTATGCCGCATCGGGAAACCGGTCCATTTTGCGCAGCCCAATTTTGATACACATACTTTCCTCTTTTCGCTACACAGGTAATGCGCAGGATGATTTGAAGTCCACGCAAGCTCTCAACGGTGCGCGCTGCAAGGCGGCACCAACAGGAAGAAATCAATGGAATCTTCTCAGGTCGAGAACATAAGCATTTCTTGGCAGGCTTGTCTTCCTGGTGTGGAAGGAAAGTGCGCGGCTTGTCGTGGCTGCTGCATGGACAAGCCGGCGCACTGAAGGGCAAGAACGAACAGCTCGGATCTCCCGTCCGATCGATCCATCCAGCCCCGCGGATTGACACTCGGCTTCACATCATTCACCTCACCGATCGACACAAGTTTGTGGGCCAGAACTATGCAGTATACCACTTAAGCGTGTCGCGGGTTCCTCCATGCACCCAGTAACCAGCTTCCCAGATCCGCGCCTCTCCACGTCTAACAACGCCGCCAGTTGAGATCGCATCCTGTCGTTCCGGGCGTCGACTTTGCCACGGCTGGCTCACCCACAGGCAGGCTTCATGGTACCTCACTTGACTTAGCTGGGCTGGTGCCGCGAGATGCTGAGGCCTTCAGAATCAGCTCACCCGCCTCCCGAAAAGGGTCCTCCGCCTGCACTTATCCGTCCTCAGCGCTCGTTGTCAGCAATCCCGAAAAGCACACTCCACGCACGTACTCGATCGGTGCAGAAGCAGCTGGTACCTGGCCCGAGGAAGCCTGCTCCTCAAATGAGCCAGGCACCTGCATGGTCGACGTCCGGGGCACCGCCGTGGTCAACTTTGACCCGTCCGCTCTCCGATATCCGCGAACTCACTGAGCCTAGCCTGCTTGAGTTGACGAACCGCAAAGCTCTACAATCAGAGTCTACCGAGTGTCGCGTCGCCCGCAAGTGTTCTCTAACAAGGAAAGGATCTTTGCTATCGAGAAAAGGCTCTCATTCTCGGCGGCCGTCCCTTAAAAGGGCTACTTCGCCTGCAGAAAGCCAGCATTCAAATCACCGCCGCGGCCGTCCATCGCCGTTCCAGACTCCAGGCAGCGACCGTTCTAGTGTCTACAGTATACCTATTGCAAACATACCGCCCAGATCCTCGTCGCGTACTCGCAAGAACCGAGCAAACACCATGGCTTGTGGCCCCTCGCTGCCTCCGCCTGCTCCACGGGGCCTCGGCTTCACAATACCTAACCGAGGGCTCTCAAGATCGCCGGTGCGTGAAGTGGCTGCGCGCTTGGATCCAGTCTCTTCGGACGTCGTGCAGCGAATCCCTTCCAGGACGTTCACCAGGGACCCTTCTGATGAAGTCGTTGAGTTCCCAACCCACCGTCATCCTCGTATATCAGTGGACATCCAACTTGCAGCACCATTGTTTGTGGGCGGTGGCAGCCTCGAGGGCAATGTTCGCATCATTGTTGAGGATGCAGAGCGTCAACGCCACAAGCGAGCTCTAGCAATTGCAAGAATTTCCGTGGACCTTCTGGGAGTGGAAGAGATGTGGAATGGCAAGAGGGATATCTTCATGGACCTGGCAACGGAATTGGTCGACTCGGATAACCCACCGCCCGAGAATATGGTGGACTCGGTGAAGCAGGTCTCCCCGCTTGATCCATTTTGGCTTCTGCATCCCTCCACCACAACGATGCCGTTCAGTATCAGCCTGCCGTTGGATGTTGGGCCGCCACCATTCCAGTCAAAGCTTGCTCGTATCCGCTACGTACTATCCTGTACCCTTCTCGTACGGGATAAAGGCGTCCAGTATTTGGTTCGTAATTCACAGGGGGTTTCGCTCCTTTCTGTCTACGATCGTAAGCTTCCAAGAACCTACAGACTGGAGCCGGTACTGAAAGCAGAACAGCGGAAAAGGCTCTCATGTCCCTCCCAAGCCCACTAACAGCTTCGGACGAGTACACGCGTCCGAGGGAAGGCGCCGTCGAGGTCATACGGGTCACAGCCGGACTTCACCGACAAGTCTGGGTAAGCGGAACGTGCATATTTGTTGACGTGCATATTGCAAACAATAGCCGGAAAACAATCAAAAGGCTTGAGCTGCAGTTGGAAAGGGATATATTGTGTTACAAACATGTGAGTCTCGTTGCTCGGCCGGCCTTTTCATTGCTGAAGTCGAAAGACTGCAGCCTCGACGTTGGAGAAGTCAGCCGGCCAGGCCCGGATCTTTGACAACAATGAACGCACAGTGTTTGCGAAAACTTCTATTAAGCAGGGCATGCACGGCTGGTCTGGAGTTGCACCCCATACAACTGTCACTAGAACATGCGATCTCGAGCTTCCTCGCGGACATGCAACTGTGAAATGTGGTAGGGCTCCCTTAGTCTTCCATGGGACCCAATGCTGACCAGATGCAGGCAGGTTCTTTGAAGTCCGCTACTTCCTCAACATCATAGTGAGCAGCACCCACAGGTACGCCTCTCACTCATCCCGGGAAAATTCAATCTCTGACATGTTGCAGCAAACTCGTTACTGTTCAGCTGCCTATTGTCCTGATACATATGGTATGTTTCGCTTGTGATTCAGTCAAGCATTCACCACGTCTAATTACTGGCCAGAACTCGCTTGATGTTGTTCCAAATTCTGTAGCTCAAGTAGCCGCTGCTATCGAAGAAAAACGAGGAAATTCTACAGGACGCCGGGCTCGTGCCTTGTCCCGACGACCGTCGAGATCCGTTCAAGGCTGCGCGTTTGCAGCACCTCGCATACAATCCCTTGAACGCATGCGTGCAGAAGCAGAGGACCTTCGTGAGATCGGCAATATATTGGAACGCTCACCACGCAAATACAAGCCAGCAACGAAACTCACTACTACGGTCCATGCAGATGGCAGCACTTCCGTTAAGAAAGAACACGTAATCAGACGGATTCAAAGCGCCACCCCGAAGCTCACGAACAGACGCATAGGCCATAAACTGAGCACCGATACCATCGGCTTGAACAGCGCCGTCGGGCTAGGGTACGGCTACCACAGCAGCAACAACTTGGCTGGTGCTTGCTCTAGCACTAGCGACTACGACAGTGACGACCAACTTGCCAGCGCGCCGATACGGCATCGCAGAGTTGCCTCTAGCCCGGGCCTCGAAACTCCATCGAACGGCAACCGTTTGGGTCGCTTCATGGAAATCGGTAGCGTTGAAAGCCTAAAGGACCGCCTCCGCCACATGCGCACCCGCTCCAACGAGACTACCCACAGCCAGCGCTCTTCAACCGCCACTCACGGCCTTGTGACCCACCACCACCACCATCCTCTCGGACCCAAGCAATCCGTGAGCCTCCACGCACACCCCGGCTCCGCTCGCTCCCATTCGCGCACCGGTAGCAACACCAACTCGTCGGCTGGCCCGCCACTGCCACCACACTACCCACCACCGCTGGCACCTCCCCTTCCATCCAGGTCCTCGAGCCAGCACGCTCGCCAGCCACTGGGGTTTCGCGAAGCGGAGGTCAGTATGCCCAAAGAAGACATCGTAGACCTAGGCACGGGCGGCTCAGGCGGCGGGTACCCCGGCGCCCCCGGTGGCGGCGCCGGCGCCAGTACTTCATCGACAGCATTCTTCGGAGGCGTGGGATCGTCGGGTGCGGCGAGCTTCAAGGCTAGACTGGATGCTGCGAGGGACAGACAATGGCGGTTCCAGGGCACCGGCGGCGGCGGCGGCCACGGCGGCCATCATAACAGTCATCATCACGCTGGGGCCAGAACACAGCAAGGTGGTGTGACTGGCCATCATGGTAGGAAGTGGAGGGACTTGCCAGAGAGGGGGTTGGAATGGATCATGGGTGATCGAGAAGAGAGAGAGAAGGAAAAAGAGAAAGAAAGGAGGAGGGCCATGGATAATTGGATATGAGGGCAAGTACAGAGCTCTCCTGTATAGGTGTGTACACGATGGTGTCGGGTGACGACTTGGGACGCAAGGATCGTCATTGAGTTTTTTCTTTTTTTTTTCGGTTTCTGCTCGATACCATTGAAAGCGTCGGGACGGTTGACGGCGTTGGTCTGGCGGCGACGTAGCGTTCTGATCGGGGTGCAGCTTCGGAGCTTTACTCTGTTTTCTTCTCTTCTTTTTCTTTCTTGGTATACAATCGAAATAGCATTGAGCTAATCATACAGTATATTCAAATGAGTAGGAGGACTGCCCCTGGGGCTCTGCATCTGTATGGGAATTAGGATTGTTTGTGCTTCGACGTAGCCGGTGACTACAAAGGTAGATTATTCTTCTTTCATTCTCCAGTGAAGGACATAAGTCCAGATGGATTGGCTATCAATGTTTGTACTGTTTCTTCCCCTATTTGCTCCTCAGCTTTTCCCAACCGCGACGGAGGTGGTAATGCAGCGGCGGTGGCGCGAAGCAAAATTTTTTTTCCCTCGATTATTCGTAATGCTGACGGTACATCACATCCGTCTACTCCCTACCCGCGATGCAGGTGAGATGCAAAGGCGGTTAATGCACCCTGCCATCGCCACCAAGGTTCAGCTCACTCGCCACAACGCCACATCCGGTCTCGCCACAGTGAGATCTGCGCCTCGTCGCTGACGAACGCTTGGGGGACGCAAGCTGAGTACATGACGTAAGCGGGACGCGTCGGGTCTCTTGGTTTTCGTTTTCATCAATATTCCACGCTCTCGAGGCTCTTAATCTGATACTAAGATACGTCATACTGCATATCTGTATGCATACCTACTGCAATGTAATCTATTTTCAAGGGCAATGTTGCTCCTGAAATTGTGGGCCTTCAAGTGCGCTGTCAAGGACGTATGTAACCATCATCTAAATCGGATGTTGCCCTTGGTTGCGGCGAAGTGAATGATGATTCCAGCGAGGTTAAATGTGAATTCGGTCAGATCTGGTATCTATATAGCCGCAACCATCAACTTACCACTCTCGGATGCTTCCATCGGGGCCGTAGAACTCGCCGTTCGGCCACGGCGTCGACGTCTGGGCAACCTTGCGAACGAGCTCTTCGTTGACCTCGATTCCCAGCCCGGGGCCGGTCAGGGCGTCGACGAAGCCGTCCTTGACGGCGAAAACGCTGGCGTCGGCGACGTAGCTGTGGATGTCGAAGTCGCCGGCTTCGGTGTTGTAGTGGATGCCCTGCGACATCTCCTGGATCACGTGGTTGGGGGTGCTGATTCCGATTTGCAGGCAGGCGGCCAGGGCGATGGGGCCCAGAGGGCAGTGCGGCGCTATCGCGACTGTTACACAGAACCAGTGAGCCGGGTTCGGGGCGGTCAAGGAAGCCAAGCTGCTGCTTACCATCGTACGCCTCGGCCATGGAGGCGATCTTCCTGATCTCGGAGATGCCGCCGCAATGGGAAACATCGGGTTGCAGTATGTCGACGGATGCATCTGGAACTCGAGCCTCAGCCTCTCTCTCTCCTTCTCCCTCTCCCTCTCGGGTCCGGGGCCGACACTACTCACCTTGGAGGAAACGCTTGACGTCCCACCGGTTGAACAGCCGCTCCCCGAGGGCGATTGGACAGGTCGTCAACTCCGAGATTTGCTTGATGCCTTCGGGATGCTCTGATAGGAGGGGTTCCTCGATGAAGAGCGGGTGGTGCGGCTCGAGGGCCTTGGCGAGCTGTTTCGCCATGGGCTTATGCACGCGGCCGTGGAAGTCCATGGCGGCGTCCATGCCGAGCGCCTTGACCGTCTTGAGCCGCTCGACGGCCGACTCGAGGACGCGGGGCGAGTCGAGCCAGTTCATGTCCTCGGTGGCGTTCATCTTGACGGCCTTGAACCCCTGGGCCTTGCGCGCCTTGGCCGCCCCCTCGACGTCGGTGGGCCGGTTGCCGCCGATCCAGGCGTAGACCGAGACCTTGTTGCGCACCTTGCCGCCGAGGAGCTGGTGGATCGGCTGGCCCAGTCGGCGGCCCTTCAGGTCCCAGAGAGCAATGTCGATGCCGGACAGAGCGCTCATGAAGACGGGTCCGCCGCGGTAGAAGCCTGGTGCGGTCTTGTCAGCTGGCGCCCTCGAAGCTGGTGGCTGGGAACGGACCGAGACGCCATATCAACTGCCAGATGTGCTCAATGTCATCGGCATCGAGCCCGAGGATGCGTGTCTTGAACTCGTTCAGCGTGCCCTCGATGGCTTCCGTGTGGCCCTCCAGCGTTGCCTCCCCCCAGCCAAAGTTGCCCGCATCATCGGTGATCTTGACGAACAGCCACCGGGGCACGACGCGGAAATACTCTAGGTTCTGGATGGGAGCCATGGTCGGTGGTTTGGACGCTCAATGGCAGCGCGGCGGTCATAAAGACTCTGAAGCTGGCCGGAAAGCCGCAGCTCGAGCCGCATCAGGTCACCGACGCCCGGCTTCGGTGCCAGAACCCGCGACTGAACTCCACGGCACCCCCGGATAAGTTTCCGTGACGGGCACGCGTTGGGGACCACGGTTGCGGGGAAAAGTGGGCGTGGGCGTGGGCGCGGGCGCGGGCGCAGTCCGGCCTCTGCGGCTCGAGAGCCGACGCTGTTGCCTTCAGTTGCCGACGTCTACTCGAGAAGCCGCGCCTGCAGCCTTCGCACCATCTATCCATACCGCCTGAGCAGAGGAGCCGCGCGCGCACTCGCTGGGCATGACTTCCGCGCCCGGCCTTCGCAGGACGCGTTTTGTCTGCATCTCTGACACGCACAACCAGACGCCCAAGCTGCCCAAGGGGGACGTGCTCATCCATGCAGGCGATCTCACTAATCAAGGCAGCATCTCAGAGCTTCGCAAGACCGTCACATGGCTGGAGAAGGCCGACTTCGAGGCCAAGATCGTGGTGGCTGGTAAGCCTCTCGCTGCGGTGCCCGCACGACATCAACTAAACCGTGCAGGAAACCACGACGTTACCTTGGACGAGCCGTTTTACCATCAGCACGGCGCATCCTTCCACAATCAGCTTCCCCAGGATTCTGGTGCATGCATCCAGCTTCTGAAATCATCCGCAACCATCACCTACCTGCAGCACGAAGCCCGCACCATACAATTGACCGACCCTGCCGGCCCATGTACCCGTTTCAATGTGTTCGGCAGCCCGTACTCGCCGGAATGTGGCTTGTGGGGCTTCCAGTACAATCGTCGAGACGGACACAGGGTGTGGGACGCGATTCCGTTGGACACTGATGTGCTGATCACCCATGCTCCCCCGCAATTCAATTGTGACACAAACTCCAAGGGCCTTGCAGACGGCTGTGGAGCTTTGCGAGAGGCTCTTATGCGCATCCGGCCCTCTCTGCATGTGTGCGGCCATCGGCATGAAGGCAGAGGATCTGAGCGCATCCGCTGGAAGATCGACGTGCCAATGGCAGCCGTCATGGAAGAGCGGACGGACATCTGGACAGACCCGGGGACAGGCAACAACAAGCAGTCGCTTGTGGACCTCAGCGTGAGGGGAGGCAGCCCAATAGACAATGACTTGGACCACACCAGCACCGTCGTGTCCAACAGCGTGTCGTTCACGCCCGCGACAGTTCATCAGACAGCCTCGTCACAGCCTGATGTCATGCCGCCTGCTTTTCACCGCGAGAGCGTTTGCAGACCGTTCCAGCCTCCGTCGGCCGCCCGGCCGGCTGCGATTGCGACAGATCAAACGCCAGGCGACGAACAGCTCATCTCTCGCTTGGGCGGCCGGCGGGCAGCGGCGCTTTGCGGCAGGCTGGGCAGACGGGAGACGTGCATCGTGAACGCCGCCGTCATGGCGAAGAGCTACTACGGAAACAGCGGTCCGAAGCGCTTCAACAAGCCGATCGTTGTCGACCTTGATTTACCCGCCTGGCCGGTCGAGGCTCAGGTTGCACCAGCCCCGCGAGTATGATGTACCGTGAGTTCATCACCGGCCACGACGGGCACAGCTCCAAGCGGCTTCCCGAGGCTTGCGCTCACGGCCACCAGCAATCATGGCAGCACACGTAAGGAATGGGTCCTCGCAGTCACACGTACCCGCTTGCGGCTAGGCCGTACGGGACGCTGTCTTATCGATTGGTCCCGAATGCGTGCCCCGCAGCAGTAGCGGCTTTGCCCAGTCGGTCCAGCTCAGCAGGACAATCCCTGCTGGGCGGACAGGGTCATGGGGGCCGGAGCACGGAACGGAACGAGGAGCGCGGGTTGGCTGAGGCATTTGAGGGCAGGCCGCGGGTGCTGGACAGGGCGATCAGTAGGGGATCTTGCCCAGATCCGCCTGGACGGGCACACGGGGTGGTGGAGCGACGGCGGATTGGCAGCCCGGCTGCAGTGCGCAATCCTGCAGCCCCACGGCTTGGGGCGCCGACGGGACCTGAATGGCGAGGTAGGCGCTGGCGGGTTGCCTGTCACACCACGTTGTTCCCCGCCGGGGGGGGGGGGCCCAGCAGGGTCCGTTGATCGAATAAATGTGGTACATTATTATGATTCCAGAAGGACCGGCGTCGCGCGTGCGACTTGGTGGATGAGACCGAGGGCGCAGCGAAGGCCGCGGGCGGCAGGCCCGGCTGCGTGGCGGGCTGCGAGCTGCCATTGGCCGGCTGCCCTGCTAACCGCCGCGACACCCGCGGCCTGGCGGGCAAGCGACGGTGATTTGGCGGCTTCGCGGTCACGATGGGCCAGGCGGGCTGGGGGCAGGGCGGCGGGCGCGGGCGCGGGCGTGGGCATGGGCGTGGGCGTGGGCGCAGCGAGTGAGGACGCTGTGTGCATGATCGGACGCAGCGCACGAGGATCTCGCACGCCGCAGAGGCCAATGACGCTCCGGTACTTGCAGGCGGGCCTGTTGCAGGGCGTTGCAGGCTGTGGCAGGCTGTTGCTGAGCATCAATAAGCACGCCAGCCGCCCGTGGCCGCATGGTTTTTGCGCACCCGCAGTGCCACCCGCCGCCGCCGTGCCTTCCATCTGTGCCTTCGATGACCGGCCGCTCTTTCCCCGCCACGCGCCGCCGCTCCTGCTCTCTTATTATTATTATCGTGCTGGCTGGACCGCCGCGTGCCTGCAGCCTTTAGCCCTGCTAGTGTGGAACGCCATCGTCGCGGTTGACGTAGCTGAGCACGCACCTCACCGCTTCGATCCTGCATTCCGCCCAAGCCTCGTTCCTGCTGGCCGCTGCTGCTCGCAATCGCTGCTCGCAATCGCGGCCACGGCCTCGCCGTCACTCCCTCGCGCCCGCCCTAAGCAACACGCCTGCGCCCGCTTCCCAGTCCGCCACGTCCTACCTATTTTCCACCGCATCCGACTCGCGCGCCCTGATTTGCCTCAGCCGCGGATCTCGTGGGGCGACAATCGGCGGGCGAGACCCAGGGGCAGTTCTGGGCACTGGTCTCTCCACGATCTCCTTACAAGCCGGGGCCCGCGCCCTCACCACTGACCACACCCGTCAACGCCCGCATATCGACGCTGGGTCGTCATCCGCTCCCGAGCTCACCTAATGCTCCATTCGCAAGAAATATCCCATCCTTTGCTTTAGCCGCTGCGGTTTTCTGCAATCTCTCCAGCACCACCGCACAAGCCCCCTGCAGCCAATCTGGCGACCAATAGCCCGCCCACCGTCACTCTGCACCACCACTGTCGAGTATGGGCTCACCATTACCACCCGATCCCTATGCCGCCCTCGGCCTCTCCAAAGATGCCGACTCCACCGCCATCAAGACGGCCTACCGCAAGCTGGTCCTGAAGACACATCCAGACAAGTTCCCCGACCCGACGCAGAAGGCCGAGAAGAGCGCCGAGTTCCACAAGATCCAGCAAGCCTACGAAATCCTCGGTGACGACGACAAGCGGGAACGCTACAATGCCCAAGTTCGCCTCGCCGAGCTTCGGAAGGAGGCCATGGAGAGGCAGCACGCACGAGGCGCTGCCAAGGCCGAGACGAGTCGCCCTTCTCCCGCTGCCAACTACGATGTCAGAACGCCATCCGGCTCGACCGCCTACCCGCCCCGCGGCCCCTCGTCGAGAGCCTACGAGGAGCCGAGACCGCGCGAGTACTATGATGAGGAGGACCGCTACGACGAGCCCCGCCCTAAGCCACGGAGTGCGAAGCACTCGTATGGCTATACCACCCGCGGCCGGGAAGAGACGTCGTCGTCGCGTCGTACTAGTTTCGTCAACGTCTTCGTGCCCACCAGCAGTAGAGGTGACCGGGCCAAGACCCGGGATCAGACGAAGAGGAGGGATCGTGAGGAGAAGAAGTTCGTACCCGTCTACAATGACAGCGATTCGGACGAGCGCTATCGCCAAGAGGAAAGGCGGAAAAGAGAGTTTCGGCGCCAGGCAGAGGAAGAGGAGGACCGGAAAGAGCGTGAAAAGGAGGCGTTTAGAAGAAAGGCCGAGGCTGCCGCGGCTGCCGCTCGACGGGAGGAGGAACAGAGAGAACGGGAACGCGCTACTCGTGGCCGAGAAAGCTCTCGTAGGCCATCAAGTCGTCGGCCTGACGTCGACAGAGGTTATGAAAAGTACCTGGATCAAGGCGCGGCGGCCAAAGAGTACATTTCAAAACATCGCGCTACGTCTGTTCCGGCGGAGGAGCCGCCTGTCCGCTCTTCGGCGAGCCGATCGACCAAGTATGCTCAGGTCCGGCCGAAGGAGAAGAGTTCGTCCAAGCGATCGGCTTCTAGAGAACCGTGGATACTTTCAGGCTTCAGACACGGACAAGGCAGTCGGGACAAGTCGCGAAAGCCGGCGAGAGCCGCCGAAGCGGAGTACGATGAGGATTCGAGAAGACCTACACTTGAAAAGGCCGAATCTTCGCCGGCAGCCATGAAACAGGCGATGCGCGCTGCTGAGGTTCAGCGATCCGCAACCATTGACTCGTACGACAGCCGCAGGGACAGAGAAGAGACTCAAGCACCGCCCAAGATGCGCCGGGCTGAGACAATGCCAGCCCAGAAGGCCTCGCGCCAGGAGGAGAAGTCTAAGGCCAACACATCAAAGCCGCTGCGTACTGAGGTGCACAGGCACAACATGAACGATTCTGGTTACTCATCGCCCAGCACCCCTTCCATCTCAGACAAGGAGAAAGAAAAGGAAAGCAGGAATGTGCCTACAGCCCGAACGACGACGACTAGAACCGCATACCGGTACGGCGCTGAAGGCGGTGTCGCAATGACCACAGACGACGACTTCTACAACACCGTCACTGTTGAGCCGACAAGCAGTAGCGAGCGCATTCCTCGCCAACCCGTCAGTCGCTCTCCAATCCGGGAACGGCACCCCGACCGCGACAGCGACGACAGCGGCCGCGAGAGAATGCCGAGCGCGCGCACCATGCAGGCGGAGAAGACAGCTCGCTACACGTATCCCATGGACTCGGAGGCGCGCCGGCCGCACATGGCACGCGCATCGACAAATCAAGTCCCATCCGGTCGATCGCCCAAGAAAGATCCCTACGAGCGCGGTCGCACTTACGTCGTCTCTCCCGATCATGTGCGTGGACAATCGCATGACGATCGCGGCTACGACCGAGCCTATTTTGGCGAGATCCCGAAGCATGCTGGAACGCCGTTGCGCCGCGAAGAAATGCCCACGGGTCGTCCGCCGCTGAGGCGTAACGACAGCTACACGCCGCCAGACGTCCAGTACAGCCGTAAATTTTCCGAGGCAGATGTTCGATATGCTCCGAGGGGTCGGGAGAGGAGTGCTTATGCCTTTGAGGATGTACAATTGCCCCGGCCTCCCATGGGCGCTCGTGGTCAGACAGTCATGTAACGGTCTTTTATCGCTGCAAGAATAGAGAAGAAGGAGTAGTAAGTGAAGGGGGGTCGTTTGATCTTAGAAGAGCTGGCTTTCTCTGGCTGCTCTGGCTGAATTTCTTGATGCTCACGGGCTCGATTTCGATTATATCGACACGTTTAATGCTCGGCGCATCTTTTCTTCAGGTAAACACTACACGGATAAATACTGGCGGGTTCGGACGTTTATCAGGCGAAATGCATGGGGTAAGGGGGATGTTCAGCTGGGAAGTCGTACTTTCTGGTCTTTTTCCTGGTGTCATTTTTTTTTCCCCACTCATATGTTAGGGCGGCTGTCTCTCACGAACAGTTCAAACGGCCTGTACAACGAAACGCATGAAATTTCGAGCAAACGGCGGCAAAGGGAGTACTGGGTGCAATTGGCGGCTACGCATGCGTACGCGCATCGTATCATTTTTCCAATCTTTCGCTTTTGCGACTGTCATTTCTCGGTCACAGGCTTGTTCTTTACGAATCTCCAAGCCATTATTTTTTTTGCGCACTCGTTCTCCGTCATATCTCAGGAGAATCAAGGTCTTATTGATGAGCCACGATCTGATGCGGAAACCTTTCCTTCCTCTGCTCTCGGTCCATACATACAAAGAGAGATCCTTACATATGCTATGATCCTCGGCTGCACGGTACCTCTCCATCAATGAAAGCAGGGCTCGGGCTTTTCTGTTGTGCAAGAAGTCTATTTTTTCCACTTTTCTTCTTTGACCACTGCGGGGGTTTCACCTACTTCGTTTTCGGTATGCTTGACTCCTTGTTGCAAAGTGCACTATTCCCCCACCCCCAAGTTTCTCCCCTCGCTAGGGCGCGCAAAGAATCTGTTTGTACGTTCGTTCAAGTCCAAAATGCAAAAGTTGGATTGCAGTGTCCATCCGGCAGTACGATTATATTCTTTAGGCGTACTTCTTTCCTCATGTTCCCACTCTGCCGCGGGTTGGAAAGGAGGAGGCTGCGCAGACCAAGCGCAATGGTTCACGAGCAAGGCAAAATTGAGCTACGATACTGTCTCTCTCTCTCTCTCTCTCTCTCTCCACCCCCGTCCCTTCCCGCTTCTTCCAAGGCTGAGCACTGTCGAGTATCCTAGGTGACTTGCCAGCCTTGTGGGGGGGAGGGGGGGCGGGAGGAAGGCCCAGACCGGGCAAAATGTGCACGAACGATTTCTAGGCTGTGATTACTCCTTTCGCCGCCGCCATGGTTTGGTTGCATCGCATCGCATTGCAGCAGCCTCCTTCCTTTCCGGCGGCCTCTTAGCGACGTCTGTGTCGCCGCCGCCCCCCCCCTCACTTCCTTCTACCTACCGGTCAAGGGAGATGTGGGTGTGCGTCTGTGTGGAAGTAGATCAGGGCAGTGGCGGTAGCGGTAGCAAGCAGGGCGACCATTGCAGAAATGACCCGGCTCCACGACTTGCATTTCATACGCATGTGCGCATTGTCATCGCTGACGCGAGGGGACAGGGGGGGAGTGAGGAGGAAGTAAGTGGGTGGTTGGTTGCCTAGATGCAAAAGCACACAGGTAAGGCTGTGGGAGCCGCAGCGGGGCAGAAGGGATAAATCGGTAGGCGAAGGTGGTGAAGGAGGACGGACGATGGACGGCGGTGGGCCAGTAAGACTTCATCCCGACAGCCCGGCCTGACTGATGATGGTGTGCGGGCGGCGCTTAAGCGGCGGACTCTAGTCTCCTCTCTCTCTCTCTCTCTCTCTTTTTGCTTTTTCTTCTTGCGCATTTGGGCATGATGGTAAGCACATGCAAGAACGCCCCGGATGTTGTTGCTTGACATTGGGTTTTATTTTTTATTTTTTTAGTGCTGAGGGACCGGAAGTGGCGCTGTAGGGTGACACAAGACATGCGCTCCGCAAGGCGCGGTAGGAACGCCCCGTGTTTGTGAGTGAGTGAGTGTGTGTGTTTCCCGGCCTCGGGTGGCATAGGGCTTGCGGTTGGTGGTGCGGCCCCCCCCTCCTCCCCCACCTCGCACATACACTGTTTCGTGCAGAAGAAATACGCCTCTCCCGGCGCGACAGAGGGCGGGACGGTAAGCACCGACACATGCTCGTTCGTCTGAAGGGCGGGAGGAGTGAAGCGTCCAATAGGTTGCAGTCGTAGGATGGGGCGGGGGGGCTTATTTTCGACGCTGTGGGTGGGGGGGCGTGTCACACGCATGCGCGATATGGGTGAGAAAGGAGGGTGGATGAGTGGCTTTTTGCGGGAATATATGCGTGTGTGGGTTGCGCAACGCGCATGTGTGAGATGTTTTTTTGCTTGTTTCACGGGAAAGGAGCGGCAGCCCGCATGGAGAATCGGTCACGCGATTTGGGTGGCTTTCGGTCGGTTTCCAATCGTTGGCCCTCGCGATAACCGTCTGGACGGGTGCGTGCATGATAAGGCGGGGGCCGCTTGGACAATGAAGCAAGGAGGGGGGCGGAAAGGCTAGTCATCTTCTCTGTTCTTGTGCGAGCCGAGGGAGCACGAGACTCGAAATGCGGAGAAAGACCCTCTTTGCTCACGGGACGAAAGGAAATAAGTGGAGGAAAGACTAAGCGCGGCCGTTTGCCCGCCGCTCTGCTGCTTACTCGCTCACTGCTGTCTCACCTTCATCTAATCCTGGGCAGCCGATATGACTTGTGCAACCCTGCTTCTTCCGTCGTACCGGTTGCTCTTGTGATGCTTCAGCTGTTCAGTTTTGGCGCTGCATGTCTTGGGGTAGCGTTGATTCTCAAGACATCAATGCACAAGTCACCGCCTTGGCCGTCAAGGGATGATCGAACCACGCGTATACATAGCAGGTGTACCCTTGAATCTTGGGCTGAATAGCAATGAGATATGGCTTGCTCATTGATGGTGCGCCAAGTCAACTCCACCCACTCCAAGGACGCACGTGCACATGTAGCAAGCGCGTGTAAAGCAGTATATTCATCCCAATTCCAATGATACACGTAATCCATCTCGTTCAAAAGGCCGAGAAAGTCCTCGGCAAGGGGGACGGAAAGGAATAAGAAGGAGAAGATATGTAAAACAGCCGCCGCCGCGAAAAGACCAGGTATGAACGCCTCTCAAACATGAACTGCGAAGATACTGACAAAAATACACGAACAAGAGAGAAACTTGTCGAACAATGGGTTCAGCAACCCAACTGAAGCGAAGTGGAATAGCACGGGAGAATCAACAGGAGGAGAAAAGGAAAAGAAGAAAACAGAAGTCAAGCCCTGCCACCCATCCTCCATCTCCGATCCCGTTATCCCCTATCCCATGCACGTTTTTACCTTTCTTCTTTATCATTTCTTTTACCCATCCGTATTACCCTTGTGTTCGTCACATTCCGTACGTCGTTTCCATTCGTCCCTTCGTTGCCTCGGGGCAGACTTCTCAAAGCGCGAATCTCTTCGTGCCCTCAACCAACCCATCTGCCAACTTACTCACGATCGCCCATCTGGGTATATTCGCCATGAGCTCATCCAGTGCGGGGATCATCCCCTTCTCATTTGCATCGCTCCAGATGCACTGCGCCTTGCCGTCCAATCCTCTGAACCTATCACCGCTCTCGTCATCGCCGCTGTGACTCCGGCACCGCCTGCGACCGCAGTGGCTGCCCTCCTGCCCGTCGCTGGCGTCCCAGCCAACATCGACGGTGAAGGGTTGCTCCCACTCGCGGCTCCAGAGCCGCAGCTCGTTGGCGCCCGTGGGGCCGGTTCGCGGGTAGCGGCTGCTCTGGTTTTCGCCAGCGTTGCGCACGCGCAGGTCAGTGACAGGCGGGTCGAAGAAGAGGCGACAGGAGCGCGTGTTGCGCCCGACGACGTCGATGGTCGCCGTATTTGGCATTGTTGTCGAGTCAACCATGACCGATTCGTCATCCTCATCGAGCCTTGTGCGACTGGCGTTGAATTGCACCCAGCTGGAAAGGTATTTGAGGTCGTTACCGGGCGGCACTGGGTGCTTGGAATGGTCATCGCGCGGCACCACGAGCGGAGTGAGACCGTTCCAGGAGCATTTGATGAGGCCGGCGCGGCTCGCGGTATCGGGTGGGCCGCATTCAATCTGCTGACCGGCGGCTGAGGGCAGCTGTGCGATGATGGGTTGAACAAAGCCGTCGAGGCCGGTGAGTGAGGCTTCGTTCATACCCGTGTCGAGGTCAACGCGTTGAATAAAATAGACCTTGAGCTTGTTTGCCGGGCTGAAGGGGAAGGCAACGAGATTGTAGATAAGGGTTCCGACGAAGACAAGGAAGAGGAAGGTGGGGATGCGGACCGAGAAGCGGTGGAGGAATGGGAGAACGGGGACAAGGAGGAGAACACCAAAGACGGCGATGAGAAGGTACACTGTCAGCGCCGAAGAGCCATCTGCTAACGTTTGGTGAAGAGCGCTAGTGATGAGAAGGCCGACTTGTCCGACAAGAATGACGTTGATGGGCACTAGCAGAAGCAGCTGCAGTAACCAGGTCCAGCGGGGCAGCCTGCTACTCCAAGCTTGCTCCCCGGGAAAGGTGGGTTCGGGGTGGAGGAAGCGTCGCCGGTTCGTCGAGACGGAGAGGACGGATCGTGCGTCAAGGGAAGCACGCCTGCTGCCATGCCTGCTGCCACCGTAACCGCGGCTGAAAGTGCGGGGGTTTTGCTCACTGCGCAGAAGAGATGTCGTCTCCGTCGCATCGTCGTCTTCGTTGCTGTTCCGGCGATCGTCTCTGATCTTGTGATGGGATGACGGGTCTGCTACGGCAGTAGCAGCCGTGAGCGGTCGACTACTGATGGGCGTAAGAGAGGTCCTGATGCTTCCTGGAGTACGGCTTCCGGGGCTGTCGGATGTTTCTACAACATACTGGACATAGGTCTTCTTCTTCGGCAGTGCGAAGAGCTCCAGGTAGGAAATTAGTAGAGCGAAGAAGGCCGAAGCAAAGTAAATTACAATGAAGTAAATGCCGGCCAAGTGGAAATTGTTCTCGGCAACCGTTGCAAGAACCAGGAGTACGAAAGCGCCGGCGTAGATCCAAAGTAGTCCATAGATGCGGGTAAGTGCCGACGGACGCATGGCAGCCCCGCCACGGAGAATAAACCAAGAAATGCAGAAGAACGCAGAGAGCATCATGCTGAAACTCGTCAGTGAAGCACACAAGGGGGGTCGATAGACGAGAGGGACTGGAGAGGATCGAATGAATCTGAGACGAGAGATGAGCATACCTCCAGACAGAATATTCGCTACTGTACACTATATTAGGATTAACTTTCGTAATTAGGTAGGCCAGGCCAATGACGGCAGCCGTCGCGAAAACAAATGCAATTGGAAAGCGGAAGAAGCCTCGCCAGCCGTAAAGCGGGTACGCGTCGTCGTCATCCGACGAATGAAGATACTTCTTCCTCGCGAAAAGGTACCACTTGTCAACGCTGACCAAGATGGCGGTAAGTCCGATAAAGACCAGAGGGGTGACGACAAGTAATGTCACAGAGAAGGCGAAGAGGGTGTGCAATTCGAATATGGCAAGGACCTCGCCAAAGAGATCGAACCAGACGCCGTTGGTCCCCTTGCCGGTGCCGTCTGGCCCGCCTTCGAATTCAGTTCCGGTGTAAGAGGTGAGAGCTTTCATCGTCTCAAGCGCGGCAGACAGCATGTGCCACACGGAATCAGGAGAGGTGTCCCTGGCGGCATCCTCGACAGTGTGATACTGAGCGCGGGGTTCCATGAAGGCAACATCAAGACCGCGCATGTTCATGTCTGCAGTGAAGATGGAGTAATCGGTGCCACTCCGGATCAGGCCCCTCTTGAAGCCATCGGCGGAAATGACGCTCCCGAAAGGGTTCTTGGCCTTTTTGTAGAAGCGGGTGACTTGGGTGTCGGTGCTGCGGAAAAGAGTGGCGCGGCCTCCGGCACCAGCACCTTCAAGATTCAGGAAAGTGTGGGGGAAGAAAGACAGGGGGTGCTCGGTGAAGGCTTTGGCGCCGTTCAGCCAGTCCTCCTCGCCGTTGTTGAGAAGCGCAACGATGCCCTTTTTTGGCTGGTTTCCCTTGGTGGTGAAGTAGGAAATCAGCTGCAGAACGGTGACGACGCCAACGCCATCGTCGGTGGCGCCAAAGCCGGTGGAAACGCTGTCGTAGTGAGCATTCACAAGCACGCCACCAACACCGGAGCTCTCGACGTCGTCGGGGACGTCCTCGGAGCCACGGATGTAGACCATGACGTTGGTGCCCTCGAAGTAGACGCTCGTGTTGGAGCTGGAAAAAGTGACGTTCGAGACCATGTCGTTGTAGAGGACGACGGGCGAGGCCTTGGCGGCGTGGAAGCCCTTGGTGGAGTAGCTGATGGCATTGCGGGCCAGGATCTCCTCGATGCGGATCAGCAGCCAGTTGCGGACGTCGTCGTTGCGGTGCGAGTTGTAGGGGTGGTGGCCGGCGGACAGATACTGCAGATCCCTCCACGACTCGGTCAGGTTGATGCCGCGGGCGGGGGTCTGGGACTTGGGCGCGGGCGGGACGACATGGTGGACGACGAGCAGCGAGGCGACGACGGCCAGATAGATGACGCAAACAAAGAAAGTCACGGGGGCCGGGGTGAAGGCAAACGGGTTCCCGAGTCGGCGAGCCATCGGCGCGGAGTCAAGGCGGGAGGAGGCAGCGCATGCGGCTGGCCAGCAGCTTTTGAAGCGACGGCAGTGGCGCGGAAATTGCGGTGTGGTTGTCTTGGGAGCGAGCGTGAGGCTGGAGGAGGTTGTGTTGATAGGCAGGGCGGGCGGTCGCGGGGTCCGCTAGCGCAGGCCACACAGGCCGTTGCCATCAAGCATGCCAAGCACAGGCCGGGCGCTGGCCCGCCGGCGTTTTATCGCCGCTCCACTCCCGCTTTGCACACCACGGCCAGAGGCTGTGTCTCGTGCCACGGCCCTACGTGGCCTCCAATCACCAGGGTCCCCGTCTAGAAAAATCCAGGAGCGCCGTCGCCTGACTCGGCCGCGGCTCCATCATGGCATGCAGCAGCCAGCGGGGCTCTGGGGCTGAGAGAGGGCCCGTATTGCGACGCCTGCCAACGCCTGCCACCGCCTGCCACCGCCTGTTCTCCGACGCCGAGCTGCCAATCCGCGTCTCGTCCAAACCTCTGCTCCCTCGCCGTGCAGCTGCGCCGACAAAAAAAAACCGGGCCATCCCGGTGCGGGCCAAGCCCGGAAGCCACGACCGGCAGGGCCTGCAGATCCGATCCGGACTAGCGGGAACAGACGTCGAGGACGCCCGAGGACTCTTCAACCCGCCAACTACGCTTGACACCCAATCGCCCGACGACCCTCTCTCGACTGTGCCAGCGCGACAGCCGCCCGCAAGCCGCCCGCAAGCCGCCTCTCTGCATCGGGCGCCGACGCCAGTGCTGCGCGTCCTGCTGTCACACGAGCTCTAGCTCGGCCAGAGATAGATGAACTGCACAGCACCGCGTCACCCAAGATTTCTGCCGCCACGCATCTACTTATCACCTCCATCTTGAGACCACCTCGCGGGCATGGCGCTTACGCTGGCAGCAATGCTGTCTTGACTTCGCGGCCATCTTACTCAACCCGTCGAAAATTGTGAGAACTTCCGTTTATCCACATCCCCGCACCTCACCACTCAATCCCATCTCGCCCCCTACCCCATGTCTAAGACTGTCGTAAGCAGCGGCAGTCGACTGCCGCGAAGCGACATCTTTGTCTCTGGGGAAGCCTCACGTCAGCACTAGCCCCCCCCGCCCAGATATAAGAACTCTTCCGTAAACCAAAATACATACATACATACCATGTTGGAAGACGGCATCAACTACCAATCCTCCAAGAACAAGAATAACTGAATTCTATTCTCGCCAATATGACGAGCACCATGACGAGCACCGTGACCGACAGCACCGTGATCAACACCATGACCAAAACCATGCCAGCCGATCTCCCTTCCCGCTACGAGATCCGCAACCTCGGCCCGGAGCACAGCGACTGGGCCCTCGCCATCCTCTGCCACACCAACATCTTCTACGGGCCCCTGTGGAGCTCCAACTACAAGGGTACCGAAGCCGTCAGGCGCTGCCTCGCCCTCTACGAGCACGCGCGGTACCTCGTCGACCACCAGATCGAGTCGGGCTTCTCCTTCGGCGTCTTCGACAAAGAGTACAAGCCCAAGCGGCCCGAGTCTTCATCACCATCAACCACCACCGCCGACGGCGGCGGCGGCGGCGGCGGCAAGCTGTACTGGGACATCCACGCGGACCCGGCCACCCTGTCGGCCTCGGCGCTGCTCGACGCCATGGACTTCCCGCTCGTCTCCATCGCGCTGAGCTACGACAGCATCCACCCGCTCGACCCGGCGCGCCTGGCGCCCCTCGCGCCCGTCCTGCCCGCGTACGGCGAGGGCTTCGCGCGGCTGATCGCAAACGACGCGCGCGACCCCGCCAGCTGGCGGGCGACGGCGCCGCTGCAGGTGCTGTTCCGCAACGCGACGAGCACGCGCAGGGACTACGAGGGCCGCGGGCTGATGAAGGGGCTGGCGCACTGGCTGATGCGCTGGGCGGCGGCGATGGGGTTCCGCGGCATACAGATCGAGGCGTTTAACGATGCCGTCGCGAAGGTGTGGACGCATCCGCCGCCGCCGTTCGGGGGGGAGGCGGTGTCGGAGGTGAGGACGGGGGAGGTGGTGGTGGAAGAGGGGGATGGGTCGGTGAGGAGGCCGTTTGGGGAGTCGACGCAGACGCTGACGAGGTGTTATGTCACGTTGAAGTGAATGAGGGGACAAGGGGGGTTGTGGCAAGCTGTCGAGCAGACTTTGGAAGTGTGCTCAGAGCAGAGTTTCACCAAGAGGGACGAAATAATTGAAACTGCTACAGGCAGTGCTTTTGGTATTATTGACCTCTCTGCCGGTGTATGTCCTGCAGAGCTTGTCTAAGAAAGCCCAATGACCCTCCAGGAAAGCAGTGGGTATCTCATTCCCATATCGAAAGACCCTCGCCAAGAGAACTCAACGAGCCTCGAGTAAAGAAAAGAACATTCTGGTCCACAAGAGGATTTGGTCACAAGCTTACCCAGTCGACCGAGCAAGAAGAGGCGTCGAGTGCGAGAGCGCCCCGCGTCCGCGACAATGACTGTCGAGTTCAGGCGATGAGACCGCCAGCGGTGGCCTCACCCGGCTTCAGAGCGCGGGCGTCGTAGGCGCCACCCTGGTGAGCAGCCGGAGAGTCGTCCCAGGCAGCGGCAGCGGCCGTGCGACGGGCCCAGCCTTCCATGTCGTGCTCGCGCCTCTGGGGGCCACCAGCACCGTTGACATTCTTACGGTGGTGGCCGTTGCCCCTGCCCTTGCCAAAGTGACGGCGGTTGTTGATGTTGTTGTTGTTATCGTCGATGTGCTGGTACGCATGGCGTTGGAGGAACGGCTGCTCACGCTGCTGGTTCCCGTTCTGGTGCTGGTGCTGCTCTTCCTCGAAGCGCTGGCGACGGAAGGCGGCATTGCCCTGGTTCCAGTGGGCGAAGTCGTGGGCGTTGGCCGATGCCATGGCGCTCTGCTGCTGCTGCTGGGCAACTTCGTTGACCAGGTTCTTGACGAACTCGTCGTGGTTGATGAAGAACTCGCAGCTGGCGGTGATGTCGCCTGCGTTGCGGCGGTAGCTCACGTTGTGGATGAGGTGCTTGACGATCTTGCTGTCCACGGAAAAGTTGGTCATGATGGTCTCCATGTGCTGCCACTCGAGCGGCTCCTTGGTGATGAAGTTGGCCAGCTTCCACCAGATGGTGACCTGGGCCGCCTGGACCTGAAGGAGCATCGAGGCCTTCAGCAGCTCAATCCAGGCGAAGAAGTTGCCCTGGACCTGCAGACGGGAGGGGATCGCCTGGTTGCAGGCCGTGACCATCCAATCGCAGATGTACTGGAGAGCGTCAGGATCAATTCCGCTGTGCGGCAGGATGAGCACGGAGCGACGACCCCCCTCCGTCTCACCGGGGATCTGGAAAGCCTGCTTGAATGCCTCGGGCGAGAAGGCTTTGAAAACGTTGGCTGGCATAATGTACTCGAAGGTGTCCGGAGCCGAGCTCTTGAGCTGGACGACATGCTTGAGAGAGCCCAGAGCAAGACGCTCCTCGTCTGGGAGGGTTGCCAGGTCGGCGAAGGTGTGGACATGGGCGACCGACTCGGTCGGCTCCATGGACTCAACAGAGAACATCATGTTGGCGTGACGGCGGCGATGGTCTGCGGCGCAGCAAGATCTTCGGCGGCGCAGTGTTGGAGTGAGCGCAGCCGACGGTGAAGCAGTGAGAGAAGCTTGCGCAGAAGCGTGGAAGGGGGAAGACAGAAGATGGCCGGTGAGGTGACTGAATGTTGTAGAGGATTGGTTGCTGGCCGGCGTAAGAGTTGCATTTTATCATGGACCCTACAAGTCACATGGTTGCTCCCATAGGCGCGGGAACGAGGACTTTCCCTTTATGGTCCGGACAGATGCTTCACCTCCGGATTGGCCTACTTGACAGCACATTCATTTTGGGATCAGCGTGTCGTTGGTTCACTCTTTCAGACTTGTCCTTCCCCCATTTAGCATTGCGAGCCTGATACTCGCCACGATGAGTTCTAGAAGATCTGCGCTCACTCACACAGACAGCAGAAATTCTTCTGCAACCAGCTGTGTCACTATTCCCGTCCTTCTGAATCTACAAGTCTCTCTACCGGGCTAAGTAAGCCAAACTCAACAGCCATACTATATGGCCTAGTTGGCACAAAAGACACGCAGAGACAATGAAGTCTGTAGCTTAAAGCGGATAGACATGCACATGCAAGGCAAGAGCTTCATGGACAGTGGGCTATAATCTCACATTTCATAGTGAGACTGCATTGCTCGACAAACAAGTATTTGCTTGGTAAATACAGCGCGACGAGTCTATATAATTGCACGATACGCTCACTTCAGTTTGTCAGCATCCGCCTTCATGCCGGCCTGCACCCATTTCCTCGACTCGGCGGCGTGCTGCTCCATCTTGGACTTGTCCTTCAGCAGCTCCTTGATGGTATGCGGGTCAGGCACGTGCCTGCCCTTGTCGACGCCTGGACGCGCCTCCATACGCTCTTCCCAGGCCTTCAGCTTTGGGAACTCGTCGATCTCCACACCAGCCCAGCCGGCGGCAGCAATCCATCCGTAGTGGGCAATATCCGCGATGGTGCACTTGTCGCCGACGATGTACTGGTTCCCGGTCTCGGCCAGGTGCTTGTCCAGAACACCGTAGAGGCGACGCGTCTCATTCTGGTAGCGCGTGATGCCATACTCAAAAATATCAGGCGCGTAGCGGGTGAAGTGATTTGCTGGGAGCAATTCAGAACCGAACCGACGGGGTCGTTGTTTGGAAGCACTTACCCTGGCCCTGCATGGGACCAAGACCAGCGTTCTGGAAGAACAGCCAGTTGTTGACCTCGTAGGACTCGCGCGAGCCGTGGGGATAAGAGATTTTGTGCTCCGTGTCGTAGCGCGAGACGAGGTACTGCATGATGGAGCCGGACTCGAACAGGCGAATGCTCTTGCCATCAGTGTAGGTGTCGGTCAAGGCGGGGATGCGGCCATTGGGATTGATGGCGAGGAACCAGGGCTCCTTCTGCGTGTTCTTGCTGATGTCGACCTTCTGGACCTTGTAGGGAAGGCTTATCGGGCGTCAGTCGGACGGCGGTAGCACATCTCAGCCGGGAACACCGTACCCAAGCTCTTCCAGAGTAATTGACACCTTGATGCCGTTGGGCGTCTGGGTGGTGTACAGGGTGATGTCGGGGGTTTGAGCGGCCATTGTGGATGCTGATGTGGGGGACAGGATGGGGCGAGGGCACGGCGATTGAGCGCTGACAGCTACGGCTTTATACGTGGATCCGCGCGGCGTTCACGAGTGGAGTGAGGGGCAGGCTACGGCGTGCGGCGGGGTGCTTAGAAATAGCAGCCGCTGCTACGTCATGCCACTGCGAAGGTTGGGGCGTCTGTCTCTACATGATGCAGCGCAGCACCGCAAGGCTTTCGGCGGCTGCGGCAAGACTAGGTATCAGCATCGGAATTCGCGTCGCGCTCAGTGGCACCACTCGTGGCATGAATCGTGGGGGCTGTCGACACCACCATCTGGGTTTGTGCACGAATTTGCCGGCTCGCAGGTGTAGTCGTGCGCAGGTGAGACGGATCTTCAGGTCGCCGCACGCAACGGACGGGGAACGGACTGCAGTCGTAGTCAGGTCCGGCCAGCTCTGGTCTGGGGCACGCGGGCGCGCCTGCCCGCACGGATGAGTCAGCGGACGGCTGCCTGGTCCAAAGTCGGCTCCTGCACGCCAAGAGACTAGAAAGTCGCCGCCGCGCCAGCACGAACAGCTCGCCCTCCTCTCACACCCACCTCTCTCACCTCCAACATTTCGCGCCCGTCCCGCCAACTCCATCGCGCGCCCACTCGCAAGCATGTCGTGGCGCAACCAGGGCATCACCGGCTCGAACAACATCCCGCTCGGCAATCGTCGCAGGTTTGGCGGCGAAACGACGCCTTCGGAAGACAGAGATGGCTACGACCCCTCTGCTCCCGCGACCGGTCTTTCTGACCTGAAGCGCGGCCGCAGCCCCGTTCGTGGTAAGTGCCGCTCCCCGAAACCATGTCCAGCAAGCAAGACCTGCTCACACCGTCTGCAGAACTCAACCCTGATGGCACGCGCAAGCGCAAGAAGCGCAACCGCTGGGGCGATGCCTCCGACAACAAGGCCGCTGGCCTGATGGGTCTCACCACCGCCATTACCGCCCACATGACGGCCGAGCAGCTCGAGGCCTACACCCTGCACTTGCGTATTGAGGAAATCAGCCAGAAGCTGAGGATCAACGACGTGGTCCCGGCTGACGGTGATAGGTGAGCGAACACCCCCTCCCCTTGGCTGTATTGTCCCGCGGTGAATATTGATTAGATCTAGGTCCCCCTCGCCTCCGCCGCAGTACGACAACTTTGGTCGCCGTGTCAACACTCGCGAGTACCGTTACCGCAAGAAGTTGGAGGATGAGCGCCACAAGCTTATTGAGAAGGCGATGAAAGTCATCCCTAACTACCATCCTCCTTCTGACTACAGGCGCCCCACCAAGACCCAAGAGAAGGTCTACGTCCCGGTCAATGACTACCCGGAGATTAACTTCAGTATGATTGCTAACCCTCGATTTCTAACCTGCACATCTGCGTCTTCTCTCTCTAAATCTGCGACATTACGTGTAATGCGCAGTGTTGCTCACTTCACTAACCACCTTTTAACTCACTCACTTACTCGATCTTGAAAAGAACCCGTTAACTAACACTAGCCCTTTTTTTCTACTAACAGTCGGACTACTTATCGGACCCCGTGGAAACACCCTGAAGAAGATGGAGGGCGAGTCTGGCGCCAAGATTGCCATTCGTGGCAAGGGCTCTGTCAAGGAGGGCAAAGGTCGCTCGGATGCCGCTCACACCAGCAACCAGGAGGAGGATCTCCACTGTCTTATCATGGCCGATACCGAGGAGAAGGTCAACAAGGCCAAGAAGCTCATCCACAACATCATCGAAACGGTACGTAACGATCCAGACTCGTTTAAGCGCAAAACAACGGCTAACAGATTTCAGGCTGCTTCCATCCCCGAAGGCCAGAACGAGCTCAAGCGTAACCAGCTACGTGAGCTGGCCGCTCTCAACGGTACCTTGCGTGACGATGAGAACCAGGCTTGCCAGAACTGCGGTCAGATCGGTCACCGCAAGTACGACTGCCCCGAACAACGCAACTTCACGGCCAACATCATCTGCCGCGTCTGCGGCAACGCTGGCCACATGGCTCGTGATTGCCCTGACCGCCAGCGCGGAGCTAGCTGGCGCAACGGCGACCGTGCCGGAGCCAGCGGTAAGATCGGTGGTGGGGACGGCATGGATCGCGAGTACGAGTCCCTCATGGCTGAGCTCGGCGGTGGTGCGCCCCAGCATCGCATCGAGGCCGGCCCCGGTGCCTACGAGGGCAACAACGATAGCTACGGTGGTGGCGGCGGCGGCGGCGATGGCGACCGTGATGTGAGGCCCTGGCAGCGTGGCCCGACTGGTGCGGCCGCTCCTTGGCGCCAGCCTCGTGAGGATCGCGAGCGCGGTGGAAGCGGCTCTGCTCCTCCTCCGTGGGCCAATGGTGGTGGCCGTGGCGGTGGATCCGACAGCTATGGTGGATATGGGCAAGGTGGCTATGGCGCCCCTCCCGCTCCCGGTGCTGGTGCTGGTGCTGCTCCGTGGCACCAGGGATCGGCCGGCGCTCCCCCGCCACCCCCCGGCGGTCAACCGTGGGGCTACAGCTATCCTGGTGGTTACGATCAGGGCGCGGGTTACGGTCAGCCTCCCATGGGTGCACCCCCAGGCCTTGGTGCTCCTCCTGGCATGCCCTCCATGCTGTCTGGATTCCCGGGTGCCGGTAGCCCTCCGCCGCCGCCGCCTCCCGGTGACGCCCCGCCGCCGCCTCCTCCCAGCGACCAGCCTCCGCCGCCTCCTCCAGGCGCCTAGATGTTCGACTTGGGCGACTGAGCTACACCAAGTGGACTCAGTTCAAATTGGAATATCGGATCGGGCAAAGGTTTCTCGCTACTGACATTCGCTTCTTCAATGACTAGTTCTCACGTGTTTTACGATACGCTGGAGTGGGTCTCCACTGGAGCGAAGGGTAAGGAGTGGATGGTTTGGTTTCAGAACAGGGACTCTTGGGGCTTTATTTTTCTGAGGTGTGATCTCTCGTGGCCCGCTCCTCGGACTTACTCTCTCACTGCTTGAACTAACTGCGAGGACCCTACCTAAAAGCCCACAGGTGGGTGGTCTATTTCTGACGGCCTAAAATTGCATACTGTGCGTCCACGATGTTGAGAAAATTCTTATGTGACTTCTATTGTTATTTCATACAGAAGGCTGCCGCAATGGCTCCTGACATATCACGAAGGCGGAGAGGTTGACGAGAGACATGGTGCCGACTGCAAGGTGGACCCCGGCTCGTCGATTTGCAGGGGCATCGACACTAGGATTGTCGCCGGAACACGTGCAGCTGATCACGTCCACAAGCTCGATCAAGGCAGGTTGATCGACACCCCAGACGGCAGTAGCCCCGCATTGGCGCTAGAGCAGGAATGAGTGTAGTCAACCCGAGGCGTTGCAGAAGCACAAATTCTATTCAGACTTCCGCATGTTTATGATGTCGGGTCTGCTTCGCTTTTAGTCTCCCGCTGTTGAGAATCGAGGTTGCTACAATAATGCCAGATATATTGAAGCCAATAGTAGGTGAGAGATTATTGGTCGCGCTATTGACTGCCCATTCCCCATGTCCTTTTAGAACTCGATTTTCGCTTGGTACATGGTAAGTGTATTGCGCTCTTGTTGGGCGTGGGGGTGGTTGAAACCGGGGGTCGGCCAGCTGGCTTGATGAAGACAAGAAAGGGATCGATCTTCTTGCACACGCGAAGAGCAAAACCCCTCCTCGGTCCATGTGAGGCACGCAGGGCGTAGCGCTAGTACCCTCTACGAACGGGGGCTACTACCTAGTAGTGTATGAGCCAGAGTGTGAAGTAGCCTCACTGGTTAGTGTGGTGAATGGCGTGAGACGCTGTCGCAATCATACCAGTTCGACTCCCTTGCGCCAATTGTTCATAAGAGACGATGTTCCCGCTAGTTCGGCCATAGTGACGGTGTTGACACGGCAGACAGGAACATGTATATTAAGTCACCCCTCCCTCCTTTGGCCGCCGTTTGTACCATTGGCGAGGGCCCAGGAAAACCACGACGAGCAATTACGCACCCGATTTGTCGCATTCCCTATTGCTCAGCTTCTTCTCCGCCATGACGACCATGCGGGCCATGGGCCACCAAAACGGCTCCCGCTCATCATCCGTCGACGACGTTGAGAAAGCGGATATGAGGGCGCTCGAACACACAAGCACCGCCGCCACCAAAGAGAGCACCACGAAGCCCGTCCGCACCGTCTCGGAGGTCCCCGGCAACCCGAACTATTACGAGAGGGACGGCCTCCGCACCTACGGAGACGGCATGGACCATGACCACGAGCCGCCGGTAAGCATCATCGCTGTTGGTCGGACAAGGCTTCCATGCCAACACTCAAGCAGATGACTTTCAAGCGCTGCATGGCCCTGGTCGCCATGGCTTTCATATGGGTGGCGTCGCAGATTCCACTCTACCTCTTCGGCGCTGTTCTCGCCGTGATCTACTCAGACATCGGCGGCTCTGACATATACGTCTGGTCCGTCGTCGGAAACCTGATAGCCAGCGCCGCTGTAACCCCTTTTGTCGGCCCGCTTTCCGACCTCTGGGGCCGTCGCTGGTTAAGCGTTGTTGGCATGATATTCATACTTGGTGGGTTCCCCTTGCCCGCACCACTTCGGAGTTTTATGCTGATACCCCTTTCAGCGGGGACGCTTGTGGCCTCTTTGGCAGGGAACATGAACGTCTTCATCGTAGGCATGACTTTTATAGGCGTGGGGGGCGCCATTTGTGAACTGACGGCGCTGGCGGCCACCGGCGAGCTCGCTCCGACCAAGAAGCGGGGCATCTACATGGGCAGCATCATAGTTACCATCATCCCCTTTTGTCCATCGGTGTTGTGGGCGCGTTGGATTGCTGAGACGTCTTGGCGGTACAATGGCCTCTTTTGCGCTCTATGGTCTGTCACGGGTCTGGTGCTGCTTCTCGTCTTCTACCACCCACCGCCGCGTGTTAACAGCCAAGGTCTGAGTCAATGGGAGGCAGCGAAGCGTATCGACTACATCGGTGGCTTTCTGTCCACAGCTGGCATCGTGCTCGCCTTGACGGGTCTGATCTGGGGCGGCTACAAGTATTCATGGAACTCTGCGCACGTCATCGGCACGCTCGCCACAGGAATTGTATTGATGGTGGGATTCGCCGTTTGGGAGTCGTTCTTTGCGCCATGGCCTATGTTTCCGGGTCGGCTGAAGCAGGACCCTCGCAACTTGTGCCTGATCCTCCTAATCACGTTCATGTCGGGTGCGAACTTCTTTTCGGTCCTGGTGTTTTGGCCGATACAGAGCGAAAGCATGTACGACCAAGACCCTATTCAGATTGGCATCAGAAGCTTGCCGATTGGATTCGGTATCATCGGCGGTTCGGTCATTGTCGCAGCCCTGACGTCGTTGCTCAAGGGGAGAATCAGGACGCTGACTGTGCTGTCATGCGCTCTTATGACTGCTGGCAAGTATTCTCGGTACATGGCCTGGCTCGGGTTAGACTGACGGCATCCTCAACAGGCACGGGGGCTATGGTCATCGCCCGGCTGGACAACCTCCACGAAGTCTACATTGGGCTGACGCTGGCTGCCGTGGGCATCGGCGGCATCATCATCCCCAACCAAATCGTCATCACCATCATCTGCCCAGACGATCTGATCGGGTCGGCCACGGCCATGGCGATCACGGTGCGCATGATCGGCGGGTGCGTGGGCTACGCTATATACTACAGCGTCTTCAAAAAGAACTTCAGCAAGAACGCGGTGAAGACGATCGCGCCGGCGGCCATGAAGCACGGGCACATCTTCGACGCGGCCGTGATCAAGAACATGGCGTTCGACATCTCGGCCAACCTGAACAGCAACATTTCGACGTATCCAAGCCTGCGGGACAACCCCTCGGGCGTGGCGGCCATCATAGAGGCCGGGCGGCAGTGCTTTGCCCTCAGCTTCCCGGACATCTACTGGGTCGGGGTGGGGTTCGGGGCGGCGAGCACCATGGCGGCCATGTTCCTGGGCGACATCTCGAGCTATCTGGACGACCACGTCGCCGTGACTCTGAGCTGAAAGGGTGGATGACGGGCGGGGTTGCGTGTTTTCGGCGGGTCCGAGCTTGGGGCCCTATAACAGCAGGCAGGCAGTCATATCAGCGCAGTCAAACACTTGGGACGGGCCGGGGCGAACAGAGGTTTCGGGCATGCTTGCGCGTTCGCACGCTATATGGTCAGCGTATAGCCTCTCTTGGCTGCGGGCGGGCAGCCAATCAGGGCGGGCGGGACGCGTTTGCATTGCCGCTTCCGGGGGCGCGTCCACAGTTAATCTCACGCGTCGATAGAAGTCGTGCATGAAAGAGGCAAAGCGAAGTGACCAAGAGCTGCATGGCGACGATCGGCTTGCGTTCGCGCAACGGTGTGACGAGCGGTGCTGTGGTGCTGGTGGACGGTGCGGGAGACAGATGGCTAGGGCAGCGGCGGGCAGCGGTGGGCAGCGGCGGGCAGCGGCGGGCAGTGGCTCGGCGCCCCATGGCCGGGTCGGGCAGGCGCTGCGAGTAATGCGGCTTTGTCAGCCAGGGGAGCGGCCGCCGTTTCACTGGGCGCGCGCGCTGCGTCGCAGTTAATAAAACGCAGGCTTTTGACATCATCGCGCCCGATCCAGCGACTCCAGCACCGCGACGCGCTTAAGCTCTCCGGGGTGCAGCGCGACCAAAGACTCCACACGCCTGACGCCTGACGCCCCCCTCGCTCTCCGCTGCAGCACCCACGCCGGAGAGTGAATTCGTCCACCAATGCCGACGCCTGCCCATGCCCTGAGCTGCATCACGTGTCGCAGCCGCAAGGTGTGCCTCCAGACCTCCCGTCCGCGCCCTGAGAATCCGGAGCCCAGGAGCTGACGCCTGCCCCCAAGGTCCGCTGCGACAAGACCCAGCCGTGCTCCGCCTGCCGCCGCTCCGGCGTCGAGTGCATCTTCCCCGCCCAGCGCGCCCAGCGCAAGAAGCACGGCCGCCGCAATGAGGAGCTGCTGCGCCGGCTCGACCACCTCGAGGGCCTCGTCGACCGTCTGGGCGGCGAGGTCGCCGTGACGGCCCACGCTGCGAGCGGGGAGCCTCTGCCTCAGCCCGAGCACCACCGCCCGCCCTCGCCCGCCCATGGCGTGCCGCCCCACCCTCTGCGCCCACGCGGCCCTCCGCGCGAGGACGGCACCTACCCCGTCATGAAGGAAGACGGCGGCCGCTACCTGGGCGAGGACTTCTGGACCAGCCTCAGCACAGAGGTACGCTGCTCTGTCCGCTTTCTCTGCAGACTGCTAAGCCATGCCTAATCCCGCGCTAGGTCGAGGGCCTCAGGGAGCTGCTGAACGAACCAGAGTCGGACGAGGAGCCTGCCACTGAGCTGACAAGCGCCAGCCCGCTGCCCGCCCATGATGTCTACGAGAAGCGTCTGATGAACAGCCTTTTTGTCTTCAGCGGCGACATCGAGGCAACAGATCTGAGATGGCTCCATCCCCCGGGCCCCCAGATCAGAACTCTCTCCGAAGTCTACTGGGACCGTGTCGACCCTATCTACAAGGTCCTGCACCGCCCCACCACTGAGCCGCTTCTCTTTGCTGTCGCCCAAGACAGCGCTTGCATTCCAAAGGGCGCTGGCTACGAAGCCTTGTTGTTTGCCATATACTTTGCAGCAGTGACCTCCTTGACTCCAGATGAATGTCTTGACCTCCTCGGGAAAGAAAGAGCAAACCTCGCCGGTCAATTCCGCCATTGCTGTGAAATATCCTTGGCTAACGCCGACTTCCTCAACAGCACCGACATGCAGGTTCTCCAGGCCTTTTCGCTGTATCTTGTCAGTGAATTCTGTCCCGGTTTCCTTTTTCTCTTTGAGCAGCAAAGTCAATCGTGCACCACTCTTCGTATTGCCCGCTGACCTTGCATGATAGGTGGTTCTACGCTGCCACAACAAGACCCGCTCGGTATGGACGCTGGTCAGTCTTGCAGTCCGCATAGGTCAGGATCTCAATCTTCACCGAGACGGCGCTGTCACCGGATTCTCTCCCTTCGATACCGAAATGCGGCGACGCCTCTGGTGGCAGATTGCTGTTCTTGACATCCGCGCCTGCGAAGATCGTGGCTCCTTCCCTCTAATAGACCACAGCCTCTGCAGCACCAAGATGCCCCTCAACATTAACGATGACGACATATCCCCGGAGACGCGCTTTTCGCCCTCCGAACGGACCGGCTGTACTGATGTGAGCTTCTCCCGCCTTTGCCAGGAGGCCTCCATGGCAGCACCCAAGTTCTTCAGCCCAGCCCCCGCGGATGTAGACGACGACCAAAAGCGGGACCAATGGCAGATGCAGATACAACAAGAAGTCGAAAACTTCAAGGAGCGTCTGCACAACAAGTTCATCATGCACGTCAATCCATCCATCCCGATCCAATTCGTCATCTCGCAGGTTGCCCAGATCGTCACATCCGAATTCTGGTTGTTGGTCCACTACCCAATCCAAACCCGACGTTACGCGTTCAAATCCAAAGCCACGAAGCAGGATATTCTGAACACGGCCATCACCCATCTCCGCGTCGATTATGGCCTCGGGCACCACCCGGCTGCATCAAAGTACAAGTGGTATTACGAAACCTACGTCCAATGGCACCCTCTCGCCGTCGCACTTGCCGAGCTCTGCGTTCAGACTCGGGGCCCTCTGGTAGACGAAGCCTGGAGCATTGTCGACGCCGTCTACGAACGCGCACGCTCCCGCGTCACCGACGTCTCTCTCTGGCGGCCCGTCCGAAAGCTCCACCAGAAAGCCCGAAGAGCTCGTGCGGCGGCGCTGCGCGGCCGTAGCGGCACAGTGACGACGGAAGACGACGAGCTGATGATGTCCGGTACCAGCCTTGCGGCCTCGTCAGAGTCGCCCGTGTCCGTTTCTGAAAGGTCCATGTCGCAGCTGCCGCTTGATAATCTTGAGAGGTACCTCGCCACCGCCGGCCAACAGCAACAGCAGCAGCAACAACATCAAGATGCCTTGTACCATTCCCCAATGGATGATAACAGCAGCCTAGCCTCCTTCGTTTCGGTGCTTCCGTCATCAGCACCATTGCCAACAACAGCCATGACTGCAGGACAGCCACAACAACACCATCAACCCCAACCCCAACTCCAACCCCCGCAAATACCATCTCATCACCCTCGCCAACACCCAATACCCGCGGTAGCCGCCACTACCACCGCACCAACAACCGGCCAACAACAACAACAACAACAACAACAACAACACTTGGATATGCTCTCCTCAACCGCCGCCGTGGACCTGTCCGGCATGACTCTCGACGCGGGGGTATACGGCGACCCCGTCAACTGGCAGGACTGGGACGACTTCGTGCGGAGTACCTGGGCCGCCGAGGACCCCAATGCACAGCAGCACAAGACGAACACGCCTGAGTGGTTGCTGGATATGGGGATGAGTGGGTGATGATGGGTTGGTGGTTGCTGCCGTGGGGATCGATGTAGGTTGTGGGGGGTGCGTGGTTGTGAGGGGAGGGAAAGAAGGGAGTGATAGAGCGAGGGAGGGAGAGATCTGTTGATATATAGAGTAGCGTGGAAATAGATGTGAGTTGGGGTAGGGCAAAAAAAGAAAAAAAGCATTGGGAGTTATTCGGGAGGATGTATATAGAAGCAATAGATACCCCTCCAGCTTTTAGCAACAATGTTGAATTCTTCTGCTTGTGTTCGGTTTGAAGCTTCCCAATGACCAAGAATCCTTTGGCAACAGCTAAGTTTTTGGGAATAACAATTTTGTTTGTAGATTCGTCATATCCAAAAGAAAAAAAGGTCCGAACAACGCAGTAGCAGTTGCAAGTCCTCCTCTTCTTCCTTTTCCTTTCCCCCTCCCTCTTCACTGCAGACACAATCCCATCCCCTCGCGCTTTTTTTCTTTCTTTTCTTCTTCTCTACGCCGCCTCCCCATGAACCCCACCTTCCCCCTCCCCATCATCATCAACAACAACATCATCATCATCATCCACATGCTCCCTCGCCCACGGGCTCCGCTCCCTCAACACCCGGCCATACCGCTCCCACACGAACGGGATGGGCACCAGCGCCAGCGCCAGCGCCGCCAGCGTCGCCGTCGCGCCCCCGTTGCCCAACCGGCGGAACATGGCGTGCGCGAAGAGGGGGAAGGCGGCGCCGAAGAGGTTGCGGACGAGGCCGATGCCGGCGAGGGCCGAGGCCGAGTAGGCCTTGTACGCGTCCTCGGTGTAGGCGAAGGTCATGAGGATGAGCGTGTAGAAGGACCAGCCCCAGAGGGCGGAGGCGAGGACGGGGAGGACGGCGGGGAGGTGGGGGGAGAGGGTGAGGGAGAAGGCGAGGAGGGAGGTGGGGAAGGCTGTTTGTTTTTGACGGACAAGAAGTGGTGGTTAGTGTGTGAGGTTTTTCTTTTTTTTTTTTTGGATGGTGGGGAGAGCTCGTCGTGACGACTTACCGACTGCGGCGACTTTGCCCATCTGCACGCGCGCCTCGGGGACGTTCTTGCCGCCGGACTCGTGGACTCTGCGCTGGTAGTACTTCTCCTGCCAGATGTTCGTGACGGGGCCGAGGCTGATGCCGGCGCAGATGCCCAGGAAACAGACGCCGACGCCGACCATGTCGAAGCCGTGGCCGGCCTGGCCGAAGACGAGGACGAAGGCCGTGTTGAACAGGAAGCTCAGGCCGTAGAGGTAGCCGTTGTAGAGGGCGGCGAACGTGATGATGGCCTCGGATGCCAGGAACCGGAACGGCCGCGTGAGGGTGACGGTGAAGAGCTCCTTGGCGCCTCGCTTCTTCATGTGCTCCGGGACGTCGATGTTGCTCGTGTGGCTTTGGCTGCGTGCCTTTTCTGCGCGGCGAGCGAGGAGGATGCTGTGGCGGGTCTCGCCGCAGAAGAGCAGCGAGAGCGTCATGATGACCCAGAGGCTGCCGTTGATGCCGAGCAGGGCCCAGAAAACGTCTCGCCATCCTCTCGTCTGGGCTACGAAGGACATCATGAAGAAACCGGTCGGCGAACCGGCCGTCGCTGCCCACAGGTAGAGCGACATTGCTGGGCCCGTGTCGTGCGGGTGGTAAAGGTCGGCGATTGTGCCGCCGAAATTGGCTGGGGAGACGTTATAACCCGAGCATTTAAGGTGAGGGAATCGAATGTACTGTACCTATGGTGACTGAAGCAAAGTAGCCGGAGATGATGCGGACAGGGATGAAGACTGCAAGGTTGGGGACCACAGCGGATGCAGCAAGGCAGCACAGGAAAACAAAATAAGAGTAAATGTAGATCGGCCGCCTTCCATAGTACTACCAGCTCGGTTAGCTTGGTTCGGGGTACTTCCCCGGGTGCAACCATACCTCGGAAAGCGGTGCCCTGCATCGCAATTAGAGAACTGAACAATTCGCTACAAGAACCGCTCATCACCACTCACAAAGTCATGGGCCCAAACGCCAAACCCAGCACGTACAGCGACAAGCCCAAGGTCCCCGCCTCGGGCGACAGGCCCCAGTCCTCGGCGAACTTCTTGCTGGCGGGCGAGAAGCCGGACGCGCCCCAGCTGACGGAAAGGTCGATGAGGACGATGGGCCCTATCATGAGCCACTTCTTCCACCGCGGCCAGTTGCGCGGGTCCTCCGGGTCGCCGGGCTCGAAATGCACGACGCCGGCGGCGACGGAGCCATGGTGGGCTTTACCGTTGCTGATGCCGTAGCTTGGCGCATCGCTGCTGGACGCGAGCAGCGGCTGGGTGCTGTCGTCGGCGCCGGGATTGGTGTCGGATGCCATTATCGTCTTTCTGTTCTTCGTTGCGGATGAGCTCGTGGCCGGGCAGGGCTTGGCCGTGGGGGTGTGCCACAGGGTACCGTGAGTCTGGAGAGGTTGTAGTCGGTGACGTCTGTATTAAGCGGGAGCTTCCCCACTGTTGCACAGACACAGGCTGCGATAAGGACGTCTGTGTTCGGTGATGTGCACTCAGTAGCCCGATTCGGTAGCTCTTAGCTCTTGTGGCACGCTGACGTGCGCAGTCGGGAAGCGAGAGATGCGGTGCCTCAACGAAAAGGTGTCAAGAGATGTAGTTATGGTGCCATTTACGGGGCCTGCGCCGACGCGAGCCGACGGCGTATCAACGCGTTGGGAGCCTGGTCAACTGACACGAAAGGGAAACAGTAGCGTCGCGGCCGTCAACCGAGCGGGGGCGGTGATTCGCCAAAACACCAAAAGTCCATCCCTCACCCGGGCCGACCACATGACCAGCAGGTAGCTTCGTATGTTCAACTCAATTCGGGCATGCAAAGGTTGATTGCTGATGCGAACAGACCATGACACCCATAGGCATCATGAGCAGGACTCAATACGCAGAAATCGTATATGCAACCCGTACAGCCTAAAGATTCCAGACAACGAGCGCAACATGTGTGGAGAAAAATAATCCAGTCCGGTAGTGCTCCCTCGAGATCACCGCATGCCAGGTATGAATGCGCGGGATCGATGAATAAACCGCAACTCCGAACACCAAGTTCGCGCCCAGCAGAGCATTGCTGATGTCCCCTTTCCCTCACAGCTAGCCCACGATGGCCTTCATACTTAGCTGCTCCAAAAACCCGCTGAGATCCTCTTTCTTGACCTCTACCACGCAATGCTCAAAGCTGTCGACCCTGACACGTGCCCCCGTCTCTTCGATGACCTCTTGAAACGCGAGTCCAAATCGATTGCGCCCCGCATTTCTCCTCTTCTCCCCGTCCATGTCGTCTTCCTCATCCTCGCTCTCGCTCTCACTGCTGTCTTCCTCCTCCGTTTCAAGCTCCTCATCCTCGTCCTCATCCACTTCTTCTCCGTTGGCAAGCCGCCTCTCCAACATCTTTTGCCTATCCGCCGCCTTCTCCTTCCTTCTCGCCTCGCGCTTCTCTTCTGTTTTCCTCTGCCGTTCTGCCCGCCTCTTCTCTTTCTCCTTGCTTTGCACCGTCGTGCCCCCGCCCCCGAGACCGACGACGACGTACACGCCGCGACCCTCGTCCAGACCCGCCATCACCAGCTCGGTGCCGCCGCCCCGCCCCTTCCTGCCCTCCATTTCCTGCACCGCCTCCGCCACCCACAGCGCCAGCTTGACGAGCGCACCGGCGTGCGTGAAGAGCGGCGCGTCCGGTCCTTCCTTGACCACGGCCATGCGGAACGCCCGGAGGTGGCGGATCTGGTGCTTGGCGATGAGCGCGGTGCCCGTGCGGAGGATGGCACGGTGAAGGTGCTGTGCGATGGCGATGTGTTTTGTGATGAGGTTGGGAGAGGTGAGCGAATCGTATGCGGTCCAGAACCGAGAGGTGATGGCGTCCTGAGCGGCTTCATCGTCGAATTTTGGGGCGTCGGGTAGGAAGCCTTGGCTGCCAGAACTGTCCAACGACTGCGGGGTGGGGGGCAGCTGTGGTGAAGAATTTGACAAATGGACGCTGGACCCGACTTCGAGGATTGCCCCAATTACGACACCGACGTCCACTGCCGAAAGACATGCTTTCCAGCCCCAGCAGCGGACGAAGCCCCACCCTTCCTTGCCGCCACCTCGTTCTGTTGCTTCGGGTACTAGACCGTCCAGTCCGTATACGGGGGCGAACTTGAGAAGTCGTTCTCGTAAGCCGCGCTTCAGCTCCATGTCCATGTGGGTGTAGCTTTGCTTGCACTGAGTTAGGCTAACTCCCATTTTGGCCAGAAGCTTATGAAGACGCCGGCGTCCCTGGTCCGACCAAAGATGAAGTTTTGCAGACAGATAGGGGGAATGGAGCATGCTGTCATACAAGCTCCAGTGCCTGATGAGCAGGAAACGGGGTTCTGGTGAAAGACGGATCGACATGTCTGTTGGTGATCGAGCATGTGTTGGAATGACTCCGCCTGATTCTCCCATGCTCATTTCGCGTGCAATGTCCTTTGGATCAATTGGATTTAGACGCCGTACCTCATCTTGAAGTAGAGCGCGGATTCGGTTGCCCCTCGAGCCGTGCCAGCCTTGTTTCGAGGATGAAGTCAGGCCCATACCAGTTGGTGTCCGGCCATATAGTTCCAAGCTGCTGACTCCTACAATTGCTTGCCACAACAAGTCATTGTCTTCTCGGCCAAGCTCTGATGCAAGACTGTACACGATGGAAGACACAGGCTCTGAGTACGATGTGCCTAGGGAGTAGTACTTGTCCAATACCCGGTTGTGCCGCTCGCGGAGCTTCAGCAAGCGTCGGCGGAGCGTTTTCGCCGAAGCCTGCCGTTGTGCTGGTGGAGAAACCGAGCGGTTTATGGAATCTGAACGCGAGAAGTCCGAGGAATTCGCTGTGACGAGGAGCCCGTGGCGCGGAGGCCGCGATGGTGACGATGGCATAGGCGTTGACTGGCACTGTTAGTAAATTCCCTGCTTGAAAACATGCGGAATTGCCTACCGAGTTGCTTCTCCGCCTCTGAGCTGGACGCCCTTCCTCGTCATCACCTTCACTGTCCTCGTCACCGTCCTCCCAGGATTTTCTTTTGCGACTCATTTGACCTGATATTGGTGGTGCTTCTTCGCCTGCGTTTTCCGCTGTATCGCTCTCGTCATCATCGAGGTCTACCTCTTCGTCAATCTCCGGCATTTGCTCCAATGAAGTATATGCCTCTCTTTCACGCTCAAGCTCCTCCTCGATGTCGCCGTCGTCGAACACTATGATACCCCCGTTTCCAGGTTTGTAAGAGCGTAGTATCTTCCCACGCTCCACACCGGGTACCTTTGTGGGGAGATCGTTTTCGTCCGAACCAGCGTCTGCTCTTCCACCGAAGACATTGCTCAAGTTCCAAGGTCGCCGAGCGTCCATAATCCAGACCTCGACGCCACCAAAGTCCGTACCCTCCTCTCCTTCCAAGCCTAGCAAATTCTCGAGGTCGACCAATCCTCCAACGCCCAAGCACACGACAACGCCGCCGCTGCCGCCATCGCTAGTACGCATGGGACGGACCAAGTCCTGACCGGCACGGGCAAGATCATTGTAGCCTGCGATGGGCTGGATTTTATGAGGAATGTAATCTCGTTTCAGGAGTGCGGTAAGGATGCGGCAGGCACACAGTGCGTCGGGCTCGAGGGAGACAAGAAGGAGGACAGGCGGAGAGAGCGGATGTGTCGTACGAAGAAGATGAGAGTACAAGTGCCCGATCAGCGTCCTCGGAAGGTACATGGTGCGTAGACGTGCTCGTTTGAGGCGGTTCGGGCGTGTCGAAAAGGCGATGGACGGCCGCAAACAGTGGCTCAGGGGGCTCTATGGCGTGTAGAGGAGCGCGGGCGCGGGGCTGCTTTGCATAAGACGCGCTTCAGGACGCGTCGGGGCTGGCCAGGGATTCTAGGCTGTGAGGAACATGACATGCGGTGCTCGAAAACGTCAATGCTGCGTAAAATGCTTGCGCTGTGGATATGCAAAACAATAAGCGCGGTCGTGGCACGTAAAATGGGCTGAGATGCGTGCAGAGCGTGCCGTGCAGAGCAGCTCGAGCGTAGGTGTTGAGGCTGGTTGTGCTGCAGAGAGTCGCGTCGCGTTCCCGAGATGCATGCCGCGTCGGTGGCTCGGCGAAAATGAGCGGAGCTGACGTTCGCCCGCGTGCAACACCAGAAGCCTTCCTGTTCCAGCCCTCGGCTCCCGGGCAACGCCAGCATCATCGCGCTCTTCTGCATCGGCAACACTGTCGCACGCTTTGGAAATTGGTTGGCTCGTTGTCTTCGACGTTTGCAGGCACGCGACGACGGACCCTGCGTGTGCATCTTCAACCAAGGATCTGGCAACAGCAACGACATGAGGCATTGGAAATAAGGTTCTGAGCGACTACTGCAGCCGCGCTTAATCCCACTCCGCACTGCATGCTAACATGGCCCGCAAATGCCCGGCAAGATCATGGGCACCGTGGCACCGTACCTTCGAATAAAAGGTTTGCGGATGATGTGCCCCGCTGCGGCACCAGGCAGCTCGGCCTCGCACACCAAGGGCCGCGACGACGGCACTGGCCATTCCTCCGTGACAAAGCTCGCGCGCTCCGATCTCCGGGCTCCGTGCCAAGAAAGCGGAACGCATCGCGGCCCTTGCCCGCGTGCCCGTCTCGGCGGCGACTTCCATACTGCTCGCGAATCAAAAAGCTTCGTGGAATAGAGAGTGGAGAATGGTCAGGGTGAGGCGCAGTGTCTGGCTGGCCCAAGCTCCCTCAGACCGAGGAGCTGCGTGGCCGAGATGGGATTCTGCTGCCCCTTTGTGCTTTGTAGTGCGGCGTCGGGGTCGGACGAACGCTTATATGTGGCTGAACATGCCCGAAGCGTACGCACGGAGCCCGAGCCGCGCAACAGCTGATCACCTCAGTCAAGATCTCGCAGGGTTCGTGCCGCGCCTTTGCTCCTCTACCATTGTCTAGCGAGCCCGAGGCCGAAAGCTCGGATTCTGGGAACAACGCTTTGCCTATGGCAGTCGGCGTTTGCGGGGTCCGAGCCTCCGAGCCACCGAGATGGTCCCAGCTGCCTACTACTCCTGCATGCCTGGCGTTGGCAATCCAGAAGCGACCGACTGATCAGATCCTGGCCTCGGCCGAGGCCGTTGACGAGGCAGGTGAGGACCCTGCGTCGTAAAGCCATGTTGATCGTGCCATGGGTGCCTGCCGCTCCTATAACTGCGTTTCAGTGCAACCTCTGCAGGTCGCTCGCCATCTCGAGACGTTCCTCTGCAGACTCTTCCACATTCCATTTCGAGAGCCATTCGCTCCCCATATATCCTTTCCATCATGGCAGGAATACCATCATTCTTTCAACGCTCTAACGACCGCATCCACCGCAGCCATGACTTCTGGACCGGCAAAAGAAAAGGCTTCGTCATTGCCTCGACCGTGGCAATGATTGCGCTCAACCTTCTTTTCCTTGCCGATCTCTCGTACCTGTACGGCGTCGTCTTCAAAAGCGGCTTCAGGGTCCACAACTTCAAGGTGCTGATGGTGGACTTTGACGGCGGGGTTATTGGACAGTCGGTCAACGGCGCCTATCAGCAATTCCAGGGAAACACTTTCCCAACCTTGATCCAGCATGACGCTTCCGAGTTCCCTACCGAGTCTGATGTACGCGAGGCGGTGTGCAAGGGCCACTTTTGGTAAAGCAAACCTCCCTACTTGGAGTTGGTATCGTCACTAACGTCCGCACAGGGGCGCAATATACACTCACCGTGACGCCAGCAGCCGCCTCGCTGCAGCTCTGGCTGGTGGTGAGGCTGCTACCTCCTACAACCCCGCCGACACAATAACCTACGTCTGGAATGCTGCGCGCTACCCTTCCTTCTCGCAAGGATATGTTCAGGCGAACCTCGTGCAGCTCGCGGGTGCCGCAGGCACAGTCTACGGCAAGATCAATGGCACTGGCGCTGCGCAATCAATGAACGTTACCGATGCCGCTGCCGTCCAGGCCTTCCTGAACCCCATCCAAGGCGTCGCCGCCCCCATCCAACCCACTACGCAAGGCACCCGCGTCTTCTACAACACTGTCGGTGTGATCATGCCGATGCTGATCAACTTCTTCTTCGTCATGGCCTTGAACGGCATCTCCGGGCAGATGCAGTTTCTCAGCCGTCTCCCCCGCCTGGACAACTGGGTCATACGCACAATCTTTTCGGTCATATTTACCTTCACCGCCGCTCTGGTCACGACAGCGTTCACATGGGAATACAGGGAGTCGTGGGCTGTCACTGGGGGTGATTTCGCTCTGACCTGGATGGCCCTGTGGCTGTTCATGCATGTCAACTACTACGTTTATGACGCGATCACAGCCTTTATTCCGATGACGTTCCTTGCCTTCTTTGTCTTTACCTGGATCATCATCAATGTCGGCAGTGCCGTCGCGCCGTTTGAGATCACGCCTGGGTTCTACCACTGGAGCTACGCTCTTCCTGCGAAGGAGATGTACGACATCCTGACCACAATCTGGAGTAAGGGATGCGCCAACGTCAACTACCGCGCGCTCCCTATTCTGTTCTCGTGGTGGGTGGTCGGCACTGTCGTCAGCTTCTTCTCGACGAGGCGTCGCTGTGATGACGCTATGAAGGCTGCGGCTGATGAGAAGGCGAAGTGGGAGAAAATTCTGAAGACCGGCGATGAGGAAAAGCGAGGAGAAAGCGATACGGCAAAGTCCGCGGGCGCAGACCTGGAAAAGGGGGAGGACCCGAGCAGAACGCCCAGCACGGCAGCTCAAAGCTCTGGATGAGAGCTGTTAGGCCCTTTTTTGTGTTTATGCCAGCATGGCGTTAATGGATTATTAGATGAGATTGGACGATCCGACGTTTGGAAAGATACCAGCCAAAAGTAGAGTTTTGCTCCAGGTTCTTATGCAGCCTGAGAAAACATAGCGCTAGACTTAATTGATAGAAACATTCCACTTTATCTGTGTTGCTTCTCATTGCTACCTTGAGGCCTTGGTTTACACCAAGATATATTTATTCAGTGAGAAGATACAAACATATCTTGCACAGACTCAACAAGGGCTGGGGGGAACGATTATATGAGATTTCCTTTTTTGGCTAGGCTGCTCGGTAGACGCCTCTCATGTTACACATACGTTCAAGACGATGTCCTCTGTCGTTGCGTTGCCTGCCGTGATGCAAAGCGAACTGACCTCGTATGAGCAATGGGAAGGGTATGGCTGCTTCATCTGAGCTGTCGAAGGGTTTGATAGTATGAGAAATAATATGACCGATGAGGTCTTGTTTGTTGTATATGTCACGCAAACGGCCATTTGGTGAAGGTGGCCGGGTGCGGAGTTGAGGGTTTGTTGTTGCACGGGGCAGCTGCGAGCTGGGCGTTGTGCGACCCCGCTTCACTGCAGGTGACGTACTGTGTACGGGCGGGCGCTAAATCTTCGCCCCTCCTCCGAGTCATCGGGCGGCGACATCGCAGTGCGAAGAAAGCTCTTAGCCCGACAGGCAACCTACCTTGTTTCCTGCCCCTAACCCTTACCAACCTCTACCAAACAAACGTACGGCACCCGATCCAAGCCACAGCTCAACGTCTAACACTGACCGCCCTCTAGCTCTGTGCATCCACCCGACGATCTCGGCGCCCAACCTACACCACATTTTTAGCTTGTACCAGAGCTCGCATCAGTCGCGACACCGACACACGATATGGCCAAAGGCGGCAAGGCGGGCGGCGGCGAGAACAGCAAGAAGGCCCAAGGCCAGGCGCGCAAGGCCGAGGCTGCCGCTGGCAAGAAGGAGGCCGAAGGCAGAGTGAAGGCTGCTGCTGAGGATGCCGAATGGTCAAAGGGTTCTAAGAGCAACTCCAAGGCGTAAGTCACCGGCATACAGGACGTTTCAGAGGAACTAGGCCGCCCGAAGCCTAGGGCCGAGACTTCATATGTATCTGAAGGTCTGACGTGGTTGGGCGCACAGTGAAGCTGCAGCGGCCAAGAAGGCTGAGGCCGATCGCAAGAAGGCTGAGAAGGACGCCCTGCTGCGCGAGGAAGAGGCCTCGTTGCCCGCCAAGGGCCCTTCAAAGAACAAGACTGCGCAGAAGAAGACGCGCGCTGGCGGTCTCGACGATGCTCTCGGTGCCTTAGACGCTCCCGCCAAGAAGGGTCCCACTCTCAACGCCACCGGTATCGACAACGCGCTCGATGCGCTTTCCCTCGGCACCGGCAAGAGCGACGACAAGGTTGACAGGCACCCGGAGCGTCGCTTCAAGGCGGCGTATGCGGCTTACGAGGAGCAAAGGCTGGAGGAGATGAAGGACGAGAAGGGCCTGCGCCGGAATCAGAAGATCGATCAGATCCGCAAGGAATTCGAGAAGCACCCCGACAACCCGTTCAACCAAGTCAGCGCCAAGTACAACTCGACGCGCGAGGAGATTTCAGGCATCAAGGCGGCGGAGAAGACCAAGGTGGAGAACCGCCTCGCCGAAAAGTCGTGAGGAAGTCAGGCGCGGAGGCGGTGAGGCAAGGGTCAGGGTGGCTTTCCTGTGGCTTCGAACTAGCTAGGCTCTGGCGGGTGATTGCCGTGGGGGATCATCAGTTGCCAGGTCACTGAGAAATCAGGGCACTGTCGGCGGCTGGGTGTCTGTGAGAATCCACAGTCGGCAGCTCGCCCGGCGCCGGCGCACCGCGTGATGGGCTGGGAAAAGAGGGTACGCTCCAGGCCCGACGGGGATTGCGGAGACTGCCCTGATAGCGAGGCGTCTGTATGGTATTGGATCCGTGGATAGATCGAAGCATAGAGTTGGAGATCACCCGTCCCGAGTGGTGGAGCAACGTCCACGCATCTGCAGCCTTCGATTTGCACGGCGTGAGAACATCTGAGAGCCAGTCGAGGATGAACAGGCTGGTTTGAAACAGGACTGAGTGTGTTTCGCCTTCCCGCCTTCAACACCACCTCGGCGCTGCCCTGCCAACTCATCCTCGTGGGCGCCTCACTTATCTGACGCGAGAGTCAGACAGCTGGCTGATACCCAACCGCTGCGAGCGCTACTATCTCGACTGAGGCTCTGGAATCGCGATGCTGCGCACCGAAGACGAATGCGACCCAAGCTGGGGTTGGTAGAGGATAGCTCGGTGATCAGGTCTATCACAAGCGCGTCTTGGGCGTGTCGCGCAGCTCTCGAAGCTCTCGCAGACCCTGCAGCAGCAATCAGAATCGGCACATGCTGTGCCTCGCAGGGCAAAGCTCGGCGCGCGGCCGGCTCGCACACACCGCATCGACGCACGAGCGCCGGACACGTCCTGCATCTGCTGGCACATCACGCACGGCCGAGCTCTCCCGGTGACCACTGGATTTTCGGCGCGATAACTCGATTCGCTGACAGGGCCGGGCGTTGATGGATGGCGCGCGGCACCGGTGGTCCAGAGAATGCAGCATGTTTGTGAAGCATGTGCGGAGTTGTGCGGCTGCCGTCGAGCATAAGTGCAGCGGACGACGCGTGACGCCATAGCTCCGACGTAGGTACTGGGGAACTATGGGGACCGTCGCTGACCGCCTTCGCACAGCTCGCGCGATGCCAGTGCGAAAAGTTGTTGAGCGCGTCGTGAGAAGAATGCGCGTCTGCTACCTACCTAGGTACGTCGGGCGAGCAGCGCCTTCGGCAGCGCCAGCCGCTGGGCGGGCGGTATCTTGACTCCTTGAGGCTCTTCGCGCTACGCGCTGGCGCTTCCGCCGGGGGGCTGCCAGGATGCGCGCGCGCGCGTGGTTGAGGCCGCCCGTGGGCCGCGGCCATGCAACGCCCTGCAACGCTCATTCCCGGCCGTCACCACGCCCATCCCGGCGACGGCCGGCTCGCTGCTGCTGTTGGTGCCCGCCGGGCCGCAACACACATGGATGGCAGAGGGCAGGCTCGCGGCTGCTGTGCTGTTCGCAGCTCTGGTCGTGTCGGGCGCTGATTGGCGGTCTGGCGGCGCTGGCCCAAGCACCATAGCTTCCGCATCTCGACATCGCCATTTAACCTCGCGCGCGCTGAGCTGCGGCGGAAGGCATGCCCTGGAGTGTCGCAGCTGTGCCTGCTTGACGCATCATTACTTAGCTGTACCCGAGTCCGCCTGCCTCTCGCATCCGCACCGCGAGGCTCAGCTGTTGTGCAGCGCCGCGATTCACCACCAGTACGTATATCTTGCTCCGCGGGGACCGTGCGGACCCTTGACCCGCCGCAAATCACCATGACCAGCTTGTGGAAAGGCCGGCGCAGCTCCGAGTAAGCCATCCACCCACCCGCCCCGGCGCTATCCACCCTCACTCCACAGATACAGCACGCCAGCAAATTTTTCCTCTCCTTGCCCGCCTTTTCTTCCCCTCTGCCCGCTCTCCGATCCTCTTCCCTGCACCTCCTGCTCTTTTCCCCCTCCTCCCCCCACCCGTTGCTGCGGTCTTCGTTTGTTTACTTATCGCCGTAAACAGCACCCCGGAGCAGGCTCGCCCTCAAATCAGTCGCCGCCCCTCCAAGAAGATCATCGAGGACATCGAGAAGGGCACTTCCCGCGCCGCTCGCAAGTTCGAAAGCGTGCGCCGCCGAGAGAGCGTAAAGCGCGATCGGGCCAACCTCGAGACCATCCTCTCTGTCGGCGATCAGTTCGAACAGCAGCTCGACAAAGAGCTTCCCCCGCCCGGAGGTCCAGTCCGCCCGGCGTCCAACACCAAGCGCGGCTCGCCGCCCAGAGAATCAGCTTCGAGTAGTCGCTCCCAGCACTCCATCCAGCCCGAGTCGTCGTTCACGGCCTCACCGCCCCGCAGAGCGAAGCTTGAGCGAGCCACCGTCTCGGACACACACGCCCTACAGCAACACCAGTTCGACGGCCCATCCGACAAGAAGCCAGTGCAACCCAAACGCAACATGCTTCGCTATTTCTTCGGTGGCGCCGCACAGCCTGATCAGAAGCCCGACGCTGCCGACGATGCCCCCCGCAGCGACTCGCTGGTCAGCGAGGCCGAGGAGCTGAGGAGACAGCTGAGCGAAATGGAGAAGCAGCTGGAGAAGACCAACGACCAGCTGGGCGCTCGCGACGCTGAGGTCAGCACCCTGCAGCACCGCGCCGAGGAGCTCGCCGCCGACTACAAGATCAAGGAGACTGCTCTCGTCCAGCAGAAGGCTGCGCTTGAGGAGCACATGGTCAGCGTTGTCGTGCAGCAGATCACCGACGCCCGCAAGGCCGAGAGGGATTCCGTCAAGGAGGGCTGTGAGCAAGAGTATCAGTCCAAGTTGGTAAGTTTGCCTTTTCCATATCCTTGAACCGGGGGAGTCTGGTTACCTGACACATGTGCCCTGGTAGGATGCTATCCAGCACGAGCACGAGGCCAAGATCACCGCCCTCATCCGCGACCACGACGTGACGAAGTCGTCCACCGAGAAGCTCAAGGCTGACTTGGATTCTCAAATCGAAAAGCTGAAGTCCGACCTGACTGATGCTTCTGATAAGCACCAAGCCGCCGAGACCAAGGCTTCGCAAGTTGAGTCGGAGCTCAATGCTCTGCGTGAGGAGTCGGGGAAGGCTATTGAGGAGGCCAACGCCGCGAAGGAGGCTATCAAGGCCGAGCTGGAGGAAAAGCTCGCCTCTGTTGCCACTGAGCTCGCCGCCGCCCAGTCTGACCTGTCTGCTGCCCGCACCGAGGCTGCTGAGCACGCTCAGAAGCACGACACCCTGCATGCCGAGTCAACCCGTCTTCAGGAGGAGGCCGCTGCCACAAGCGCCAAGCTTGACGAGCAGATCAAGGCTCTTTCTGCCGATCTCGAGGCCGCTAAGAACGACGCCGAGTCTGCTGGCACTGAGGCCGCCTCTGCTGCGACCAAGGCTCTCGAGGAAGCCCAGGCCGCGGCCGAAGCCCTGCAGAGCCAGATCACCTCCCTGGAGGAGGAGCTTTCCGCTGTCAAGGCCAACTCTGAGAAGTTGGAGCAGGAGTATGAGGCCCAGAAGGAATCTGCTTCCGCTGCTGCCTCCGAGGCCCAGGCTCAGCTTGAGAACGGCGCCAAGGATCTTGATGAGCTGCGTCACAAGCTGAATGAGGCCGAGGCTGGTCTTGCCGAGAAGCAGGCCACTCTTGAGAGCGTTCAGTCTGAGCTTTCCGACAAGAGTGTCGAGGTCGCCAGCCTCGTTGCTTCGCTCGAAACCGAGAGGAATGCCCACGCCGAGACCAAGGGCACTCATGAGTCTGAAGTTTCCGCGCACGCCGAGACGAAGGCTGCTCACGACGCTACTCAGGCCAAGATCGCCGAACTTGAGGCTCAGCTTGCTAAGGCTGAGGAGTCTGTGACCGTCATCGCTGACCTCGAGGCCAAGGTTGCCGCCCTGGAGGCTGCTAAGGCCGACGCTGAGGCCAAGGTGGCCGAGCTCGAGAGCCAGGTCGAGTCTGCTAGGGCCGACGCTGAGGCTGCCAACGCCAAGGTCTCTGAGCTTGAGGCCAGCATCGCTGAGCTCGAGTCTGCTAAGACTGCTGCTGAGGCCAAGGTTTCCGAGCTTGAGGGCAAGATTCCCGAGCTTGAGGCCAAGGTTGAGGAAGTCACCAAGGAGATCGAGGGTCACGCTGCCGCCAAGACCGAGCTCGAGAGCAAGGTCGAGGAGCTGAACAAGACCATCGAGGAACACGTCTCCAGCAAGTCTGACATCGAGGCCAAGGTTGCCGAGCTCACCCAGGAAGTCGAATCCCACGCTTCTGCCAAGTCCGAGCTCGAGAGCAAGGTTGAGGAACTCAACAAGGCTATTGAGGAGCACACCGCCTCCAAGGCCGAGGTGCAGATCAAGCTCGATGAGCTCACCCAGGAGATCGAGTCCAACAGCTCCAGCAAGTCTGAGCTCGAGGCTAAGATCGAGGAGCTCAACAAGGCCGTTGACGAGCACACTTCCAGCAAGGCCGAAGTCGACGCTAAGGTTGAGGGGCTCACCAAGGAGATCGAAACCCACACGTCCGGCAAGTCTGAGCTTGAGAGCAAGATCGAAGCTCTTTCTCAGGAGGTTGAATCCCACGCCAGCGCGAAGACCGAGCTTGAGGCCGCCCACAGCCAGACCAAGGCCGATCTCGAGGCCGCTCAGGCCGAGCACACCGCCGCCAAGGATCAGCTCACCTCGCTCGAGTCCCTGCTCAAGGAGGTCCAGGAGGCCAAGGATGCTTCGGCTGCTACCATCGCTGAGGTTGAGGAGAAGGCCAAGGCGGCCGAGGAGCGTTCCGCCGCTGCCGAAGAGGCTCTCAAGAAGGCGGAGGAGTCGCACGCGGAGGAGCTCACCGGCCTGAAGGCCGCTCAGGAGACCCAGGAGCAGCTTGAGAAGGACGTGGCCGCCGCCAACGAGGCCAAGGAGCAGCTCGAGAAGGACGTTACTGCTGCCAACGAGGCCAAGGCTGCTCTCGAGACCGAACTTGCCGAGGTCAAGGAGCAGGCTGGCCAGATTGAACAGCTGAAGCAGGACATTTCCGCCGCTGAGGCTGAGAAGAGCTCTCTCACTGAGAAGCTCGCCGATGCCGAGTCTAAACAGCAGGAGGCCGAGAGCAAGGTCGAGGCCGCCGAGCAGGCCAAGTCTGAGGCCGACGCGAAGGTGCAGAAGGCCGAGGAGGAGGCTGAGGCCGCCACCGCCAAGATCTCTGAGCTTGAGTCTCAGCTTTCGGCTGCTCAGGCCGATGCTGCCAAGGTCGCTGATCTCGAGTCCCAGCTCACCGCCGCCAACGAGGCCAAGGCGGCTGTCGAAAGCGAGGTTCAGACTCTCAAGGACGACGCTGCCACGGCTGCTGGCAAGCTTGAGTCGGCTGAGCAGGCCAAGTCGGACGCTGAGAAGAAGTTGGACACTGCGGAGGAGCAGATCCAGAAGGCCGATGCCGAGAAGGAGGCTCTTGAGGAGAAGCTTGACGCCATGCAGGCGGCGCACGAGAAGCTTGCCAAGAAGTACGAGAACGTCATGGAGGCCAAGGACAAGGCCGACGCCAGGCTGAAGGAGCTTGAGGGCAGTGCTTCGGAGGCGACGAACGGCGTCAGCGCCGAGGCCCCAGCTGAGGTTGCGGCGTAAAGAGAAAAAGAAAAAGAGTAAAAGAAAAAGGGTTTCACGGCTTACATTCACGACACTGATGAAGAGCTTTGAGACGGCGATGCCTGTATGATTGAACGAAAAGGTTTCTAAAGAAGCCCCTTTCGCGGCTTTTGGGGGATCGGGACGTTTGGGTCGGACCGGGGTTTTTTGAACTTCCACGGATGGGTTTTTTGTTTATTTCCTCGTTCTGTCAACACCAGTCTTCCGCCTACTGTTACCGCCAGTACATATCTCTTTGGAAAGGGAGGGGATGATGTTGTCAGCATTAGCGCATTGGCTCCTGCTCCTCGAGAGCAAAATTCTCACTATTGCATTTCTTCCGAAACCAACCCCTTGCAGCACCTCGTTTCCGGGATCGTAGCCACTCATACCCTAGACTGTCTGCTTTGCTGTTTTTGTTTGCACGCGCTCTACCTACCCTTTCCGTCGCTCCTCTCGCGTTGCAACTCCTTGGACCCGTTGGTTTGCACAGCATTGCGTGCATTTTTACACAGGACGGCAAAATGGTGCGGTTCGTTGTTTTCGGTTCTGGCGTTGCATTGCTGTATCCGTACGATACCCAGCCTAATTATTGGTGCGTGCAGCGTCTTCTTGATCAATTCATTATGATTCTTCTTCATCGACCGTGCTTTGCTTGTGATAGGTCTGTTTGTCTTTGCCATGTTCGTAGTTGGACAGCCTTGGAAAGATGGGGTATTCGGATATGGTGAAGTGGATGGGAGACTAACGCTGATCTGAGACTAGGATGCTGCGTCGTTGTTTGTCCCCACGGGTAGGGATGCTTATCAGACCTTGGCGAACCTTGTCTTTGCCTAGTCATCCATTGGTGATTTCGTGCTGTCGGCACCATCATTATCCTCTCGAGTCTGTCTTTACTTTATACCTGTTCTCAAGAAAAAACAAACCCCTCCAACTCGACTTCTACCGGCTAAAGTCAGGATACTTCGATTGATACAGGTCTGCAGATCACCCCGCCCCTCCCGTCCCCTGTCCAACGCCCCCATTCTTAATCGATAACCGGTCGCTTCATGTCCAAGCCGAGCCATGCATTCTCTGCAGAAGCTTCAATCTCGCCACCGTCTCGGCCAACCCAGATAGAGATGCTGCTTATCAAGTGACAAGCTGATATGAAATCATTGCGAACTCCTCTGCCGCCAATACAAAAAGAGCGGCAATCTATGCCAAGTGCGATCAACACGGGTTTGATGGGGCTGTCTTCCTCCGCTTCTGCCGTTTTCACGTTGCAGTCATGGTTCGATGCTACGTTGCGGTATCCCAACCCCGGTAGATGACCGCTTTGCTTACCCCGCGGAGTATGTCGATGTTCAAATAAACCGTCTATCATCTCGTCTCAGCCGCCGCTTTTGTTTTTTATTCTTTTAACGCCCACCGATACTGCGCGCTTTGGGACTCACAGCACCTGCAAAGAAAACCCGTTCCCAAAATGTCGTCCCCCAAACAAAGCATAGCAGACGAAAAGTCCTCCCCCTTGCCCGCCAGCAACAAGCCCTTCATCGACTTCGATGCCGGCGAGACCGTCACCGTCGCGGACAAGGGGGTCGTACCGGCGACGACGACATCCTTGCACGACGCCGACGAGGCCCTCGCCTTTTTGCAAAATCACCCGCGTGCGGCGGAGATCGCAGCCGAAGGGAGGGCGATGCTGGAGGATGATCGGGCGCGCAAGAGACTGCTGCGGAAGATCGACTGGACCATCACGCCGCTGCTGGCGGGGACGTACTTCCTGCAGTTTTTAGACAAGAACACTTTGAGCTATACGAGCGTCATGGGGCTGAGGGAGGATACAGGGCTGAAGGGGCAGCAGTACAGTCATGTGAGCATGCTGTTCTATATTGGTGAGTGCCGTGGCTTCTTTTTCTCTCGCTCCTTCTCGTCTTCTCTCTTTTTCTTCTCGACGTAGCAAGTAGGGTTTCCCAAACGTTGTCGTATTTCCGAATGCGGTGGTCAAGAAGGCACACGCTTCGGCCACCAGTCACTGCCTATGAAGTGATTCCATGCCACGCGGTTTGACTGACAAGGACCACACGAATCAAGGCTTCCTCGCCACCGAATTCCCCACGCAGTATCTCGCCCAACGCGTGTCGCGCCTCGGCCTCTACCTCGGGGCCAACATCGTGCTGTGGGGCATCGTGCTGTGCTGCCACGCGGGCACGTCGTCGTTCGCCGGGCTGGCCGTGTGCCGCACGCTGCTCGGCGTCTTCGAGGCGTGCGTGGCGCCCATCCTCGTGCTGATCATCGCCATGTGGTACCGCAAGGAGGAGCAGGGCACGCGCGTCTCGTGGTTCTACGTCTGCAACTCCGTCACCAAGATCTTCGGCGGCCTGGTCGCGTACGGCATCAGCTTTGCCGAGGGCGAGACCGCGTTTGCCACCTGGCGCATCTTCTTCTTGGCCATTGGCGTGCTGACCATGGGCGTCGGCGTGCTGGTGTGCGTTTTCCTGCCGGATTCGCCGGTGAAGGCGAAGAGGTTCAGCGATGCGGAGAAGGTGGCGGCGTTGATGAGGGTGAAGGAGAATCAGAGGTGCGTACGTGCTCTGTGAGACGAACATGCACACATGCTGACCGGAACCCGGCCTGCAGTGGAACTCAGAACAGACACGTCAAGAAGGACCAAATCATCGAGGCCTTCCGTGACCTTCGTGTGTGGCTCATCTTCCTCAGCGTCATGCTCTCGTCCATCCCGAACGGTGGCATCTCTAATTTCAACAACATCCTGTTGACGACTTTGTGAGTACTAGCGCTCTCCCTTTTCGCCAAAGCAACGCAAATAACAGCGTTCTCTCACTAACATCAACCCCCTCCCCTCCTTCAGCGGCTACACCGACCAGCAAGCCCTCATCCTCGACGCCCCCAACGGCGCCATCAGCATCGTCTTCGTCCTCGGCGCGGGCCACCTCTCGGACCGGTGGAACGACCGGTCGACGGTGATGCTGCTCTGCCTCGTGCCGACCATCCTCGCCGCGGCGCTGATGTACGGCTTCGTCGACGCGGCGGGCGCGCCGCACAACCGGCCGGCGCTGCTCGCGGCGTCGTTCCTCAGCGGCACCTTCGGCGCCGGCTTCATGATCAACCTCGCGTGGAACGCGTCCAACGTCGCGGGCCACAGCAAGAAGGTGACGGTGAACGCGCTGACGCTGGTGGCGTTTTGCACCGGCAACGTGCTCGGCACGCAGACGTTCAGGAGCGACGAGGCGCCCGGGTATGCGAGCGGGAAGATTAGCATCATGGCGTGCTTGGCGGCGAGCTGTGTGGTCGTGGTCGTGCTGAGGGTGTATAACGGGTGGTTGAACAAGGGGAAGGAGGAGGTGTTGGCGGCCATGGGGGACCGGGAGCGGGAGGCGTTGAGGGAGAGGATGGCGTTTGCGGATGAGACGGATAGGAAAAATCCGTTTTTCAGATACACGCATTAGCTTGGTTAATCATGGAGAGACGGTGGGTGCTTTGCGCTTCTTTCGTAAAAGCCTTCGAGGGGGAAATGGGAGTAGCGAGTTTTGTGAATACTTCAATTATATGGTCTAATTTCATGTCTAGCTTCCAACACGCCATCGTTTCCATGCCAAGCGACTAATCGGCCTGATTGAGTTTCTTTTCTTTTCCCCTACTGGGCGTTGTAACCTCCCTCGTTCACCAGCCAGGTGGCGTAGTCCATGAGGTCGGGGAACTCCTTCCTCAGTGCCGGGACATCGGCCCCGAATCCGTCAGTGTCGAACCAGGTCCACATGGCCTTGAAGTCGGCATTGCTCTCCACGATACCCCGAGCAACTTGCTCAGGAGCCTCGGAAATGTCCTTTCCGGTCTTCTCCTTGAAAATACGCTTGACGTCACTATAGCTGAGGTCGTCACCAGCCAGCGGGATCTTCCTGCCGGCGTACTTGTCCGGCTGGACAAAGGAGCGGGCGGCGACCTTGCCGATGTCGGTGCTGGCGATGACCTGGAGCTTCTGCTCCTCGCCGAGGTAGCTCTTCCACATGGCGGCGAAGGCGGCGGCAAACTGCGGGGCATGGCCGCTGTAGTTGTCGAGGAAGGCGACGGGCTGGATGACGGTCCAGGTCATATTGTTCTCGCCGGCCTTGGCCAGCAGATGCTCTTCGACGCGGTGCTTGCTGGCGAAGTGCGGCACCTCGGTCGGCACGTTGGGCCGAGGGGCGCCCCTCTCGACCGAGGTGTAGACGAAGTGCTGGACGCCGTGGGCGAGGGCGGCGTCGATGAGGGCCTTGCCCTGGGCTTCTTCGGTCTCGGGCGTCTGGCCGTCGCCGCCGGGGACTTGCACGCTGAAGACGCCCCAGATGGGCGAGCCGGCGGCAGTGAAGATGGCCTTGGGGTCGTTGAGATCGCCCTTGATGACCTTGATCTTGGGCGACTGCTTCTCGAGCGCCTTGGCCGAGTCGGAAGAGGGGTTGCGGGTCACGGCGAGGATGGTGAAGTCGGCGTCGGCTGCGAGGAGGGCCTTGATGACTGCGCCGCCCTGCTTGCCAGTGGCACCGGTGATGAGGAGCGTCTTGGACATTTTGGATTCGTGATTGATGCTATTCAGAAAGTATCGATTCAGATGGAAAGTCAAGAATGGTCTTCGAGGTTGATTGTGAAGGAGGCGTGAGGAGCTGAGTTGATGATGATGGCCATGATGACGAGCCTCGAGTCGTTTTATACAACGGGATGGTTGTGAGCCACGGGTGAAGTCACAGAGGGTGTTGGATGAAAGAACAGCTGTAGTGCCGAGTGCGAGGGCTTAGTCGGGGGCGGCCGCCGCTAGTAACGCGAGGCCGAAGCCAGCGCTGACAAAGCTCGGCCTCAGGCTGCTGAGCGCGAGTGTTGACGCGTGCGGGCGACGCGCAGAGGCGACCCGGCGAGCCTGACTCAGCACCGGCCAGCTGTTAGCGCGACCGCGCAGGCTCTGGCGACTGAGCACAAGTTCGACAATCACAATCGACGGCCGGCGATAACCCCACACAGCGAAATAATTGCCTCCGCCACCACCACAACCATCCACGCCGCTACCATGTCCAAGGTCGCAGGGTGAGCTCCCCGCGCTCCCCGCGCTCCCCGCTCGATCCCCCGGGCTGACACGCGCAGACGCACCGACTGGGCCGAGGAGGAGGACGAAGACCAGCTCGCTCTCCCGGCGCCCCAGGTGATCAAGAACAAGGACGGCACCGAGACCCTCATCTCCTACTACATCCGCGAGGATGGCAAGAAGATCAAGACCACCCGCCGCATCAAGAAGACGGTCGTCAAGCAGGTCGTCGACCCCCGCGTCGCCGAGCGCAAGCACTGGGCAAAATTCGGCCAAGAGAAGGGCAAGCCCACCGGCCCGCAGACCGACACCACCAGCGTCGCCGAGAACATCGTCTTCCGTCCCCAGGCCAACTGGAAGGCCTCGGCCGACGACAAGAGCGAGCACGAGAAGAAGAAGGCCAACCTGAAGGACGCCAAGATCAAGTGTCGTATTTGCTCCGGCGACCATTGGACCACCAAGTGTCCCTTCAAAGACACCATGGCCCCCGAGGGCGAGCTCGGCGCCGGCGGTGCCGACGCTGACGAGCCCGAGGCCGCCGGCGGTTTGGGCGCCGGCTCCTCCAGCTACGTCCCGCCCCACCTCCGTGGCCGCGCCGGCGCAACTGGCGAGAAGATGGGCGGCAAGTTCGAGCGGGACGATCTGGCGACCCTCCGTGTCACCAACGTGCGTGCCCCCGCGTGTTCTGGACGTGTTTGGGGCATTGAGCTGACGAGCGACACAGGTCAGCGAGTTTACCGAGGAGCAGGACCTGCGCGACATCTTCTCGCGCTTCGGTCACGTCACCAGAGTCTTCCTGGCCAAGGACAGAGAAACCGGCCGTGCAAAGGGCTTCGCCTTTGTCAGCTTCGCGGACCGCGACGACGCCAAGATTGCGTGCGACAAGGTGGACGGCTGTGAGCACCCCCGCGGACAGAATGTTGAAGCGTGTAAGCTGACAAAAGGCAGACGGGTTTGGCCATCTTATCCTGCGCGTCGAGTTTGCGAAGAAGTCTACTACTTAGGTTGTCAGATGGCTGGGTGTGTGCATCTCCTACGGCGTTGGCTCTTAGTTTCGGTGGACGAGGGCTCTTTCCAAAAGTTGAGGTTGGGTGTGGTGTACATGCTACGAAAATACCATGATGAAGTTTGGCAGTCTGCATTTGACACGGTGTCCGCGCAGTGGGTAGCTGATGGACCATGGCACGAGGAGTCGGTGGCGGGAGTGGCGCAGGGCCTTTGTAGCAGAAGGATGCGGGGCCAGGGTGTCGATTGGCTGAGGAATTCAATGCGCCATACGATAGACAGCAATGCCGTCCCACGGGTGGTGAAGGGCGAAAAGTGGAGCGCGGGTGCCCTGGCCGGCGGGCGGGATGCGCTGCGCCTCGTGCTGGCGCGCCGGGCTTGCTAATTATCGCCGTCACACCCGCCCTCAGTGTTCCGCAGCCTCGACCGAACAACACCGCCCGCCTAATGATGTTATGTCGCTGATGATATTTGCGCTGCCACCTGCCCACTCGCCCTCACACCTCTGACCCGCCGCCCTCGCTCGCTTCCGCGCGCGCCTCCTGCCGCCGCCATGTCCTCCGCGCCCTCGTCCAGCGCCGACCCCAAGGCCTCGCCCGCCGACCAGCATGAGATGAAGGACATGTCGCATCCCCAGCCCTCGCTCCCGATCGAGGAGGATGTCATGCAGCTGGCACGTCTCGGCGAGATTGGCGCCATCCAGAAGCTCTTTGACTCGGGCAAATGCGATGCCACCTACCGCGACGAACAGGACATCACGCCGCTCCATGTACGCCTCCTCCGCACACCTCCGCCCGCGCGCTGACTGAGTATTTCCACAGTGGGCTGCCATCAACAACCACTACGCTCTCTGCCACTTCCTCCTCAACTCGGGCGCCGACGTAAACGCACGAGGCGGGGATGCCGTAGCCACCCCCGTCCTGTGGGCCGCCAAACGCTGCAACTACTACATCGTGGCCCTGCTCCTCTCGCGCGGCGCCGACCCGTTGCTCACCGACGACCAAGGCTTCAACCTCCTCCACAGTGCGACCCTAGACGGTAATGTCTTCCAGTTGGTGTTGCTGCTGCACCAGGACCTCCCCATCGACATCCCAGACGCTCAGGGCCACACCGCGCTCATGTGGGCCGCATACAAAGGCTTCCCCGCTGTTGTCGAGGTTCTCCTGCGCTGGGGCGCAAACGTGTACGCGCGCGACGACCAAGGCTTCACGGCACTACACTGGGCGTTGGTGAAGGGTAGCGTGGGCTGCATCCAGAAGCTCATCGAGTACGGGTCGGACCGCTTTGTCGAGAATAACGACGGCAAGACGCCTGCTATCACCGCCCAGGACATGAACACCGGTCGCCAATGGCACAAGGCCCTTTCTGACTCAGGCTACAACCCCGACGGCACCCCCAAGTACTTTCCGCTGCAGAGCTTCGTCAAGGACCGGAGAGGCTTTCTCAACAAGTTCTTCTTCTTGTGGCCCTTCCTCATGCTCATATGCGTGCTATATATCCTGAGCCATATGGTTATCTACATCGCTATCCCCTTAGCTCTTGGAGTCTCGTATATCCTGCAGTGGGTCGCGCAGCAGTTGTTGAGATGGGCACCAGGTGACATGAAGACCGTACACAAAACAGTGCGTCACTCCCATCGTTTTGTAGGGAAAGCTCTGCTGACAACCCCTTAGCCCTTTCTATCTGGCGTTTTTGCTGGCACTCTGTTTTGGGCTGGAGTTCGTTACATTACACACGTTCTACCCTGTAAGTTGACTCTGCATTCCGACGGCCGGAACCAAGACGCTAATACTTCCTAGGGACATTTAAAACCGCCCCCTTCACGAACCTCTGTTTCATGGTCTTCTACTCCTTGACGGCATATTTTTACTTCTTAACGATGATTTCAGACCCCGGATACATCCCCAAATCGAGCTCACGGGCTCAACAGAAAGCCGTAATCGATGAGCTGCTGGAGGCCCGCAAATTCGACGAGGCCAACTTCTGCGTGCATTGCATGGTCCGTCGTCCACTAAGGAGCAAACACTGCAAACGCTGCAACCGTTGTGTTGCCAAGGAAGATCACCATTGCCCCTGGGTCGACAACTGCGTTGCCAACAACAACCACCGCCACTTTGTCATGTACATCACCTGCCTAGAGTTTGGAATCCTCTCACTCGTCCGCTTGGTGCTGGAGTACCTAACAGTGCTGCCGCCACCAACCGAAACGCCCGAGTGCAACGTCCTCGACCCCGAGCTATGCTCCACCCTCCACAAGGACCCGTTCACCATCATCCTCGCCATCTGGGCCTGTCTCCAATTGGTCTGGGTCACGATGCTCCTCGTCGTCCAACTCCTCCAGGTCGCCCGCGCCCAAACCACCTTCGAAGCCATGCGCCACAACCACGGCCACGGCCCGCCGGACCCGCTCACCTCGTTCATCACGACGGGCAGCACCTCCGCCGTCGGCGGCCAAGTCGACGCCGCGGGTGCCGGTCCCGCCGGCAGCAGCGCCGGCGGCCCTGGCGGCCCGCGCGGACACCACAAGGCCGGCTGCCTCGAGCAGTGGAAGCGCATGCTCGGCATCGACACCTTCATCGCCACGGCGCTGCACGGCTCCAACGCCCAGGCCGTCCTCGCCCAGCGCCGCGAGAACCCCTTCACCCGCGGCTGCGTCGCCAACTGCCGCGACTTTTGGTGCGACCCGGCGCCCATGTTCAGGAAGCGCGAGAACGGCGAGGCGGTGCTCGGCGGCGACCGCGTCAACTGGACCAGGGTGTACGAGCCGCCGCCGAAGATGAAGGCGAGGAGGGGCGGTGGTGGTGGCGGAGACGATCAGGGTGGGAGGTATGAGAGCGTTGCGGCTGAGGAGGAGGAGGTGTGAGATTTTATTTTTTTTCTCTCACACTCTTTCTTTTTCTTTTTCTTCTCTTCGCATTGTTGGTGGCGTGGCGGAGGAAGGAGTTGTGATGGGGGCGGGGGGTTAGAGGGGTCTTCCTGCTGGAGCGGGGGGGATGTTCTGTCACCCCCCCTTTTTTTTTCTCTCTCTTGGGGTTCTCCCTTGAAAGCGGTCTTAGAGATGATCGCTTGGGGGTTGGGACGGGTTGGTGCACACACACACACTTCTTTTACCTACATTGTCTAGGGTAATGGATTTCGAGACGCGGGCCAGCGGGTGTTTTGTTTTTTTCTTTGGGGCTGTTCGCGCGCTGGGACTGTAGTAGTAGTACATGAGATAGATAATGATATGAGAACCAAATAATGAACGGTTACAAAACATACATGGATCTTCGCGCAAAGGGAGAAGAAAAGATGAGATGAGTTTAATGATGGATGTGCCTACGTAAGGTGTGTGTGTGTGTGTTTGTGTGTGTGTGTGTGCTGTGGACAAACTCTTCAAAGTGAAGTCCGGATACACAACTATTGGATGGAAAGGCCCAGTGCTGTGAACGCGCACGAGATTCCCCGTCGAGATTCCCCTTCCTGACTAATGCAAGGCAGTGTTGGCAAGGGCATGAACAGAGGAGGTCTGTGTCAGAGATTTTCCCTACATTCTACCTTGTGGGTAATTGCTGCTGGAAGTCAAGCCTAGAAAATGATCGCGAGTGGGCATCCGCATGGCCTCAGAGCAGGGTAGGCCCGGGACCGATACACGGCTCTGCAAAGCGGGGAGTGCAAGGGCAATGGTTCTAGCCCCCTCCCCCGGCTCAACTTCTTTGGATTTACGCAGCGTCGCCAAGCCTCCCTAACTCCCAGCTTGATTATGCATATCTCTTTGGCGAATGTTGCTTGTCACTCGGTGAAGGAGTGGCGGACGAGAGAAAGAGTAATGCTGTGCGACCATATGATTGTGTAAAATTAGATGGGAGGCGTTAAACTTGGAAGGAGTATCTTGGCGATGTGGTGTTAATATATCTTTCGGAGGACCCGTAAGCGGAAGCAACGTACGGGGTCCTCGGACAAGTGATTATTTATAGTAAAGCATTATAGCTAAGTGTTTTGGTACATGGAGGTGAAGTTATCTGCCAGATTCCGACCAAGCAATCTACAACACGTCTCATTTATGACTGAATGATGAAGAAAGATTGAAATTAAAAAGCGCCCGACAGCTGCTTTCTTGAACCCCCAAACATTGCAATGAGCCATAAAAAAGTTACGCTCAATGTCGAAGATGCCATAGGAGATTTTCGAAGCACATATTGGATCCGAATGTCAACTTAACATGTCACAGAAAAATTCTAAGATTTAAAACCACCCGAAAGACAGGCACTGCCCAATATATATGGCCGGAATGATCTTTTCGAATTCTCCATACACTTTACGTCTACCTCCTTCTGCTCGTGCTCCTCATGTCGTTCCTGCCTCCCTTCGCTAGACGTCGAAAGAAACGAAAAAGCAAACGGAAAATCCGAAAGCCACAACAGAATTGATTCTCTGGGATGCATTGCTCAACACTCATTTCCTGCTCGCTCGCTTCAGCGGCAACAACTACATAGAGAACATGACCAAACATCAAAACTCCCAATGACATGTGCTCTCACATGCTTTTTAACCCCCACCGAGGATGTAAAACTCCCTCTGAAACTTGTAACAAAAACATCCGTATTTCCCATCGCTTTGCGAGACAACAAAAGAAATAAAAAGACACAAGGAATAAGAAAAACAAGCAAGAAGTAGAGAGGTTACCGAAACCCAACAAAAAGGAAAAAAAAAAACAGAATAGTAACACACATCTCCAGGAGGAGAGAGAAAACCAAAAAAAAGGAAAAAAAAGGGGGGGTTTGGATGGCGGTGACGCGCAACATCATCGCACCCACCACCCACCACCCACCCACCCACCATCCCCTTTCCCACATCACTCACTCACATGCCCGGCGGCCTGATCAAGTCCTGCTCCTCGCTCAAGATGCCCATGGCCCAATGCACCCTGGTGCCGGGATTCGTCCAGATGTACCTGCGGTCGCTCAGCTCCTGCCTGGCCGCCTCCTCCTCCTCCAGCGTGAGGCTCCTGCCCTCGCTCGCGGCGCGCTCCTCCTTGCGGCCGCTGATGCGCTCGTCCGGGTTGGTGCCGGGGTCCTCGCGGCGGTAGTCGTAGCGGGGGCCGCGGCCGGCGAGGCCGGCGCGCTCCCACACCTTCTGGCAGCCGTTGGCGACGAGCCCCGCCGACGCCCAGCCGGTGCGGGCCTCGATGTCCTTGACGTTGGCGACGAGCCAGTCGCGCTGGGCGGCGTCGGCGTACTGGATGCCGGCGAAGAAGAGGGGCATGATGCACTCGATGAGGGCGGCGCCGATGGACGGGTTGAGCGGCGCGCCGCGGGGCCCCAGCCCGCTGAAGATGCCCGCGACGATGCGGCCCGTGTCGGTGGCGAGGCGCGCCGTCTGCTGCGCCGCCACGCCCGCCGCCATCATGGCCGCCGGCGGCATCGTCGGGTGCGACCGCGCGAGCATGATCTCGAGCATGTGGTACTGCGCCCACAGCACCGCGATGTCGAAGCTGCGGTACTGCAGCGCGGGCCCGAACGGGCTGGGGATCGGCGTCGTGAACTCGTCGGCGAGCGGCGCGAAGGCCGGCCCCAGGTGCGCGGCGTAGTGCGAGAGGGCGTCGCGGATGGACTGCCATTCCGCCACCGCCTTTTGGGTGGCGGCTTGGAGGCTGGCCTGGTCTTCGAGCTTGACGGTTGGGTTGGGCGAGGGGGACTGCTCTGGTTTGAAGGCCGAAGGCATGTACCGCGCCGACGAACTGGGCGCCATTCCGTAGAACGGGATCTGTGGCGGCGGTGCGCCACCGCCCGGTGGCCCTTGTTGCGGAGGCATTCCCGGTCGCTGCGCCTGAGGAGATTGACCGGGTGGAGGACCAAATCCTGCTGGAGGTCCTGGCAGACCCAGCCCGGGCCTCCATTGACCACCATTCATTTGTACCGCCTGGATCTTCCTTTCCCGATCCCTTGATGCGAATTCCGAGATGCGGCCGAGGAGGAGCATCGAGTGGTCGTGAGTTCCGTACAGTGCGTCGGGTTTGCCAAGGGGCGCGCGTGGTGGGCAGTCTGACCATCTGGCATAGTCCATCCTGTGGTGAGTTAGCTAAACCCATCTTTATACGAGTTCGGTTGACGTACAGAAGCCCATTGCCACTGATGGCGCTCTGGAACCCGTCGTGCCTCACAAACCACCACCACAAATCTTGATATGTCTCGTAGTGCGTAAGATCCGGTTCTGGAGCCTTGGCACCGCTTCTGCCCTGGTCGTCAAAAACCTTTCCAAAGTCGTCGTAGCGGACCTGGCGGCCGGTCAGGTTGCTGACGACCCTTTCATCCGGTAGGTTGCTCGGCTCCTTGTTCAGGTACCGCGGTTGCTGCATGGTCAGGCCGGGGTTCTCGTAGGCAAAATTCCGCTCGAACGCATCTTCTTCCGCCTTTTTCTTGCGCCACGCTTTTGTCATGCCTGCGTAGTCGATCTCGACGAACAGCTGCTTCGCACCCAAAAGGTGGCTGGTCCACTTCACATGATCGGCAGTCATCACCTCGTAAAGACCAAGCATGAGAGAGGCCGCCAGCGTCGTGACATGGTGTCTTTTCTTGGGGTGTCCCACAGCGTGATGTACGCGTTTCAAAGCGTAAGCGTAGTGTTTGAACGAGGGCGTGACGGAAGCGCGTTGCAACTTGGCGATGTGCAGCGAGGACAAGGCAAGCATGGAGTGAAGCAGACCCTGATGGTTCAGCGCCATCATAGGAAGCGTGTAAGTCCACAAGGACTGCTGACTCGGGTGGACCGGACGTTCACTGAACATGGCAGAGGCATTTCGGACTCTTCTCTCGAAGATGGAAAGACTGGGGCCGGTGGCATGGATAAAGTGTGCAAACACACGCGCAGTCTGTGGGTTTCGTAGCGGATTCGCGACCTGTTCCGCGCGGTATTGATCCAAGATGCCCGAGTAGAGGAAGGTGTTGTAGTGCCTGACGTTCAATTCGTTCACGCTGTCTTGGTGGATTTGCATCATCAACTCAAAGTCGCGTTGTTGACCATGAGCCAGGGCCTGCTCCTGCGCGGGCAACAACTCCATCTCGTCGTCCGAATCCACGTCATAGTAATCGTCGTCTTCATATTCTACCGCGGCTTCTTGGAGGACTTCGGTTGGGCTGGCGTGGTGCTCGGAAAAGCCGGACATTTGAAGTCCGCCTCTGAACGAGACGGCGTGTTGAGGGGTTGGTGTGGGTTGTCCTGTCGCAAACCGGCGCGTCAGCCTACTACAAACATGTCCTTGCCTTTGATTTTGATTTTTTCTTTTGGCGATCAATGGCTCTCACCGTGCACGGAACAAACAGACCAATTTTAAAAACAGAGCTGCTGCGAGGGTATGAACGGCATACCTATACCTGTCTGGCCGGCGTCGGGGGAAACCTGTGGAGGCATGGCCGGGTACGGGCGTGGAACACTCTCGGGGGACTGCAAGTCGAGGCGCTCGTCCTCGTCCGGCCGACGGCTCGCTACCTTCTGCCACACCAGAACATCTTGGTCTGCCGCCTGCATAACCTCTGCGGTCTGAGTTAGGGGAAGTGGCTGCCTATACGTATCAGCCGCCGTGGTCGCTGCAGGGTACTGGAAACCTTGGCTGTACTGGGTCTGTTGCGGCGCGTGATTGTGCTGGCCATATTGTTGATCTTGTGGTGGGGGAGAATATGCGGGTATCCCTTGTCCCATGTTCGCGGTGGTGTGATACGGCAAGTGTACGGACTGCCTTTGTGCTTGTAGGGGATATGAGGGCTGAGGCTGGATTTGCCGCGAGTATTCTGGCTGCATGGAACCCATCGAGTACGAACGCTGTTGATATGAGGCGTGGTCCATTGCTTGGCTGTACGGGGGCGTCTGGGCGACATATGAGCTGTCTTGAACCAGCCCACTGGTGAAGGCGCCGCCAGTGAAGGGGTCGACTCCGGTGAACTGGCCGTATTGCGGCAGCGGATACTGCTGCTGGCCGGGCTGCAGAGCGCCATACGGCATGCCCGAGGCCTGGGAGCCGGGAAAGGGCTGCTGGAAGACGGGGCGGCCGCCGGGGATGACGCCGCTGTGGTAGGGGAGGGTGCTCGCGGGGGTGCTGCCGGGCCAGTCACCGATGGGCGGCTTGAAGATGACGCGCTGGTTGTAGCCCTCGCAGTGACGCTTCGACTTGACGCAGTTGTTGCAGATGGGCCGTTCCTCTCCGCACTTGATGCGGCGCTTCCGGCACGTCAAGCATCCGGTCTTGGTTCTCTTGCGGGCTTTGGTGTTGGTCGAGTCGGCGGCTGCCTTGGCCTTGGTGCTGCCGTCTTTGGCGGCTCCAGCGGCGCCGTCGAGGTTTGGGCTGGCCTGGTGCTGCGAACCAGGCGACGCCTGACCTCCACCGCCAACGGACGACATGGATGTGCTTGCGCGAGAAGAGGGTTGTAGTAGTCAGTTAGTTCCGGTCTGGTAGTGGTGATTGGTCACGCTTGTCGACGCGGTCCTGGGCAAGAGCGGACCGAGGCGGGATCCACAGTCGATCTGGGCGGCAGGGCGGCAGGTCGGGGCAGGCACGTAGGTAGGATTTTTTTTTCTTCCCGCTGCAGGAGCTGGCTAGGGCAGTTGGTCTAGGGGCGGCGGGTGGAATCCTGAGCGGGAGGGCGTTGGACTGGCGTCGAGCAGTTGGAGCGGACAGCGGTGGTGAAAAGTGACGGGCGAGGTTCAATCGGACCGCAGGGACGTCTGGCAGGTGGACTAGGGGCGTACGGACGCAAATGAAGGAGTGGGCCGGCGCCACAGTGCCAGTGGGGTAGCCGGTGCAGGCTGGCCGGCAGGCAATTGGGCGGGCGGCGCGCGGAGGCTAGGGCGCGGGCAGCGGGAGGCTAGAGGCGAGGACGGGCACGTCTGGGCAGCTTAAAATAGGCATGACCTCGCGGCGGCGCAGGGCGTGTGCTGGGAGAGCGGAGGGCGGTGGCACAGGCATGGGCATGGGCAACGTCTTCGGAAAGCTTAAGGCTGTTATAACGCAGCCTCGTGGTAGGGCGGCGGAGCGCGAGGGCCGGCGCAGCGCCGCGGGCGTGTCCAGGCGGCGGGGACGGGGACGGAAAGTGGGCTCGCCCGTTGCCCGATGCGGCCGTGATAAGCAGAGCCATTATCTGCGACGAGGCGCTGGTGCGCGCTCACTCGGGAAGGACGCAGGCCATCGTGGTGGACTGAAGTCGGCCGCGCGCGCCCCGTCGGCGGATGGCGCCCCGTGCGCCCACCAGAGCCGCTGCGACCGCCGACTCGCGCCGCGCGCGCTAGTAGGGCAGCGCTCTCATCACTGACGAGGCTAGGTACTACTCGCAGCCTGCAACGGCGCGTCGAGGGCGCGGGCGGAGATTCCCGCCCTCATCACGCCCCGCTGCCCACCGGCGTCTGGCGCGTCTGGAGGCCTCATCACGGCCTCACGGCCTCGCCGCCTCGCCGGGGCGCAGCTTGCGGCCGACAGCACGACTCACGCTGCCTTGGCGCCCCCGGCTCCGCGGCGTCTGCTTGGCGCGCGGTGCCTTGCGCCCGCCCAGGGAGCCCCCCAGCACCCTCGACGCCCACGAGCTGCTGCGCGCCGGGCAGGGTCTCTCCGCGTTCCCCGCGCCCGCCTGCGCTGCTGCCCGCCGCCCTGATTCGCCGCGCTGGCTCAGCGATCACCTCTCGATCTACCCGGGGCCAGCCAACTTTACCGCAAAGCTTAGCTCTTAGCTCTGTTCCGCGCCAGCGGGTCCCGCGCGCCCCTGCCCACTGCGCTCCTCCAGCGCCCGGGGGCGGGAAGGGCGGGCGCGTCACTCGGCCGGGGCGGGCGCGTGCCTGCGGCTGGCTGAGCGACGCCTGCGCGGTGCCTGTCGCTGCGACCTGCCCATGCCTCACGCCACGAGAGCAGCGACGGCAGTCGGCTGCCTTCCCGGCCCAGCTCCCAGGCGCGAACCCTGGGACGACCGCCGCCGCCGGGGGCAGCCCGCGCGCCGTTGGCAATATTGTTGCCAGACGCCTGGCGCAATTTGCCCCATTTGATGAGTTCATGCATCGTACGTGCGTAGCCCTCCACGCTCCGTACCACCCACCCACGCCGCCCGGAGCATTGCGCAGCTGGCTCGTACAGAAGACGCCGCCGCCCCTGCGAGATGGAGGGGGGGTCCCCCGCTCCGATCTCGAGCTGCGTCATGTTTGGCCCGTTGGTGCAACGTCCTGCCGGCTTCTGCTTGCTGCTGCTGCTGCTGCTGCTGCTGCCGCCGCCCTAGCTCCTCCACCAAAACACCGATTGAATATTGATTGACTGCTCTGCAGCTCTCGCCTGAGCTCTAGTCTGCGACGAGCGCAATATCGCGCTGCGCCGCGCCGCGCTGCTTACCAAGACGTAGGTAGGTACACGCGCGCGCCGCAATGACCGCGCCTTCCCTACGAGGTAAACAGAAATACGAAATGGAAGGTCGGGATCCCAAAGGCGTGCGAATCCCCTTGATTTTGCCGCGCCAAAAGCCTAGCAACGGGCCGACAACGTTTCGGCCTATAGTAGTACCTAGCGTGCGAGAGCCAATATATGGGTTAATCTTTTTGCCTCGCAACGTTCCACTCATCAGATGCGGAGAAGCTCGCGCAGAGCACGCACCGAGGAAGAAAAAAAAAAGAGACAGGTAGGTAGGACACAGTCCCCGCGTCGGACGGGTTCCTCCGCGCATGGCTGCCATGCTGACTGTGGGCTCCGGTTAAAAATAATCCAGGACGGAGACGGAGCAGAGACATGGAGGGCAGAGCCGGGCGCTGGAAGGCCTGACGACGGAGGTTGGTTATGCCTTGTGGCCGCGGGCGGCGAGCTGATCTCATCCCGTCGGCTGGGTTGGACTCGAGTCGGGGCACTACAGGCGAGGGTGCTTGGGAGGGTGCGGACGACTCAGGCAGCGCAGCGCGGCTTGGCGCGAGGCCCTGGGTAGAGAGGGGCGCGGCAGGGCGCCAGGGCAGACGTCAACCCTAGGTAGCCTCTCCTGCGCAACGCCGCGCACCGATGATGAGCAGCAAAACAAACCGCCCGTCCTCCACTCACAGCCCCTCTCCCCACCTGCGGGCGACGATCGCCATTGGACCCAAAACGCGGCGGACCGCATTAAAGTCTCTCCATCAATCAAGGGCAATCCCGCAGCGCTGAGTCGCGGCGGCAAGCAGCGAGTCGGCGTCTGATGAAAAACGGACCGCCCGCGCTGCGGCCATGCGCTGGTTGCAGGGACCAAGGGTCCCAGGGACCCAGGGACTTAGGGACCCAGGGACCCAGAGCGGCCACGCGGACGGGGCGGGTGTGGTTTCACGGCTTCGCGTGGGTGGCAGGGCAGCTGGCTGATGACTGCCTGGCGGCCTCTGCAGCCCGCCTTGGGGCCTGACGATGGACGATGGGAGGAGCAGAGCTGGACAGAGCCGGGCAGAGCTGGACAGAGCTGCGATCACCGCCAGCAGCCGCTGCCGAAAATAAACCATCGCTCCCTGCAGCTGCTGCCGCCCGCGCCGCTGCGCCGGGACGTCTTCTGCCTAGTTCGCCGTGGTCGACGGCCATGCGACGGGCTGCCCGCTGCCGTCATTGTCACATGCCCGCCGCGGTAGTGCGTGTGCAACGTCGCTTGCCCAGCTCCCCGCCCGCCGGCTGCAGATTCCTCGAATCCTTCCGTGCCTCCTCTAATAGTAACTAGTCAGGAAAAATCAATAGGGCCCCAAGTGGGACGCCAGTGGCTCACCACAGACCAGGCCCACGGAGCATCGCGCCGTCGCAATTGTGTGTTGCGCCGCGCGGCGGCTGTGTTAGGGTTGCCAGCTCTTCTGTCAACCCACCGCACCGAACTAGCAGCTGCTGCAATATGGGACATGTCCGGATACGGCCGCCCACGGCCTGCCCACATGGCGGGCTTATTAGCTGACGACGAGGGCACCACACCACGGCTCGGAGCACCCGGCCTTGCCTTGCCGCGCATGGCTCCAGCATGTCGTACGACAACAAACGGCCGTCCTCTATTTCTCCTCTCGGTTTTTCCTTGGTGCTTATGGAGCACTGATCCAGGGCCGGGCCAGGATGGTGGGGGTGGCGGCGCGATTGGTTGGCACCACCCGGCATCCGCCCGCCTCGTCTGTCTATCATCTCTCTCTTTTGCCCGTCTTCCCTGGCCCGCGGGCAGCGGCTGCGCGTTATGCGGATGCGAGCATGGCGCGCGCCTTCCGACACGCTCACCAATCCAAGGCCGGGCTGAGTCAAGATCGTAGAGCATAAGCCGTGCTGGTAACACTTTCAACGCCTCCGCCGTCGAAACCCCTCCATCCAAATATACCCACACCGATCTTTGCCGCGGCCCGCCGGCCTGCGAGAGATCATTGCCGCTCGCAGAATGGCACGCAGATTCAGGATCAGATCGCAAAGTTTGCGCTGTGACCAGCGATACATTAGCGCGTGACGGCAGCTGAGAAGGCGCTGGGCATGGCGCAAACTCTTGGGCGTCGAACTCCCCTGTCTGCCTGCCTGGGTAGGTCGAGCAGCTTCGACAATGACGACAGACTTCGGCCAGACCCTGGCGCAGTGGACGACGAAGACTGAAAAGAAAAAAAAGAAAAGAAGATAAAGACGCTACATGTTTCTCTCGACCTACAAAGCGTATTCGTACGTCCCTGCATTAGCGGGCCTGCCGTGGCCAAGCAAAAATAAACTCGACTCCTTCGTTGGAGAAAAAGTGATTGAGCGCACACACCGACCCCCTGTGCTGACGATGGCGGCGCGTTCTTTTCTCCTTCCCCCTCTCCTCGGATTCCTCGCATCCGTCGAGTCTCTCTCGGATAGGCCGGCGCCAGCCAAGCTGGCAAAGTTCGGTCATATCGGGCAAGTGAATCACCCACGGGCCGTGTTTCGCCGGCACTGCGAGCTGGATAGGCTATAGTTGGAAGAACACGCGAATGACGTATTTCGTGTTGATTAGTGCTGTTGCTAGGGTGTTTCATTGATTCTTGCCTAATGCGTCAGCTGCTGTATAACAAGGTGGTGGCGCTGTGGCCGCAACTGCCGCAATGGGCTGGGCGGGGACCCCGGCTTGGGCGGTCGACGTCTGACCAGAGCCTCAAGATATCATAAAAAAAGAAATAGGAGGTCATGCATAGACACGCAATGCTCCGTCAGGCGCATGAACGGCAACATAGTCTCGACACCATCCAAATCCGACGGGGGTCGCGCAAGTCCGAACGGTATTGACGTGCGGCGCCTGTATGCGGCATCGGATGCAATGCGATCTTAGACAGGCGTACGCAACGGAAATCAAAGAGGTCGCTGTGGCCGGGGTAGACGGAGAATGCCAGGTTTTCTTCTATGAACGTCCGAGCACGTAGCAACTCCTCGCGGTGGAAGTTACCGAGGGCCGATGGTGGAGGTGCACGTCATGGATGCACGCACGCAGGCCGCCGCTGTTGGTGAGAGTGAGCCAGTGCCTGTGTGACTGTAGAAACCTAAAGGACATGCGTTATTACTTGCGAAACCACAGGTGCAGGAGAAGGACACACTCTGGCCGCGGCTATTTGCGCGACGCCTACCTGAGTCAGCCAGCCAATGGCGGGGAGCGACTTTCTCCTGCAGCGTCAATCACAACCGCCATAGATCAGCAGCTCTGCACTGCAAATCAAACGTAGAGCAGTCCTGCGGGGAACGGTTGGCCTTGGTGCGCGACCCGGAGAATTCCATGCGAAATGCCACTTCTTCAGACGCTGGAACGGACGATCCTGAGGTTGAAACATGAGTCGGAGATTCCGGCTGCACGGGGTAACAACGACGCGGTGGGGGCGGCCAAATCCTGCATGGTCAGCAGCAAGCAAGCAAAACATGGACACGCGCGCCATGCCGAGTCGACTGTAGGGACGAGAGGAAGGGCGGTGCCTCCCTCGCCCTCTTTGCTGACGGAAAAGGACGGGGGACGAAGGAAGGACCCATCGTCAGCACGGTTCTGAGTGAGGGTGAGTGATTATGATTCATAGCTTGGCACTCTAGCCCGAAGAGGAAGTACCGAAGATCTGGCTGACAGGGATGTGACACCAATGAACCATGATGAACAATGGTTGCCGACTATGAGTTCAGAAAACACCATTCTGATTGTTTGGATATGAGAACGTGGAAGTAGATAGAACAAGCTTATATGGCTTCATGTATGTGTAGACGGACAATTGAGTCAACGACCATCGTTCGAATAGCAAGCATTCGGTACTGGAAGGCATGTCAACAATTTTTTCGCAGCATGAACCACACTTCAGATGCAGCAATGAAGAATAACATTTGCCGATCTAAAAGAAAGAAAAAAAGAACAATCTCCTGTTGAACGATACCGACATCGTCTGAGCATCGCCCAATCTTTCCCAGATCCTAAACTCCAGACAAACCTGACCGAAGCACACGCTGACGACGTAGCCTCAAGATCCCCAGAAAGAAAACAACAACAGCAACAAGAAAGGGTAAGACGCTACTTCCTATCCATCATCAGCTTCCGCAGAAGCTCCAACTCGGCATCCCTCCGCGCCAGCTGCAGCTTCAGCTCATCCCTCTCCTTGGATACTTCCTTCACCTCATCTTCCAGCTCCGAGATCCGGTCCACCTTCTTCTGCCGGTACTTTGCCGCCGCGAGGTTGTTGCGGCGCCGTTTGTCGGCAAGCGTTTCGTCCGCGGGCTCGTCGCCCGAAGCGGCGCGCTTGCGCTTGCCGCCCGCCGAAGAGGAGGAGCCTGAGGGAGATGAAGAGGCACCCGCCGGTGCGTCATTGGAGAATGCCGACTCGGCCGTAGAGTAGGGTGACGGCCGGGAAGAAGGAGCTTTGCTGGAGGGTTGGGTAGATGCAGCAAACGAGTTGAATGAGTCTGGTGCTTGTCAGTTGTCTGGTAGCCGCAAGGGGACCGACATGTACAAACCTGGTGCGGGGTTCAGAGTAGCGGCAAGGAAAGATTCGTTGTACATGTCAGGAGACTCGTCCGAGTAGTTTGATCCAGTGTTTGCGCCATCAAGCGCGAACAGGAGCGGGTCGTTTTGTAGGCCGCCGAAAAGATCGAACGATGCCGCGTCAAACGCACCGTCCAAGAGTGGGTCGGAAACGGACGAGGGGGGAAGCAGGGGGTATGGTTCCGTGAAGGAAGCGAGAAGATCCGGTGTAGAGTTGCCGTGTGTGAAAGCGAAGTCCAAAGATGTGCCGGTGAGATGCGGTGCAAGGCAGCCGTGGTTCCCAAGGTGCGATAAACCACTGGTGTTAGGTTGGATAGTATGTTGCGAAGACCTGGCTCGGCACGTAGTAGAAGACGGAGAGCTTGTTGCAGACTGGCATTGTGTCCAAGTGTTGTCGTTGTCGGGAGAAAACACGAAGAAAGGGCCTCCCACAATCGAGGCCCGAGGGAAAAGGTAGAAGCGGAAAGGAGAAGCCGCTGAGGTTTGGGGGTGGGCCTGAGGTTGAGAAGAGGACGAGTATTTAAGGACGGCGAGAGGTGGCAGTGCGGAGAAGGCGCTTTCTGCTAGAGGCTAGCGGGCGGTGCCACAACACCGACGGTCGCGGTCTCCGCCCAGGGCTCGCGGGATGCCTGTTTGGCCTTGGCGCCGGCGCCGCCGACGGCTGCCAGCCTACCACAGAGCGCAGCAGACGGTGCGCGCTGACGGGTGTGGATTCGGCGTCCAGGCTGGCGTTCCTGTCGTGCGGCTGCTCCGCCTAGCACAAGGCGCGGCGGAGTCAATCGTGCGGTGACTCATCGAGGCCTAGTTCTTTACACGCTCCTAATTCGGGCATGAGGGCTACGGGCTCGGGCCACACACCGGCATGATGCTGACACCCCCCCTGCGGCCCTGCCCACCAAGTGCAACAACACCGCAGCCAGAGCGTAAACTTTACTTGTTCGGTCTTAGCATGTGGAACCCAGCTCTTCGAAAGAGAAGCATCTCATCATCTTGTTTAGCTGCTCGAACGTCGCCAACGCGGCCCGCCAACCATACATCGCTCCCCCACTTCCCTGATCCATCCCGTAATCGGTATAAGCCTACATCCCACACCGTATGCCATAGAACTCCCTACTTGCAATGCATCGAAATTTTTGTCCCTCCGTCTTGTTTCTTTCCAGAAGATCGAGTCGTATTCCCACCCCCTTCTCCCCCGTCACTAAGCCTGGCTTTATCAACACCTAAAGCTTGAAATGTAAAAAAGCAGCAGAAAGAATAAAGACCATCCACCATCCCATCGATCGCATCCCGATGAAACAGGAATATGCTAAGCTTTACAACCCCCCTTCTAATCCCTTTTCCGACCCTGCTTGCTGTCGTAATCGTCTTGAACTTACAGTCCTGCTCAGCCGGTGAAGCGGAACCGGGTCGCCTCGAGGCGACCTAGGCCTTCGCGAGGCGCGACGTTACGGCGGCGGTACGAGTTCGTGAAGTCCTGCAGCAGCATGCGGATCTTGCGGACTTCGTTGGACTGGATGCGCCTGGTTCTCCCATCAGAAGCACTGTACGTAAATTTCTCAGGAATAAGGGAATAATACTGGTTGATGTTGTTCATCAGCCGCTCCGCCTCTTGCGGGCTGATGGACCCAGGCGGCAGCATGCTGACGGTAGTCTTGACCCACCCCGCCACCTCCACTGGCATCAGGTTGAACATTTCAAGCAGAACACCAGAAGCGTCCGGGAAGCAGTCCCGAGGGAACGTGTACATCATGCCAGTCATGATGCGCTGCGTTAGCTGCTCTCCTTGACCCGTGATCAGGTGTTTGACTGCCGTCTGGATCTCGGGAGGGTTGACGCGAGGCTCGTCGCCCCAGTCCGACGAAGGCGGGTTGTCGGTGCCATAGGCGAGGAAGTCGCGCAGGAAATGCAGCGACGCGATGAGAGGCTCCTCCTTGAGGAGAGTGAGAGCCGTGGTAGCCGCAGAAAGGATCGAGGGCATGAGCGGGGACGTGACCGACTGCTCTGGGAAGAAGAGGAGGACGTCCACAGACAGCCGGAAGAAGTCTTCGATGACTACACCTCAGTTAGAGAATCCTACAACCTCCGAAACCTTAGGCTATACTTACCATCAGGCAACTGTTCTGGAGGAAGGTCGCTGAGTGCCCTCAGAAAAGTCGTTGCCTGTTGAGAGTAAAATTGGAAGACAGCTGCAAAGGTATTCGAGTCGATACCCTCAACGCCCGGAGCAAATTCCCTCACGATGGAGTCGGTAGCCCAAAGGAAGCAGCCCTGCCTTGATGACGTAAATCCCGAGGCCAGCTTGTCTGCCAATTGAGGAAGCAGAGGCGCCATGTGAGTCCGGTAGGAGAGGACCATGTAGCGCCAGCAACGGCACACGCGCTCAAGGATTGGTGAAAATGTCGTGAAGTTGTCGGAAAGAGTGGCGAAGACCGGGAAGATCTCCTGGCAGTATCTGACGCAGGGATGAGGCTGAGTAGTGGGAATGTAGGGTTGGACCCATTGTATGAAGATAGTAATGATTTGCAGCTTGTCTGTTGTCTTGTTCAGTAGAAAACTCGAATGAGCGCATCAAAGCAAACTTACCAGCAAGTGCGAGCTTAGCTTTGTCATCAGCGGCAGTCTGGGCCATCTCCATAATAGTCTTGAGAACGGGATCGCAGTATAGCTTGAGGTAATCATAGATAGCCTCAGGCGGCTGTTCAGCGAGCACAGACGCAACACCGTCTGTCAATTCGTCCTGGCTGCTTGCAGGCAACCTGTCAAGCACGCTGGTATAGAATTGCTGGAGCTGAGGGGTATAATCCTTCAGCAGAGGCGCGCAGTCATTGCAGAAGAACTTGAACGACAGCGCCGCGGCGCGGACAACTTCCTTCGACGGGTGGTTGAATGCTGCCATGATGTAGTCCAGCTGGGGCTGAAGCGTTTCCGGGTGCTGAGCAGTCCACAGAGTGTATCGCCCAAGAGCCATGACGGCCTGGAAACGAACCTTCTCCTGGTCCGGAATCTGAACAAGCAGAGGCATCAAGCGTGGGAGCATGATGTTTTCGTCTTGAGGAACCATACGCCCCATAGCCCTCATAGCGAACAGAGGTGCCTCCAGCTTCTGCCATTCCGGAACGTGACCAGCCGACGCCTGAGGACCGAATTTGTTGACCCAGTCCTCGATGAGTCCATAGCATTTTTGCAAGCATTCCGTCACCCCGATGACTTCGCAGCAGTCCTTGAGCACGTCACCCATCTGGTGCCTGAATTCCCGGAACTTCTCCTCCTGCTCACGGTCACCCTCGAATAGATCCTTCTCGTCGCCAGATTCCGGCTTCGGGTATTCCAGGTGGCCGATCATGATGTCGACGAGCTTCGAGAAAACAGCCACGAACTCGAGTCTCGCTTGCATGTACTTTTCCAGGGTCAAGTATTGCTTGAGCTCGTACCAGAAATTGAACGTGTGAGAAATGGCGTCCCGTTCCGTGTCCCTCGCAGCGGCCTCGAGCACGGACTCCACCAAGCCTTGGAACTGCTGAGGCAGCCTTGCGATCAGCACAACCCAGGCCTCGCCAGCCTCTGCGAAGACTCGGGCGATGCCCTTGAACACCTCGGTATCCTCCTCTTCAGCAGCTTGCTCAATCTTGGGCCTCAAAGCCATAAGCTTGGGGTAGAGAGTCGAGATGACATTCATGCACTCGTCGACGTCCCTCGTCTCCCGAATGACTGCGCAAATACACTCGACAGCAGACTCAAATGGCTCGTCCTCGGAGAGTCCGTTTAAAACCGTGTCCAGCAGGGGGGAGTTGACGATATCGTTGATTGCGACCTCACGTGCCCACGATTGAATACAATCCATAAGCTGAGGGTTCTTCGAGGCCGCATCTGTGCTAATCAGTACAGTACTTCCAACGAAACATGGGTCAGGGAATCTACCGGACGAGCGGGCATACTGGGTTAGCAGGCCGAGGACTTCCTGTGCGTTATCCTCCAGCAGCTCCTTTGTCCTTTCCCGCAGCTCGTCTTCCTATTTTCATCAGGCATTAGATTTTGATTGCGCTTCGAAATATCGCCGCCGGAGTGGCTCGCAAAGCGGTGGTTCGGCCGAACGTACAGTGAGATTAATCTTTCGTCCTTCCGTTACTTCTTCCGGCAGGACACGCAGGAAGTCCAGGACGCAGGGGATGCTCTGGGGGTCGTTGCCGAGCGTCGAAACAACCAGCGGCAGGACATCCTTCCACTCCATCACTTGTATCGCCAGGTTTGCCAGGCACACGCAGAGCTGCATCCTGATGGGCTTGGGACCGGCGCGGAAGGCAGCAAGCACGCTCAGAAGGGTGTCGCGTAGCGGCGAGAGCGAGTCTCGCGGTAGCTGGTGGAGGTCATAGACAATCTGGGCGCATTAGCACGCGCGCGCTCCTGACATGGGGCGTCGCCCTTTCATCCTACCTTTCCCTTGAGTGTCGTCGCGGCGAACAGCTTGGCCTCCACGGCGGCATCGGGCGACTGCAGTATGGCAAAATTGGTGGTCCATGCCTCCTCCTGGTGACGGGTGGTGTTAGCGCGGGTGCGAGGCGTGTGGTTGAGCGGCGTTGTCTACTGACCGACTTCTGGAACTGCTCGAGATACTCGTGGGCCTGGCCTTTCTGAGTGCGGTCGACGTTGCTCTGCATGGTGGCGAGCGCTGCAAGGACAGGCGCAAAGGCCTGTTGGGCCGCCGCACCGTTGGCAGCCATGGTCGCGGCCTTGGATGGTCGGCGCAGAGGGGTGGTGACGGAGGTTTAGACAAGCAGGTGGGGCGGACTGAGGGGTGCCGCTACGTAAGGCGCATAGGATCGTAGGACGCGTCGGAGCCGGGCAGCCTCTGGGAAGCACGCAGATGGCCGTGAGGGGAGGAAAGGTGTGTTGGTTAGGTTTGTCAGGCGCAGGCAAGGTGCATAGTGGAAAAATAAATCCAATGTTGTCGTACGTACTTGCAAGGTGACTGGGCCCGCCTTCCGCCGCCCGAGGCTTGGCGCAGAGCGCGCTGCGAACAAACAACTTTGGCGACAGCGAGCTCCAACCCAGCTGCAACCACCGCCCATCCCACCTCCACGCTCTACACCGCTCGACACGACCGCCACTGCAACGCCGCGCCACGAAGCTCTCTCTACCTCTCACCCAAGCACATTCGCAATGGCGGGCCGCGGCGGTGGAAACCGGAACAAGGTGCTGTTGCCTCCAATCAACTTCATTTTCAAGCTCCTTCAGACGCGCGCAACCGTTCAGATCTGGCTCTTCGAGCAGATCGGAATGCGCATTGAGGGAAAGATCCGCGTAAGCAGCTTTACGTCCTCGGGACCACGCGACAGCATCTGACGCAGCGTAGGGTTTCGACGAGTTCATGAACCTCGTCATCGACGACGCCATCGAGGTCAAGCTCGCCACGAGGGAGGCCGCAGAAGCGCGTCGCTCGCTCGGTACGTTTGGCTACGATGGGCTGTGCGGACAGAATCAAAGATAGTAGACTACTGACTGCGTGACAGGCCAAATCCTCCTCAAAGGTGACAACGTCTCTCTCATCCAGAGTGTCGAGGCTTGAGCAGGCGGTTGGAAAGAATGCACGGGATATCACAAAAGCACGGTTGCGAATTGGGGAAGGGCGTCAGGAGCGGCGTAACGGGAAAAAAGAACGAATGGTTTGGAGAGCAACAGCCACATCTCTCCCTCCGAGGATTACGGCATGGACGCGGTAGGCTGGGCCTTGGTGGATCGAAGGACTGCTCCATCACCGACCACGAGGGCGTCAAGCCTCCAATCGGTCGCGTCCATAGGTACGGACTGAGCCGGCAGCAGTAGCTGCTCTTTTAATGCGAGTCCAACTAATTGCTTCGAATTAGCCTTTACATCTTCGCTGGTGAGATGACGGGCTGCGTCATACCGAGAAAGGGCATGCGGACGCCCAAAAGTTTCGCGCTGTATTGCTGGCATCTGTCCAAGAAGAAGTCGTAGAAGCCTTTGCCGTGTCCCAGCCTACCCAAATCGGCATCAAAAATCATGCCAGGCACGACAATCAGGTCCAGCCCAGAGTCTGCACCCCACCTGGCTGGATCAGTATCGCCTTCAGAGAGCCCTTTGCCCCCAAAGCTGTTCTGGCGGCGTGCGATGGACTCGGCGCTCGGGGTTGGGATGCCCCATTTATCCGGCTGGAAGCTCTCCAAGTCTCGCACTGAGTGAAGCTCAACCATGTCCATGATTGATTTGGGCCTCGACTCTGGCTGAGCCGAACGCTGATATGTGTACGGAATGAAGACTTTCTTGCCGTTGGCAATAGCGTCCGAGACTATGGCTGCGGTCGAGATTTCGCCAACAGGCATAGATAAGTAGACGCTAATGCGTCTGGCCGCCTGGTACTCGGGCAAAGCCAAAAGCGCTCTGACGGCGCGGGAGGCTGCGCGGGGCTGTCAGCACATTGGCAGCAGGCGGGTGGCCGACGAATATGGCTGACTCTGTTGTGCAATGGCATCCTGCGGCAAGGCGGTCAAAGCTTGCTTGATTTGCTTCCGCAGCTCCTTCTTGGCCGCTTGTATGGAGGCCATGTCGGTGAAACGTATCCGTCGTATGGACCCTGCTCTGCGGCGGCCGACGGCTAGGATTCGGCGCTGGTTGAAGAGCCTGCAGCGCGGGCAGGCGTGGGGCCAATGACAAGAAAGTGATCGCCGCCTGATCTGGACGGGGGATGTTCCGTCGCGGCTCCTGCGGTTCCTGCGTGTGGCTGAGAGATCTGGGGCAAAACCCTTGCTGTGAACGCGCGGGCAGGGGAGCGTCCGGGCCCGCCTGGCTCGTATCTCCTGTCCTGGGCCCAAGCCAGCGTCGTCAGCGCCTGGAGGAACGCTCAAGCTCCATCCACAACCCATCTCTCTCCGCACCCGAGCACCACTCGCCCCAAGCCGCTGCTTGGCCATCACGCCCGCCGAGTCATTCGTTACGCTCGCCCGCCGACTCGCCCGGCGCCATGCTGCTGTCCTCCGCCGTCGCACTCGTCGGCGCCACCGTCGTCGCTGCGCAGGGCGTTGCCGACGCCAATCTGTACGGCACTTGGTCGTCCAAGTCGAACAAAACGCTGACCGGGCCGGTGCGTCGCCCTTTTGTGGAGATATGTGGACTCTACCGAAGATCCCCAGACACTGACGCGCATCCGCATAGGGCTTCTACAACCCGACGAACGACTCGATGCTTGAGCCTGCCTTGCCAGGCATCTCCTACTCCTTCACCTCGGACGGCTTCTGGGAGGAGGCCTTATATCGCGCCATCGCGAACCGTGCGTCCTCTCCAAACGCGCCGTAGCTCCAGAAGCCCATGCTCACGCTTGCCGCAGCCACCTCACCACATTGTCCCAAGGGTATCATGCAATGGCAGCACGGCACTTTCGAGAAGACGTCTGACGGCAAACTACTCCTTACGCCCTTCGAGGACGGCAGACAGCTCCTTTCCGACCCGTGCAAGTACGACACGGGCATCTACACTAAATACACGCAGAACGAGACATTCAAGGTATGAGCGTCTTTCATGTGATCGGGCCTTGGGCGGATGCGCAAGCGCTGACTCCCGCCCTAGCAATACCTCATCGAGACGGACAAATACCACAACGTCAAGAAGTTGACCCTCTATCAATTCGATGGCACGCCGGTCATACCGCTTTACCTCGCCTACACACCCGCAGAGATGCTCCCGACGTCGAGCCTCACAACCGGTTCCAAGGCCACCTCAACCTCCAAGTCGAGCTCCAAAATCAAGCGCGCAGACGAAGTCTTCACTCCGCTGAAGCGCAGGATGTTGGGCCAGAAACCGGATCACATCGACGCGGATCGCTGGTGGTGGTTTGGACTGGGCATGACGGCGGTCGGATCAATCCTCTACTTTTGCTTCTGAGCAACGGTTCACGAATATGACGAGAGATACCACCTGGCGCACCACGAGCAAAGTTCAAGGGGGGGAAAATATGTGTATTCGGCAGTTCCAGGCGTTTTCCCATCAGCGACGGCATTAGACGAGCGCACGTTTTTACGAGTTACATCAAGCAAAGACAGTCGCCTAATTTTTGGTTTGTATTCGGTCCAGTGGGGGAATACTCTATGTAAGATATCCCCAAGCGTTCTTGTGTCTTCCCTTCGCAACTGTTACGGTGGTGAAGATCTAGATGGACGCATTCAGTTCTCCTCGGCTGTGCATGACGTCATAACCTGTTTTTCCGAATGCAGTAATCAAATGCGCTTTCCGTCCATCTTCTTAATCTTCAGAGAATCGATGTCGATGTCCTTGAAGGCGCGGACCTGGGCATGGTCAGGTGCAAAAGAACAGAGATGATGTCAAGCAGGAGGTACACGCACATTCACAGCCTTCATGCCCTCGAAAAACCCCGGCGTGACGGACGATATGAACAGAGCGGTGCCGCAATTCGGGCAGAAGAAATGCTTCACCCTCTTCTCGTTGAAGCTGTAGTCCTGTTTTGGGCAAGAAACGCGATCAACTTACTGCTGCCAGGGATGCTTCCTTTTCCTGCTTGAAGGGAGGCGCATTTCAGGACATTACCTTCAGTTCGCTCTCGCCGCTCTCAAAAGTGACGGCGTCGTGGGTCAGGTAGATGAGCAGGTACCCCTTGCTGACGCAGATGGAGCAGTTGCAGCTCGCCACCTCGTGCGCTCCATCTTCGAGCGGTGGAGACACCTTGGCGGAGAATTGGATGTTGCCGCAGTGGCAGGATGCATGATAGGTTTTGGAGGGGGCATTGGGGTCGGAGGTGGCAGTGGGCATGGGGGGGTTCTCGTTGGAGGACATTTTGGTATCGGTGGTAATATATGAGGTTGTTGTTCGCTTTCTTCTAGTTGAAGGATTCGGCGAGGGGTAAGGGCAGGTCTTGGCGCTAGGCAGCTGCGTGCACGTCCGTCGTTGCAGGTGTGGTGGCTGGGAAGATGGGCTTCTCAGCTGCGAGAGGGGACTCGTTTTTGGTGAGTCGATGTGGTTCTCTCTAGAGTGAACAGTCGCATGAGACTTCACCCTGGCTGATGTGTCCGTCCATGAGTGATTTACTCATGATTCCAGAGAGTAGATAGGAAAATTAACTTCCCATTAACACTCACACCTAATCCATGCTTAGAGGACAAGTCTCAGCGTTACCACCTAGCACAGAAATGTTAATTTATAATAATAAGACTTAGGCCAGGTCTAATTAAATCCTTAGTAATCGATTTACCACAAGCGGTTCACCTATACCTTAATACTTCATGTTATACGCCGTTCACCAGTAGACAGCATATGGCGACCAGAAGCGGGAGCAGGCAGGCCGCCAGAGGTCCTCAGGCGTCCCACCAGAAGACCCCTAGTGCCTTCAGCCTCTCAAGAAGGGAGAAAAAACCGGAATCTCCATTAAAGAGGTTTCTCCCACCTTCAACTTCGTCAACGCCTCTCTGGGCAGGTCTTGCCATAAACCCTCTCCTCTCCCGGCTTTCTACCATCGCTTCTTGAAGGTACACGAGGCGGTCATAGGCAGTATCGATACCGATCACCCGTCGACGACATTCTACACATTGAAGAGGCAGAAGGAGGCTTTTCTACAACCATTTGCTATCAGGGATGTGTACACTGCTGGTGTGCGAGTCCAATCGCCTGGTTTTGTTAGTGATAGTGATAGTGAGAAATGAGGAGGTAATGACTTACTAGCGCTTGTTCAGAGTTCTGCTCCATGGTGTGTACGAGTGAGATCGAAGGGTTGGGGGACGCGGGGGGGTGGGGTGTGGGGGGAGGGATGGTGGTAAGATACGAAGAAAATCGCGGAAGGTTGAGAGAAGGCGGATAAATGAGATCAGAGTAAGGTGTGGCCCCTCTCATATGCGTCCATGATGGTGGGATGGTGTTGATCACGAGAAGGAAGGGTCTCAAAATTGACGCAATGACGTGCGAGACCATTGTCCAAGAATATGAGCGCCATGATATTCTTGCCCCTCCATTGAGGTTACACCTCACCTGGCCAACGGTCGAGACTTGACTTTCAGGTTAATCTTTTGCGATCAAGCGTTTTGATAAAAGTATAGGCGACTATGATCCTACCTAATATCCCGTAGCTTCACTTTTCATTATCTTCATGCGCCGCCTCTTTCAACCCCTCATTTCTCACTCTATCCTCCTCCTCCTCCATCCTCGCTCGCTCCTTCTCCTCTCTCTTCCGCTTAACCTCCTCGACCTTCAGCCTCCTCTGCTCCCTCCACGCCGGCCCCTTCGTAACCAACACCCACAGAATCGGACTCGCCGCCAACACGACCAGCGCATGAAAAGTAAAACACCACCCCCTCCCCATCCTCTTGATCATCAGAATCACCACCGCGCTCCCCCCGGCCCCGACCAGACACCTCACCAAATTGTTCGCCGCCGTCGCCGTCGCCGGGCTCAGCGGATAAAGATCGACCAGCATCAAATTCAACACGTTGAACGTGCCCGTCAGCGTCAGGCCGAGCAGGAAAAACAGCACCAGCGGCGCGGCCAGCGGCGGCGCCCCGGCCTCGGCCTGCATGACCCAGCCGTACGCCGTCAGCGCCGCGAGGCCGACGCCGAGCAGCGGGGCGGCGACCTCGATGCGCGCGCGCTCGATGGGGAAGTGGCGCAGGTCGTCGCCGCGGCGGCGGTCGATGGCCATGCCGACGCGGGCCGCCGTGCGCCGGTAGTTGCGGTCGAGGAGGCGGCCGTTGACGAGGGGCGCGAGGAGCGCGCCGAAGCCGAAGGGGATGAAGGAGAGGCCGATTTGGAGGTCGTTGAAGGAGTAGGTGGCGGCGAAGAGGAAGGGGGCGCTGGCGGCGACGTTCATGAAGGCCGTGTACTGCGTGGAGTGAGGGATGTGCGAGTGGTGCGAGTGGTGGTGGTGGTGGTGGAAGAGCGACTGTGGAGGGGGAGGAGGGGGAGGGGGGGCTTACGACGAGGGAGTTGTAGACAAGGAGGAGACCGACGTCGGGCTCGCGGATCAGCTTCATGGTGTTGAGCGGGTTGGGCCAGCGAAGCTTGCGGGACCGAGCGAGGCGTTGCTGCGCAATGCGGTTGCTCTCTGTGGAGATTGTGCGGGAGAGTGACTGGTCCATTTTGGCGGCTTTGCGGGCGGAGAGCCAGTTGAGGACTGACAGGTTCCAACCCTGAGGTGGGATGGAGCCATTGCCCACGACGTTCCGTCCGGTCTCTGGAAAGGTGATTGTAAAGATGACAAGATACACACCCGCCATGATGACTAGGAACCAGAAAATGGCACGCCAGCCCAAGAATTGAGCAAGGAGCCCTCCAATTACAGGACCTGCGGCCGGACCAATCATCATAGGTCCCGTAGCCCAGCCCATCCATGTCCCCCGCTCAGCAGCAGTAGCAACATCCGCTACGACGCCGTTTGCGAGAGCTATCATGCCACTGCTTCCAGTGCTCTGCAGACAACGAAGGACCATCAGAGCAGCATAGGAGTCCTGCAGTGCGATTCCAATGCAAGCTCCGATGTAGATGATGAAGCCGATGATGTAGGCTGGCCTTCTCCCAGCCATGTCGGCAAGATCTCCGAACACGGTGGGGGCGAGACCTTGGAAGATGGAGTACGAGGTGAGAGACAGGTTGATGAGCTCATCGGAGACATGAAGCTCTGAGCTTAGAGTGTTGAGGGCGGGGTAGAAGATGTTTGCCGATAACGGGGAGAAGAAGCCACCCCACGCCACCATGAAGACGATGAACAACTTCATCTCCCTTGGGAACACTGAGTAAACAGGTCCTGATGCAGCTGTGCTGGCTCTTTCGAGATCTCGCGCAGGCTGCTGCTCCGGCTCTTGTGAAGTGGAAGGTCGCCGCGAGGATGTTGGTGAAGCGGGACTGATGTCTGGCGGGTGCTTCTCACTGTCCAGCTCCCGCTCTTCTCGCAGACCGCAGGCCGCATCTTGGTTGTCGGAGGAGGCCGAGATGTTCAGCTCATCATGGCGATTCAATGTACTGGCCGGTTCAAGAGTCTCCAGTGCGGCTGGTGATGCCATGATCCAGGGCCTTCAGAACAGGAGAGCGGGTTCTGGAGACGGAAATAGTTTCACGGCCCGGCAAAAGAGAGGAAGATCGGAGAAGGCATTCCAGCCACAGTCGGAGCATGTTGCTTTACCGACATCGGTGGGGACGCGGTCGGTGAAGCAAAAGCGGGAAGTGGCGCAATTTGGCGAGGCATGGTAGGCGGGACGGCGAATGAGCGATCTCTTGATGAGGGCGAAGGGTGGGTGTCGGGGGTGTCGGGATTGCCTACGCTCTGCTGGGCCCGTCGGTAATAGCGCGGATTTAAGCGGCGCGGATGCCAAGCGCGCGAAGCTCATGCGGCTACGTTGACGTGGACCAGAGCTCCGCCGAGCTGCCTCTTGCCTGGGCACATCATGGACCTCTCCCCGACCTTCAACGAAGCCCTGCACCGGCACAACAAGCCGCCCATCCAGCCCCATGCCTTTGACTTGGATGGCGTCGAGGCCTTCATGAAGGAAGCCTACCGCATCGTGAGCCGCCGCGCACTGCAGGCCTGCTTTCGCCTTGCTGACAGCGGCGCAGAACAAGCACATCTCCGAGCTCAACCAGTACCTCCGTTCCATACGCCAGTCCTATCTTTCGGCCGCGCAGCCTCCTCGCCGAAGCCAACTCGCGCGCACCAATTCGTCATCCTCGATACCACAGCACGAGAAGGAGCGCAAATACCTAACCGATGCCCAGCGCGAACAGATCGATGCCGAGACCAAGCAGCTGCTCCGCGAGCTGAGCGGCGCAATCAAAAACCTCGCCGACGCAGAAAATGTACGCCAGTCCGCCGATGAGACCATTGCGCTGCGGAAGCGTGCAACCAAAGGGCTGGGTGCGCTTGGAAGATGGGCAGCCGGCGGCGCAATCACGGCGAAGAGCCCTGAGGAGGAGCTGGAGGAGGCAAAGCAGAACACCATCAAGATACACCGCGATGGTGTCATATGGTTCCTCAGCCGGAAGCTCGAAGAGGTCAGCGGCTTCCAGGCATCCATGATGGAGATTCGGCTGGAGAGAGAGCGGGAGAAGAGCAAGAGCGTGCTCTACAAGGCGCGCAGCGTCGCGTTACCCCCGATGGACGACCCGAGTGGATACTCTGGCACGAAAGCAGCAGGTCTAGACGAGAAGACTGGGCAGCATGTGGAGCAGGAACTGAGCGCGGAACAGCTCCAGCTTTTTGCGGAAGAGAACCAGGACATGCTCAAGCATTACGAAGACACGCTGGACAAAGTGCGGTATGTAACGGCGCTCTCCCATGGCAGCCCATGCACCGCGTCAGACTAACGAGGGCGTCAGGACAACGGAGCGATCTCTCCTCGAGATATCGGAGCTGCAAAGCACGCTGGCCACCAACTTGTTCGAGCAGCAGGCGCAAATCGATCAGCTGGTGCAAGACTCGCATCTCACGGCGGAAAACGTTGGCAGCGGCAACAAGGAGCTCAAGAGGGCGACGGAGAGGAGGAGCATCGCGCAGGCCATCTTCTACGCGACGTGCGCCATGTGCGGGACGCTGGTGGTGTGGGACCTGATCATATAGCTTATCGAATGGGAGGCGGGGATTTGCATGTGAAGAGCGTGACAGCGCGAGGCGGCGGGAGAAAGCGGCGGCGTGATGTCAACAACTCTGGGGCACAGTGCCGTTAGTGGCTGCGGAACCTCGGTTTGCGGCCCCTCAGCGAACCCTGACAGAGGCAGTCTCGCGTGACGGCTATTATAAGGCTCCCAAGCCTCCCCCGGAAATTCTATTCCACCCGTGCGCTCCACTCCTCGTTGCAATCCTCAGGCCATCCCCCTTCCCCAGAGCTGCCCTTGCTCCGTGCATCCATCAGTCCGACCGACCAGGCAGTCAGGCGCTGCGGTTCCGCTGGTTGGCCTGTCCTTTTGCGGAGTAGCTGCGGCCCGCTCGCTCAATCGATAAGCCGATCCTCCGGGGTAGAGGTACGAGACGCGGAGAGCTGCCCTACTTTAATAGCCCGTCATGCCACCGCCGACACCATCCTTCCCCGCCGCTTCTGCAGACCCCACCTCCGTCATCCCTAGCCCGCAATCCACCTCGCAGTCCTCGTCGCGCTCGCGCCTGCAGCAGCTATCCGCCCACATGTCTCCCGCAACCAGCTCCGTCTTCCACGCCGATGTCGTGCCCAAAGCTCCCGAAGATCCGCTCTTCGGCCTGATGGCCGCCTACCGCGCGGATAATAACCCGCAGAAGGTCGACCTGGGCATCGGCGCGTACCGCGACAACACGGCAAAGCCCTGGGTGCTGCCCGTCGTGAAGAAGGTGAGCTCGCAGCTGCTCCGCCCTGCCCTGCCCCGCCTCTCCACGGCGCCGTTTCCGCGCGACAGCGGGTGCTGACTGGAAGCGATCCTATAGGCCGACGAGATCCTCCGCAATGACCCCGAGCTCAACCACGAGTACCTGCCCATCGCCGGCCTGCCGCAGTTCACCTCTGCCTCGCAGAAGCTGATACTGGGCGCCGACAGCCCCGCCATCGCGGAGAAGCGCGTACGTTTTTCTTGCCCCGCGTCGAGTGCTGTGCCGCTTGGCGCATGCGAGCTTGACTCATCATTAGTCAAGGAAACAGACTGCTGACACGCCAAACAGGTCACCAGCCTGCAGACCATTTCTGGCACTGGAGCCGTCCACTTGGGCGCTCTGTTCCTGGCCAGGTTCTACAATAAGAAGGCAGACAAGACCGTCTACTTCTCGAACCCTACCTGGGCCAACCACAACCAGATCTTCACCAATGTCGCCTTCCCTGTAAAGACCTACCCCTACTTCTCAACCAAGACTCGCGGCCTCGACTTCGATGGCATGATCTCCACCATCAAGGATGCGCCTGATGGCAGCATCATCCTGCTTCACGCCTGTGCACACAACCCCACGGGTGTTGACCCTACCCAGGAGCAGTGGAAGACTATCGCCGAAGTGATTCGCTCCAAGAACCACTTCCCCTTCTTCGACTGCGCATACCAGGGCTTCGCATCCGGCGACCTGGCTAAGGACGGCTGGGCCATCCGCTACTTCGTCGAGCAGGGCTTCGAGCTGGTCATTGCACAGTCATATGCCAAGAACTTTGGTCTGTACGGCGAGCGTGCGGGTTGCTTCCACTTCGTCACGGCGCCCGGCTCCAACGCTAGCGATGTCGTCGACCGCGTCGACTCGCAGCTCAAGATCCTCCAGCGCTCCGAGATCAGCAACCCGCCCATCTATGGTGCCAAGATCGCCTCGACTGTCCTGAACGACCCCGCCCTCTTCGAGGAGTGGAAGGACAACCTGCGCACCATGAGCGGCCGCATCATCGATATGCGCAAGGCGCTGCGCGCTAAGCTCGAGGAGCTCAAGACTCCCGGCACCTGGAACCATATCACTGATCAGATCGGCATGTTCAGTTACACTGGCCTGACGGAGGCGCAGGTGCTGAAGATCCGCGCCGACGCCCATGTCTACATGACCAAGAACGGCCGCATTTCGATGGCCGGCCTGAACACGAACAACGTGGACTACGTTGCTGCCGCCATTGACAAGGTGGTGAGGGAAGCATAGGGCAACATGGACGTCTGAGAAGTAGCTTGATGACAATGATGAGCATGGGAGGATATGCAGCCCTGTATTCTGTACGGCTACGAAAAATATCACACACAAGGAGTCAACTGCTGTATTAGATAGAGAAGCTTCGATGCTATTGAACGCGTAACGGCGTGAACCGGTTCGGAGCCTCGAACTTTGCTACAATCAATCCTCATTTTTATTTTCCACTTTCGAGCACGTCTTTGCCACATCAGCTCAGCCAGTATACCGCTTCTGCGTTTTACATCTCGACTAACGTGAAAGCATTATCTGAAACCCCAGTCCGCCTTTTCGAGGTAGTTCTACATCCAATGCGGTATGCAAATCCTAAAGCCCTTTTCCAGCTCGAGTGAATAAAAGCTGAACAAGATCGAGAGAAGAGATACGCCCGCTTTCTACTACAGACAATATATCGCCGGCGCCCCCCTTCATTAATCCTTCGCACACTAAACCAACATGCACATGTTCTTTTTTCTCGCGCATAATCTCCCCCCACCCCATGTCTGCTCGTCGAAACGTTCTCTCTTGAACAGCGGAGAAGGAAAGGAAAAAACGCAATTCGAGCGAGATTGCCTTGTTTTCCTTTTCTTTCTCTCTCTCTCCTCCCTTAGGACCGGAACGATCCACCCTAAAGCACCCGACATGTTTCAGCGAATGGGCAATCCAGCCAGAGAACGAACGAGAAGAACAAGCCACCACTTCTACGCCGGGGAAAGAGGAAAAAAGAAAAAAAAGAAAGAGATCGGTAACGGAGTAAAAATCAGCCATGACTGACCCTCGCCCTCTTCCTCGCGCTGCGCGGGAGGTCCGCGGCCGCGGCCGCGCTGCTCGCGACGCCAACGACGGGCTCGCCGCTGTGACCACCGCCACCGCTGCCGCCGCCGCGCTTCTCCTTGGCGTCGAGCACGAGGCTGAGGACGTCGAAGCCGAACTGGGGGAACTCGAGGCACATGGCGCGGAACTCGTCCTCGGCGTGGTGGCGCAGGACGTGGGAGCGGTGGGCCCAGAAGGCGGCGACGGGGCGGCGGATGGTGCGGTCGTCGGGCGCCGTGTTGGCGTAGACGTAGCGGGCGTAGGCGATCTCGCCGCGCGCGGTGCTCTCGGTGCGGTGGATCTTGGAGTGCGCGAGCGACTTGAGCTCGGGCAGGCCGAACTTGTCCGCCAGCGTGTAGACGCGCGCGTGCCGCAGCAGCTGCACGCCGTGCGTGTCCGGGCCCGGTGCCGACGGGTCCGACTCGAGCTTCGAGTCCTTGTCCGCCGAGAGCCGCTTCGGGAAGTATTCGTTGTGGTAGAGGTATTCGAGGAGGGAGCCCATGGCGTCGAGGTCTTCGTCGACGAGCTCGACGCGGCGGCGCTGGGAGTGTGGTGTGAGGGGCCAGGGTCAAACGGGGGCAGAGGTTTGGATTGAGGGTTGAGAGAGAGAGAGCAGGGTGTGCTTTTGCTTACGGAGTCGCTGTCGGCGAATTGGGCGCATTTATCTGCGAAGTAGGGCGACTTGGTGAGCAGCGCCTGGTGCGCCGTGAGGAGGGTTTCATCCTCGCCCTTGCCCACGACGAGCTCGATGATGGGCGACTTCAGAAAGCTGTTCGGTGGTGCAAACGGAAGGGACATCGTCAGCGACGCATTCAATCTTCTCTGAAAGCTCAATTGCTTCCACCCGGAGCTCCAATTGCTCCTCATCCTGCCCCGAAGACGATCGTGAATTAGGAATTGGGGTGGTTTGTGCTTACTCCAGGAACTTGACCACCTTGGGGGTCTCGGGCTCGATCTCCGCCATCTCGACGCCCTCGTCGTTGTCGTCGCCTTCATTGTCGCCTTGCTGCTCGGGATCGTCGTTGGTGTTGTTGTTCTCTTGCGCGGGCTCTCCGCTGTCGCCCATTTCGACATCGGCCGCTGGCGTGCCCTCGAGCGGTGTATCGGTCGTCGATGCTTGGTCCGCCATTGTTCCTGCAGCTCTGGTTTGCTATGGTTTCGTGCGCGATCTCGGCATTGGGGTGGGGCGGTTTCGCGTGGTGCGCGACGCGTCTAGCGTTGGAAGCGGGTGGGCGCGGACAGCAACGCGTTGCGCCGGGTCGAGCTCAATTGACGATACTGCGCGACGACGGAGAACGACTGAAGTGGATCGATCGATAGCAGAAGCCGAACAAAAGAGCGGGGTTAGGCGGCGCAAGTGGTGGGAGAAAAGGGAAAAGACCGTGGCTGGTTCGCCTGTCGATGGAGAGAGTGTGGTGTAAGGCTGGCTCGGGCGGGCTGGAGCTCCCCCCACCCCCGGTCCTGACGCGAGCTCCATGTCCCTGCGTCACGAACACACTCTGATCGCTTGCGAATATTAATTACTTTGTATTATTAGGGAACAACTCCTGCTTCAGGCTCCAAGTCATTGATGTGTACAGCTGTGAGCCATGAATGAAGGAGGATATTACTATGTTATTTGTATGCCGTTAAGTCTGATAGACAAATGTCTTGTACGCGTCGCTCTATGCAAACGCCTCGTGAAAGGATATATAAACATTATGTACAGACATTTACAGCCTGCCGCCCCGCTCCCTGAACCTCTCGCCGGTGGAGGGGATCGGCTTCTCGGCCCTCAACACCCACAGGAGCCAATCCTCGAGCGGCAGGAAGACGAAGAAGACCTTGTTGCAGGCAAACGCGATGAAAACGTAGCAGGTGGCGAGGCCCGCATCCAGGAGGTAGTGGTTGGCAGTGGCCACGATAACGGTCAGGATGAATGTGGGGTAGGCGATGCCGACGAAGAGGTAGAAGAGCTTCCAGAATGCCGACTTCCTCATCTCACCGCGCTCTAGCGTGCGGCGGAAAATGCCCGAGTGGTAGATGAGCGTCATGCCGATGCAGAAGGCGTAGCCAAAGTGCATCGACGGCATGGCTGCGAGCGAGTTCACGTACTTGCCGCTCATCCACACGCTCTGAGCGTCGTCATGGCGGACCGTGTCCAGGAAACCGTACTCCTTCGGCAGGAGACGCGGCGGCATGCACGGGTAGAAGATGAAGGTCATGAACGCCATGAAGTTGGTCAGGGTCATGGTGCGGCGGGCAGTAGCAAAGGTGGGATGCGACGGCGCGATGTAGTAATACCAGCAAATGAACCTGATGCACGGTCAATAGAGATTCTCAAAAAAAAAAAAAGTCGAAGATATGCGTGGGTCCTGTCCTTACCCGACGGTTCCTGGAATATGGATCAACGCATACGCCTTGTTCAGCGCGGTCAAGGCGTCCTGGTGGCCGTGCATGAACCACTGCTGTACCTGACGCTCCTGGACGGGGAAAAGCCAGCTGAAGCCGCTCAGGTGCTCGAACTTGAGCACATTGATGCCATGCTCCTGCGCCACATTCCAGATGCCGGACTTTGCGAAGATGCGCTGCGAAGTGATGGCGGTCATGCGGTAGAAGGCGTAGTTGATGATCCAGTAGAACATCTCGATCAAGAATGGGAACTTCTGCAGGATGCGACTGTGGACGTTGTTCTTGAAGCGCGACGTGTTCGGCGTCTGCACGACGATGCCGCAGCAGCACTTTCGCTGCTTGGGCAGATGCTTGGCCGCAGCGACGGGGTCCTGGGCGTCGTCCTCGTTCTCAGAATCATACCGCAGCAACTCGTTGCTCGAGCGCTCGGAGCCCGGCTCGTCATCCAGTATCGACTTGTACGCCTTCGGTTTGCGGCGGATCGAGAAGCCTTTTCGTCTCGTCATGTACATGGCGCCGAACAGGATGGACGCAACCATCTACGATGGATCGTCAGCATCGGCGATCTTCTTCGCTGCTCCGCAGTATTTCACGTACCAAGGGCTCCGCCCAGCCAGGCAACACCCACGCGGGCTTGCTGTTCCATACCGGGTCCTCGATGGGGTAAGTGATCGTGTCCGGCTTCATCGTGGCGGCTGTACAAGGCGACGGGTCCGCCGGAAAGTCGTGTGTGTGCTCGTATGTGTAGACTGGATGCGATCGAAGGGAGCGTCGGCAGCAGGGCCTGGAGGAGCGACGGCAGGTGAGGGGAGACGATGGAAGGGACACAGCCGCACTGGCGGTGTTGTAACGGGAGGGCTGCACGACCTGACAGGGCTGGAAACTACCCCAAGAATTGGTCTCCTTCCGGCGTCCGCAATAATAACGAGCAGCCCCCGGGTACACGCGTCCCGGCGTGACAGGGATGCCGGGTGCTCGTGTGCCTCCTGCGTTGCCGCCAAGACCCGCTAGGCTGCGGTCAGCATAGGTCAAGAGGCAAAGGCCGAGAGCCAGGCATCGATTTCACCGGACGTTGACGCCAGTCGCTGCGCCGGCCGCAAAGCCTTGCTGCTAAGGGCCATGGTTGCGGCGGTGATGGTCCGATCCCGCGCGCAGATCCGGCAGTCGGGCGTGCAACTGGCCGAACGCATGAGGCCGAGGAGCCGCGTCAATTCGACATGTCCGTTACCAATGGCTAGCGCAGTATATTAGGAGAGGAGCTACAATCGTCAGGTTCGCCGCGAGGCCCGCTCCGCTCCGCATTCCGCCGACGTATCAAAGAAGCAAAAGCTGACCTGCCGCATTATGTCATCCAACATCAAACGTCAAACATCCAACTGAAAGCCTGCCTGGCCGCCGGCCATCCAACCACCGACGGGCCAGTAACTCCGTATCTTGAACCCAAACGCCAGTCAACAATGGTCCTCATTACAGTTCCAACATTATCGGCCGTCATGCTGGGATCTCGACGCCGCCGCCAGCCCGCATCAGCAAGTAGCCACCCAGGCATCGAAGTCGAACTCCGGATGCTTGTTCTGGACATGCCTCTTCAAGTTGTCCCTCCTGCCCGTAGCGGTTGCGCAACCATCTACCGGGCATGAGTTTCCTGGTCTGTCCGCACTGTGGGTTGTTTTGTGACGCCGGAGATCCTTAGGGTGCACAAACCCTTTCCCGCAAGTTCGGCACGTGTGCTTTTTCGTATCGTGGTAACGCTGATGACGCCTGTCGATTCGGTTAGCGCAGAGATGCGAGAGACGACGCGGAAACTCCCACCTCAAATCGTCCTTGTTACCGAAGTTCTTAGAGCACGTCCGGCAGGAATGGCTGGTATGTGACGTGTTGACGCTACTCTCCGTCACCTGGTCGTCGGCCGGCTCCCTACATACGTCTAGCGTCGCCGCCGACCCCGACACCAGGCCTCGCTGCGGTGCGATGTTGTTGTTGGCAGTTCCTAAACCGGGCGTATACATGCCATTCAGCCAGGGCCCCATGCCTCCTCCTGTATCCTCGACGGTTATTCTCGGGGGTCCCAGGCGAGTGGTTTCAGGGTCAGGCCCGATACTGCCAAAATCCATCGCCTCGCCAAGAAATCGGGAGGGATCGAGGTAGTTGGTCTGGTCGACAGAGGGTGCAGAGGGGCCTGACCCTGAGTATGTAAAGTCATCTGTGAAAACAGCCCCCAGATCCAGCTGTGGATCTATGGTCAGCGAGCACTGCCCGTCTCCGCCGATGTCGTAGTCGGTAATTGCCTGGTCGCATCCCCATTTGTACGTAGGATCGGTGGTATAATACTGGTTGCAGGTGGTGTTGGAGTAGTCGCCGGGGTTGCTGTGCGAGTAGGTGCTCGTCGGCGGAGACACGAACGTAGCGTTGTTGTTGGTGTCCCAGCCGTTGGACGAAACTACGGACTGAGAGAGATGAGCTTAGGGCCCGACAGGCTGCCAGACCGTGCGTACCTGGTCGACGTCATGGTCGAAGTCCTCAACGGTGAACAGCGAATGCTGGTCAAATGAGAGGTCATGTGCGGTGAAGCCTGGGTTGAGTCCGGCGAGGTTCCAGGTCCGCGCGTGGTGTCCTTCCGTCTCCTCTCGCCGGCCGCGAAACGAAGACATTGGCAGGCAGCGGCGGGTACAAAAAGCGGGCGGCGGCGTGAACGAATGAGCCCGAAGCCATCGATATGGCCCCAGGCACGGCGAAGGCAGCGATGGTGGGTAGCGGCGCAGGCACGCGGCTGGAGGAGGGTAGGGTGCTGGGTAGTGAGTAAGCGACGACAAGTCGGAGGAGTCGAGCTCAGTCAACCATGTGCGAGGAGGGACGAGGGCACGCAAGAGGCCGCACTAGGCTGCGGCTCTGCGGGTGCCGGGCTGTGCTGGCTCGGACGTCGCCATGCTGCACACGACGGCTGCAGGACTACAGCAGATATCACTGTAAAGATGTTTCAGCTTCCTGGAGCTCTGTTTCCCCGTCCAGCAGGGTTGGTGAGGGCCTGAAGGTCCCGCGCGGCGTGCGACGCCAACATGCGGAGAAGCGGGAATCGCGCCCTATCAGGCTGGAGCGGACCAATGCCGGCGGTGGCTGGCCCCACGTGATTTGCAGGTGGTCGCTCCGGCCAGGCTGAGGTGCGCGGCGCGTGCAGCTGGTGGGTAGGTGAGCAGGTGAGTGGTCGTGCACTTGCGCACCGCAATAGATCTATGAAGAAAGCGCGGGCCCTCGAGGTTCAGCCGTGCCGTTGAAGATTCACTATCTCATAGCGCCGGCTTCTACGTCATTGGCCGGGGCGGGACCGAGGGACAGGGCCCTTTGAGGCTTCCCTAGGTAGGTCAGCGTACCTAGGTAGGTAGCGGCTGCCCGGACCCGAAGGCCATGTGCCGAGGGCATCGCCCGAGAGTCGACTCGCGTTGGCAAACTCCCACCAGGCGTCCGTTCACATGCTTTACTCCCCGGTCGCGCCTCTGCTCACCCACAGTCGCCTCTCCGCAGCCTGTCAGACTCCACTGCGCCGCTCTGCAATGATATAGCCCCGCATCCACGGTACAAGAGCCATGAGTGCCTCTAAGGCCGTGCGCGGCACCCACGTTGTGCTGCGCGCAGCCTGCGGCCGCCAGACGGGTGCGCGCCGCTTCGCCAGTACGCGCTCCGTAAGAGCGTTGCGTCTCCAAGTCTCGCCGGGGCGCTGGGCACTGCCCCGACGCAGTGGCGCATCCGCTCTACCGGCTACCAGGTCATTCCAGACAAGTTGCGCGAAACGGCTGGCCACGGTTGAGGCTGTGAGCAACGGTATAGCCCCCTCCCCTCTGCCCTGCATGCGACGCCGCTGACCCCCCGCCACAGCGAAAACCTACGAACACGGTCCCATTGCCGAGTACAACTCGCGCGTCGAATCGGGACGCCTGCGCGACGACGAGCACCAGCGAGGTACGCGCCACCACAGCCCAGAGACCACAGCCTAGCTCACCCGGCACCTAGGGATCATCGACAATCTGCAGGCCCTTCACGTCACCCTCTCCAAGTACCAGTTTCCGCCCGTCGTCCATCCCACAATAGAATCTCTTCAGCCGCCTAAGAAATCTCTCCTTGGTTCGCTTTTCGGCTCCAAAGAGGAAGGATGGAAGCCAGTCATTTCGGAGAACCTCCCGAAAGGCATATACATGTACGGCGACGTCGGCAGTGGGAAGACCATGATGATGGACTTGTTCTTCGACACTTTGCCGACGAACATAAAGTACAAGACTCGCATCCATTTCCACGGGTTCATGCAGCAGGTGCACAAAGAGTTGCATAGGATGAAGCTGAAGTACGGAAACGATTTAGATCTCGTTCCGTTTGTGGCAGCGGATATCGCGTCAAAGAGTCAGGTCCTATGCTTCGATGAGTTCCAGTGTACCGACGTTGCAGATGCCATGATTCTCCGGCGCCTGGTGGAGTCGCTCATGGCGCACGGAGTCGTTATTGTGACAACCTCAAACCGTCACCCAGACGACCTGTACAAGAACGGAATTCAGCGGGACTCCTTCATACCTTGCATCCAACTGCTCAAGTCGCGCTTGCGCGTCATCAACCTGGACTCGCAAACAGACTACCGCAAGATTCCGCGGCCGCCATCGGGAGTGTACCACCATCCGCTTGACGAGTCAGCTAAAACGCATGCCGATCGCTGGTTCCGTTTCCTTGGCGACTTCAAAGACGATCCGCCGCACGAGGCCAAGCATGAGGTCTGGGGTCGTGAGCTCTCGGTTCCAAGGGCAAGCGGGAAGGCGGCCATGTTCTCTTTCAACGAACTCATCGGACGAGCAACAGGCGCTGGCGACTACCTCGAGCTGATGAGGAACTACGAGGCTTTCATCGTCACGGACGTTCCTGGCATGAGCCACAAGTCTCGCGACCTGGCAAGAAGGTTCATTACATTTATCGATGCGGTCTATGAGAGCAGGGTACGTATTGATGGTCTCCCTCTATTGTAGGCGTGATCTAACAAGCGTGATAGGCTAAGCTTGTTCTCACTACCGCAAACCCTCTCAACGAACTCTTCATCACACATGACGAGCTCGAAGAGGCGCAGAAAGAAAACAAACCGGACAGCGGGGAAGAACATCACATCCCTGACGCCATGCGGAGCCTTATGGATGATCTGGGCATGAACATGGCAACGCTCAAGAACTCGTCCATCTTCACCGGAGACGAAGAGCGGTTCGCATTTGCCCGTGCCTTGAGCAGACTGGTGGAAATGGGCAGTCAGGAGTGGGTAGAGCGAGGTCTGGGAATGGAGAAGCTTGGCGGCAAGGCTGAGAAGGATAGCTGGCTGAAGGTACGGAGCAGATGGAGGGAAGACAGCATGTAGAGGTAGAGTGGCATGAGTCCATGGGCTCCCGCGAGATACCAGTTCGGTCGGTAGCATGGCGTTTTGGATTCAGCAGTAAGAGGCCAATACGCATAGCGTTTAACATATTCGGCGGCATCGCTTAGGACGTCTGCAATGCCTCATTTCGACGGGTTTCGAGCGGTGTGATGCAGATGGCAGATGCTCACTGGTGGAAACGGTCGGGTCCAGTAGTTCACAGGGAGAGCCGGCTTGGCGGTATGAAGCTCGGTATCAAGCTTGCCTCTCCTACACATGTCCGGGGATCAATCGCTTGTAGCGGGAGCACGGTCTGACAGCCTTGCGATCTCGCCTCTGCCCCACTCGCTTAAGCTTCTTTTTTAAGTAGCCGACAGTGTCTCGGCAGCGTCGCGCATCTCCTAATCCGGTTGCTAGACGGACGTGCAACTCACAGCGCCTCAGAGCCGCAACGTCAATGCCGTGCAATGGCAGACGAAGTGGGATTTGCGGACCATATCGAGCTCCTGGCGCGTCGAGAGCGACTGCTTCCGCCAGCAGCTCGACGCATAATAAATACTCGTTGTTTGCCGACCAACTACACCGCCATCATCACTTACTCGTTCGCACTCCTACAGCGTGGATCGCCATCTCTTTCTGCTTCTCTATCTTCCGTCATTCGCTGCGCGAACTTGCTAATCCATAATCCTTCACTGTCTCTCCCGACCCACCGAAACAAGCACCAACAAATCACAACAATGCATTTCGCCACCGTCGCCCTTTTCCTAGGCCTCGCAGCTTCTTCTTTGGCGTCTCCCATCTCGCATTCCGCCAATGGACTCGCAAAGCGGGCTATTTTGAGCGAGCAGAGCTACGCCGATTTCCAGATTTCCGACGGCCAGGCCGGCAACGCCCTACAAGAAGTCAACCAAAAGTTCCCCGTAAGCTTTCCCATTCCTGCATCGACCACACCAGGGGGAATCATCTTTTTTTTTTTTCTAATCACCACCGCCCGCGACAGGTCACCGACCAAGACCCGGCCAACGTGTCGCAGGAGGACCAGGACATCATCTCCAAGGCGCGCGAGACGGCCGAGGACGCGGAGACGGGCAGCGGCGGCTTCAACGAGCAGATCGAGGCGGCGGGCGAGGACTCGGACGAGGGCAAGGCGCTGCAGGTGGGCAAGATCAAGAACAAGGTGCTCAAGCTGCAGCTCGAGGTGCTGGACCTGCAGATCAAGCAGGCGCAGGGCGACGACCAGACGGACAAGATCGCCGAGGAGCAGAAGAAGCTGCAGGAGAACATGCAGCAGGACCAGGATGCCGCGGGCCAGACGAGCAAGAGCGTGGCGGACACGTTCCAGGGTTGATCACATGTGGCGATGGTGATGACACCTTTTCGGGGGTGTTTTTCCTTTTTCTCTTTTTTTTTTTTAGTCCCGAGCGTTTTCCTTCTTACGTTCTATACTGGGTTTGGCATGATGGAGAGAGATGAAAGCTCCGAGAGCGAGGGAAATGCGGGGAGGGATGCCGGAACGGATGCGCAATGCTCCATGGAGATTGACAATAAATGAAAACATACCGTCACAGGATCTTGTGGAAACCGTACCTCTCTGAACCTTGTGTGGTAAGGCAGTGTTGCATCCTACTTGCTGGTTAGTGAAAGGTACTACTTTCTCGCACCATGAAGTGCGCAGAAGGCAGGTAGTGAAGCGGAAATTCAGGCGGTAGGACGACTGTGCCTTCCCTTCCGGCAGGGTGATGACCGAATGATTTCATCGCCTCGACCGGGGCGACACAACTCAACCTTGACCGCCCGAAACACCACCACTCCGCCTTGAGCCCTCACCGCCGGGACAGCTGTCGACATCGGTCTTGTGGGAAATGCGCGTACACATGGCAAATGGCACCTCTGCGGACTACTTGTATTGCAACAAATCCGACAGAGCCACGATGATCCCGGAGATCTCACTTGAAAGCGATGCGATCGGCAGTGCAGCCCAGGATTGGCATGCCACGATGCTTCATGCAGGCGGCCTGATGGCCGATGTGGGCTTTCGTGTGCCTGTTGTCATTCTGCCATCACTTGCACCGCCATGTTTCGTTCAGCCAAGTCCCGGATGCTGTGCCATCCGCTCCACATCCTTGTCTGAGGTGCATGGTTCAGGGCCGTTGGCTCATTGCTCCGCTTGCTGCATTAGCACCGTTGGAACGGCTTCTGCGCGAATCAAACAGACAAACAGCACTTTCGCCCCTGAGTTGATTACCAGCCGTTGAAGGCCTGAACCAGTCTCGACGGACAATGCGCCACCGTGCAAAGATTGCCATTGCTCACACCGTCGATCTACTCACTGTGCTTGGCCCGTCACCAGCTGCTGCCGCGTAAACCCCACCAAGAAAGGCAAAATGCCCCACAAGCTTCCTAGGCGTTTCCCGAGAGCCGTACAAGCGACAGAGGAAGATCAACAAGAACCTTGACTGTCTTCGCTTCCAAGCGTGGCGCCGCGCAGAGCCCATCCATACTTGGAGTATGCGTGTTTCCTGAACAGTAATGTATCCGTAGGAATTGACGTCAGATCTTGCTTTGGCTCCATTCCCCCTGCGTCCTTTATATTGTTTGTAGAAATCCTACCTCCCTGCATACCGGATTGTTCCTGTTTCCTGCGAATATGCCCTCATCACCGGAAGATGGTAAGCACCCTTTACACCTCTGATGTGCGATGCGAGTCGGCTCCTGGCTTTTGATGTGTACTCACATTCCACAGGTGACCATCGAGGTCTATTGACTGATCAGAGCAGCCCGCCTCAAGGGCCTTCAACCAGCGATCTCTCGAGCTTTCAACGAACATTTAGCGATGAGGAACATTCTTCGGACCGGGATGACCAGCATCCACTGTCCTTTCAGCAACAAAGTCATGCCAGAGAAACCACCACCCGCAGCGAGCATGAACAATCACTACAGGCCAAAAAGGAGAAAGTCGATGAGCTTCTGGCTCTAATGGAGAAAAGCCAGAGGCAGATTCAACAACTCTTCCGGTCACAACAGGCTGTACGTGATGTGATGGATGATATAACGCTGCAAGATCTGCCGCAGGGGAGTCCGCTGAGGCCGAGGGATGGAAATGGTAAGTAAAGTCCTCTTCTCGATGGTTGTTGTTGATCGATCGTGTTTCAACTGCCGCTAACGCAAGAGTTTCAGAAGACCTTATTTACGATATCCGCCGTGATGGAAGTAAAAGGACCACCGATTCAAAGAGGTCAGAAATGTACGGCGCATCGGCTCGACCGGAGGAGCCATTTCGTATGCCTCCGCATGCAAAGTTTCAGCCTCCCATCGACGATGACTACTACCAGCTGAACCCTTGGTACGGCCAGCCACCGAAGCGGCCTGTCTTTGGTCTCGGAGGCCCACTCCCTCATACTGTCCGCCGTGCGGCCAACAACTCGGAGAAAGAAGCTCTCCGAAAGCAGGACCCGGAGATGGGGCAAGCAAACCCGCAGAATCAAGAGAAACTCTTCAGTCTTGGTGCTCCACTGCCTCATAAACAAGGTTCCCGACCCGTGTCGAGCCACGAGCCTAGCCATAGCCTAGCCAGAAGCCTTTCGTCGCAGCGAAGTCGCAATCAGAAACATGCATCCAGGAGGAAGCCGCAACGCAAGGCCATCTTCAAGACACCAGAAGAGACTAGGCACTATAACGAAAAGAAGCCCGACGAAGCACAAGCTACCGCTTACCAGACTGGTACAGATGAAGCCGGTCCACAGTATGGCGATGGGCAGTCTCAGGAGCATCTAGATCCTTTTGCCAGCTTCGACAGAATCGGGGAAGATTATGACGCTGAGGAAGAGGACAATAACGCAAAGTCCCGGGGGCGCAACGAGCAGGAGGGAGACGGCCCGGACGCCACAGAATGGGCCATTGACTCTGAACCTATCGGACAGTACGACAGCGAGAAGGGGGCAGAGACTGGCGAAAAAGATCCAAACGAGCTGCGGAATTGGTGGGCCAGGATACGTGCCAAGCACCCCGAACCTCTTGCCGAGTTCCTTTGCGTAAGTCATGGTGGCATGGCGCAGGTCTGCATCGCTTTCTGACAGTCGCAGACATTGGTTTCCATCTTCCTCGGCCTGTGCGCGACGCTCCAAGTCAACCTCGCCAAGGGAGAGTACGGCGACTACGAAACAAGCTGCTGGGCTTGGGGGATCGCCTTCATGTTCGGCATCTACGTCGGCGGCGGCGTCTCGGGCGCGCACATGAACCCGGCCATCTCCCTCTCGCTCTGGCTCTTCCGCGGGTTCCCGCGACGGCAGATGCTCATCTACTGGGGATGCCAGCTGCTCGCGTGCACCTGCGCGGCGGCGCTCGCGTTCGGCGTCTTCCGCGACACCATCCTCGACGTGGACCCGGGCCTGGTGGACACGGCCACGTCGTTCTACAGCAAGCCGCAGGCGTGGGTCGGCGCGACGACGGCCTTTTCCACGCAGCTCATCGCGGCGGCGGTCATGATGATGAGCGTGCTGGCGCTCGGCGACGACCAGAACAACCCGCCCGGGGCGGGGCTGCACGCGCTCGTCATGGGGCTGGTGGTGACGGCGCAGAAGATGACGCTCGGGTCCAACACGGGGGTGGCGCTCAACCCGGCCAGCGACTTCGGGCCCCGGCTCGTGTGCCTGATGGTCGGGTTCAACACCGACATGTTCACCGAGCGCGGGTTCTGGTGGCTGTGGGGCCCGTGGGCGGCGACGGGGTGCGGGAGCATCGTGGGGTGCTCCATGTACGACTCTCTCGTTTTCGTGGGGAGCGAGAGTCCGATCAACTACAAGATGGCGGGGCACATTGTGGACAGGGTAAAGAAGGCCAAGAGGTTGAGCAAGTGAAGGGAGGGTCATGCTGCGGGAAGCTGAAGGAAGTCGACCTGTCGACTGGATTGGATTTGGTGGCCTTGGGTGACACTCAAGAGCTTCTAGAGCTTTTCTGGAAAGCCTTAGCTGATCGACTGCGAAACCCTGGGATTGGCGGCATGGCGTCATGTATGCTAGCCATTGGTGGGAATAGCGGCAGGTAACGCAGGGGAGGGATTACACAAAAGTCATTGCCGTGCTCGGGCCTTCCTGATCGGTCGCATCTTCGACGGCTGTGGTTCGACTCACGTTTTGGTCCGCATCTGAAAGTGGCTACATGGGATCGGCCGGGAGAAAGGGAGTCCGGGATGGTGGTGGCTCGGTCTCGGTTTCGCGTGGGCGCGCTAAGTAAGCTGTGGCTAACGGGTGGGCGGACGGGGCGCGTGATTGGGCTGTTGGCTGCACATGGAGAAGGACAGTCGCGAGCGGTGAAGGGCAGCGGTTCCAGCGGATCTTGTGCTCCTGGCCGGATCAATAATGGCTCTGTCTTTCGTCCAGGCCAGGTGCAGTCAGACAGCTGCCTGATTTGGTAGCGTGCCAGCCGCCACGCGCGCCCGTCGATCAAACAGGGATGCTGTCTGGCTGTCTGTCCAAACCAAATGGCCGCTGCGTGCTGCGACAGCGCGAGTAGCGAAAGACTACCATGGAGCTTTGGTCTCTAGCTAATCTAGTCTGAGCGATCGCCGTCCCCGGCAACTCACCCTCCCGAGAGGATCAACACACGCCGCGACCCCACATCCACTGCGGTCGACATTATATATAATCTATCCTCATTCGACCTCGCCGGTCTTGCTCTTGCCCCTCGTTTCCTTCGACTCACCGGCACTGTTGCACTCAGCCACGCCCGCCTTCTGGATATCTGGACTGACTCGCTCAGCACGTCCCCACGATTCAATCCGGCCGTCATAGACTTCGAGCTCGACTCTCTCCCTCGCGCCCGCGCGCCCACCGCCCCGCCTCCCAAACAAATAAGCTTATACCCATCCCACCTCGGGAAAAAAAGAAGCTCATTCCGAACGCCGCGTTCATCCATCGACGTCCGACCTTCCGCCACCTCCGGACATAAACCTTAAATATCTGCCCTTAAATATCCGCCGCAGCAGCACTCTTCCATTCCCCCCCGGGGCAAGTTCAAAAACCCGACTCCGCGAAAAACAAAAAAAAAACAAAAAAACAAAAACAGCCGCCCAAAAACCAAATACACCCACC